AGGAAATTAAAACAATGAAAGCTGCAGTGCAGTTTATGAAATAAACAGATAAAGCATCCACATCCTCTGCGAGTTTGTTCCTGACACGTGGGGCTGAAAAACTCAACGCTGCTTCTCCGCGTTTGGTTTTGATTCTGGGACGGAAAGGAGACCCGTCCCAGGCGACCCGGGGGGGTCGTGATGGTTCGTTAACGTACTTGAACACCCTTTTCTAGCTGAAGAAGCTGAGCGTCACCCTTAGTGACTGCTAAGAAGTAATACCTCTTATTTCTCTCACAGGCAGCAGATACTTACTTACAGCAGGTTTTAACTCTGGCCTTAAATTCAGATATTAGAGCTCTAAATGTGAGATGTCCCCACTTTCAACGACACTTTGAGCTCCTTCCTGACCACCAGTTTCTCACTTGTGTTGGAGGATAAATCGCTCCACAGTGGAAAAGGCAAACAGGTCTGCTTTGATAGAGACGGTTTCACTTTCAGTCCTTATAATTCCCAAGAGGGGGATTGTTTTAAACAGCGAAACCGGAAGCCGTCAGAAAATGTTCACGCTGAAACCGAAGAAGAACCGTGAACGTTTTCAGGAATTCTTCCGTGGGATCCTGAAGGAGGAGTAGATGGGCATTCTCAAACGCCTGCAGAGAGGAAGGGGAATGAATGGATGAATACATGTTCAGGGAGGATTAGGGTACAAGAAAGACACTGAGATTGACTTGGAATGTGAGGAATGACCTTCGCTCTCAGGAAAGCTCTCCCATGCAAACGCGCACGCACACACGCACGCACGCACATAGAGCAGTAGGTGTCTGTCCAGACAGATGGACACACTGATAAACTTTAAAACGTGATCTTTTCACTGCTTTCCTCTACTATACATGCCGTGTGTGTGTGTGTGTGTGTGTGTGTGTGTGTGTGTGTGTTTGCTGTGGATGTGTGTGTGCGCGTGTGTCTGAGTGTGTGATCACAACAGCTTTTCCTCAGACTGGCACCACTGAATCTGTTTGCAGAGACGGACCGAAAGAGATTACACATCAACTGACAGATAGTAGGAAGAGTCAGTGCAAACACAATGAACAGAAGGATTCATGTTTCACAAGGACGAGGTCATTCGATTTTGAATGGCGATCAATCAGACCGTTGCCGCACCATGTTGACCATCAGAAATATTACCTTTGGTATATGTTGTATCATCTGGACAATATTATGGCGGAGGTGACAATTGAAAAATAAAAATGGTGAGGTCCTGTATTTTATCAATCTCTCTCTCTCTCTCTCACACTCACACTCACACACACACACACACACACACACACACACACACACACACACACACACACACACACACACACACACACACCGTTAGAGCTTTGTCTCATGTATCTTGTCTCTCCCACTTTGCAGCATTGCTACAGGTTGTGACTCCTTCACCCCTCCATCCTTCACGCCCCCCATCCTTCATGCCCCCATCCTTCCCTTTCTGTCCTTTTATTGTCTGTCTACCGTCTTATCTCCATGGTTACATTGAACCAGGAATGCGCTGTCACGGAGGAACGAGTACAATTATTAAACCAGTCAGAGAAGAACACACACGCACATTCCTTGAACACATATATATGCGTATGCGTTCAGACATCATCTTGAGGGAGAGTTGATATTTACATTTTGACAAATTTCAAAACATCTATTTTTGTAGGGAAGGTGTGTCATTGTAGAAAGAGCCACTTATTTCAGGTTCCCCGGAATAAGTCTCACAATAAGTCAGTGAGCTAAAACTTCAGTCAAAGAGGTGTTTCACTTAATGGGAAAAGAAAATGCTTTTTGTTCCCTTTTCATTAATATTTAGTTACTAAATAGAAGAAAAGGAAATGTAGCTAACATACCGTAAAACATTTAAAAACGGTAAACTTCCTATATTTCTATTAGCAACACACCCTCCAAATCGTAATTCTTAAATTAATAGACAGAGATACATACTCTAATCATCTTTGTGCTTATTTGTTCCCCAGCAAACAGAAATGTTCATTTGCACCATTTACTCAGTCACATGTCCGTCACAGCTTTAGTAAACTATTCAGAACAAACACTCGATTGTAGTTTTTTAAAGTCAAAGCAAATGAAAAGCCGTTCATTTGCCTAATTAATGCAGTTTTTAGTAGTATGGTGGCACCCCCCCAAAAATAATTCTCTACAGATGAGCCTTGATATCTCTGTTATTCCTTTCATCGGTTTCACTTCCCCCATAGTTTGCTCTGTTGCTAGCTGCCCATTGCTACGGTAACAGCAGTGTAATTGATGGGATTGACAGGCAAATTTGGGAGGCTGACCTGGGAGGCCGCCACTAATCTATAAATCCTGCAGAGGGGTGTGCACGTGTAATGGGGGGAAAAGGGGTCAGCAAAAGCTTTTGTTGTGAATGTGTGTGTGTGTGTCTGAGTGTGTATGTGTGTGTGTGTGTGTGTGTTTAGATCACGCAACAGTCTGACTCCCACCGAGTGATGGAGACAGACAGACAGACAGACAGACAGGGAGCAAGAGAGAAAGAGAGAAAGAGAGAGATAGAGCAGTGAAGTGATTAGACTAACGGGCTTAATACATATATCATGATTAATTGGACAAATCCTCTTTTATCACAGATAAATGACCCTCTGTGAAATGAATAATCATATAACAATTGAAATTTATAAAATAGGAAATTTAAACATTGTTAAACTGTATCTGGAGCGCGATGTAGTTTGATTAAAGCAGTTAGTTGACGAAGACTGCAAAAAATATATTTAAAAAATGTGTGATAGTCTCTGTTTATTGAGGGGCAAAGGAAAAAACAGATCACTGGTACATTTAATAAATGGGGGCTACTAACAGGATTTAAAATGCATAATCAAATAAAAAAAAAAATACACTACAATGCACATGCAAACCTACACTATCAGACTTGAGTCCCACACTAAGGCTTCTCGCTGGAAATCATTTATTAAAATGGCGCTTTTAGGGATGTAAATTCTAAATGTCCAGACATACATTTAGGGAAGTTCATGTGTAGCGCACTGTTGCCTTCAGAATAAAAGACTGTACAAAGCAAATAACGTGTGCTTTTTTCCCTTCAACTTTTTGTCATTTTCACTACAATGAAAAAACACAATATAGTCTGGAGTTCAGAGCAGATCACTTGATCTTTGATCCGTTGTATGTTTTCAGTTAGAAATGAAGTTTTTGTTCAAAAGATCTTCTCTGAACTTTAGGTTGCTCCCTAAGCTTCAACCCTGGAATCAGAAGAATGCTTCTGGATTTGTCCTCCAATTTCTTCCACCCTGAGGGACGTGCTTTCTTTCTGTTTCCTGTCCTTTTAGATCTCCTTCAGACATACACACATGTTGACAGATATTTTTTAATAACGCGCATTTATTCTTTGGAAGTACATCAATCTCTTTGTTATGAAGTATGTTGAACACATGTTGAACTCCAGTGATGGACGGTCACAGTGTGCGTGTTAGTGCTCATTTGGTGAGACAAAGACCGACCTCACATTGAACCATTGACATGCTTTTTACTAACCTCAAATTACATTTTCCATCAAATTCGCCCAATTTGTGGTCCTCGATCGTACCCTGAGTGGACAGCATGATAGTTTTAAGATGCACATGTATTACTCTATGTCATCAGGGTTTAATATGTACACAGTATATGCAACAAGGTCTTTTAAGGGGGCACAACACATTCAGTTGACCATAAAATGCATAAGATAGGTACAACTGTCTCTTGTTGATTTAGGGGCGAAGCTAATACAAGTTTAGATTAATTCATCTCGTATCACAACTTGCATAATCTATTTGATGAAAAAGAGACAAAACATTTAAAAGTAAATTTCTTTTTGAGCCACTATATAGTTTAAAATGTGATCTATAATCAACATAAAATGCTTGTTTTTATCCAGAAAACACAAAACAGACCACTATGTCAATAATCAACATTTCGTTGTTCATTTAAATGAACTTTAAATTGTCGTATGCTGTCCCTTAAATGGAGCTCTCAACTAACACCCAAACACACGCAGACGATTGTAAAAATTGAATTTGATTAGTCGGGATATTATTTTGTGCGTCATCTTATTATTTCAGTGTGTTCTGTTTCGAGGTCTGACAGACAAAACAATACAGCTGAACCTCTGTCTTTGCCCATGGGAGCAGTTTGTCATCGGCGTCCAACAAGCTTCAGGGCCTTTCCAGGAAATGAGTGAGGGACGACAAGGGAAAGAGAAGAGGCTGCAGACAGCTGCCTTAGAGTCCGACTGCAGAGCACCTGGTGCTCATTACCGACAGGAATCAGAATATAACACATAACCTGACGTAACAGATCAAACGTTCTGCGCTTGGTTTTGACGTGATTCCTCTGTAACGAGGGGAGAAGTTTCACAGGTCAGCTGTTGACCGCCGACTGGTTTCATTAGAAGTTGGCAGCTTGCTTTTCCAACTAATATCCCATGCCATCCTTTCTCCTTTTTGCTTGATTACCTGTCTTATTTCTGTGTTTTCTTTTCTTTATTTCATTTTTGGATGCCCTTTTAAACTTTTGTTCCATGTCTCACTGTTTTCTTTTTTCCCCTTTTATTCCTCATAACCTTTCCTTTCACGTCCATCTTTCCTTTTTGTTTAATTTCCTCCTCTTGCTTTACTTTCTCATCCTTTTCACTTTTCTTCCTTCCTTTCCTTCCATTTCCTGAGGCCACTGGATGACATTTTTAACGGGCTAGGAAACTAATTAACTAATGCTAATTAACTTTTATGGTCTACGGAAGTTGACAGGACCATCTAGGAGATCGGCTATTTATTCATGGTTCCTCTTAAAGCTTATCCGTAGTGATTGTGCAGGTTGACCACAAACTCATTTGACTCCAATCAGTAACAGATGTTTTCCTCAAAGACCCATAAACCTTATTGTAAAACGGAGCTGCCAGGTGCTTTCATAATGTAATAACGTGCAATGTTGTCTTTTCTCTGTCTCCGCAGGTCTTCCATGTTGCCTACGTGTTGATTAAGTTTGCAAACTCTCCTCGTCCTGACCTTTGGGTTCTGGAGAGATCCGTCGACTTTGGTCAGACTTACCAACCGTGGCAGTACTTCGCCTGTGAGTATTGCACACGTACACGTATCTTCATCTGCACAATGCATACATGCGTGTGCGTGAGTCCAGCTGTTTGGTGATTAGAAGCAACGTGTCAGATTCTATCAGCCTCACTTGCTTGCTTTCCTAACCTCCCCCGTGGTTAGACTTAATTCTCCCTCTAATCTCACAGTTTAACAGCAGGTCTTAGGGTGGCCGGCCGGCCGACCGATTGGTTGGTTGGTTGGTTGGTTGGTTGGTCGGTTGGTTGGTTTGTCGGCCATGTCGGGGGATATTTCATACAGCTGCTAGCTGGTTGGCTGTCGAACCCGGGGGGCTGTAGGGGAATTCCAGGCATGTTTGCCAACAGGTCACAGCTTGATGTTCACCTGAGTAGAAGAGAAAGAGTCAGAGGGGGTTTGGGTCTGCATTGTGTGTGTGTGTGTGTGTGTGTGTGTGTGTGTTTGTGTGCGTCTACTCATTTATTTGGATTATTGAAAGCTGCTCCAGGTGTTCAAGATGCCAGAGAAATTACATTTCTGCTTGATAACCTTCTCCACCCTGAAATCTTAAAGGTGGAGTCGTTAAACTTAAAAGCTGGCGGGACACCAGGGACCAAAAATAACTGCATTTAACCAACAAAACCCTGATTGCCTTGTTTTCTTATGAACTCCATCTCGAGGTTTCAAAATTGAGGGTTGTGGGAGTTGAGACAGTTTTACTCTGAACTGCTGGAGCTCAGATACAGTTGGATGTGACGTTGTGACATTTTAAAATCACCCTTGCCTCCTTTTATTTGTCTTGTTTTTGTGTTCTTTTAGTCTTCGTCTGTGTCAAGGTCACATTTGAGATAAAGTAAAACTATTTCAGGAATGTAGTTGTATCTTCATGAAGAAACAATGTGAACAAAACAAGCCTAAATCTCAAGCAGTCAGACACACAGTTTGATTATTATTATTATTTTAGAAACAGAGGAAGGTTTTCTCAACCAAATTAACCAACCAAAATCGTATTGTCTCGAACGTAATTCGATGGCATAATTTAAATATCATTTAGATTCTTTGAGTGCTTTCACGCCCGTAGTTGGCTTGATTTGTTCTAGACCGAGGTTAGTTTTGATTCCTGTTCACACTGACTTTTTATTAATCAACATGAAGGTATTCAGTCCGAGAAGTAGCTTGTTGATCGAACAGTTTTGTGTTTCTATCACAAGAGCTCATGAAGAAACAATTGATTACATTCTAATTAGACTCCAAATCACCTCGTTGGCATGAATAATAAATCCACGCTTATTCCCCTGGGGTCGCTTTCAAACACTTTTCAATGCAGTCAAATAACTGACAAACTGTGTGTCTGAACATCACGGAATAATCAGAGAAAACATCTTGCTGTCATGCATTTATCTTTATGCAGATACGTTATAGACATGCTCTTATTGTTATTATTGTGATTATGAGATTGCTTCAGATTAGCCTTTTTATATCTTAAATAATTAATTTCTCAATAAACATTTTGTTTTCAGCAGTCTTTCGTTATGTTTACAGTGTCTGTAGAAGATGAAGACAATCCAGCTTTTGAGAAGCTGAAAAGTCTGCTGAGCTACATTTATGGAGAACTAAATTATAGACATCCACCAAACTGAGATCCTCTTCTAAGTATCATTTACACTCCTCTGTGTGTGTGTGTGTGTGTGTGTGTGTGTGTGTGTAGCCTCCAAGAGAGACTGTATTGAGCGTTTTGGACAGAGTACCATTGAGAGGATCAGCAATGACAATGACATCGTCTGCACCACCGAGTACTCCCGTATCGTCCCGTTGGAGAATGGAGAGGTGAGTGTGCATTGGTGTAAAAAGTACATTATGTCTTTTGTTCAAAGCTGCACAGCAATTGTTTCCTCATTCCAATGTTCAACTGTAAATGTGTTGCTTTCATACAACTTGTGTGAGTGAAACATTTCAAAATAAACTCAACAATGACAACAATTTTGCCGGTGGCAGAATATTAAATTAAGAAAATAACCAAAATAAGGGGGGGTTATCATCCGCTTGATGATTGCAGGACTTTCCAAGACTCTAATCTTTTATGTTTTACCACCTGTTGGTCCCATGATAACCAGCCTCTGTCCTCCTCTCCCAGGTTGTTGTGTCCTTGGTGAACGGTCGGCCCGGGGCTTTGAACTTCTCCTACTCGCCGGTGCTGAGGGACTTCACCAAGGCCACCAATATCAGGCTTCGTTTCCTGAGAACCAACACGCTCCTGGGACACTTGATGGGAAAGGCGCTCCGTGACCCCACCGTCACCCGCAGGGTAACGCAATGCAACCAATTAGGAAAGATCCGGTGATGTCATATTCTGAAGAAGAGAATGAAACGTCCATGTAACTGCACACTTGGCTGCAGGTGTTTGCCCCGGAGTCTTACAGCCTTAGAGACGTCATAATGATGCATTAAGATGCAGTATTACAGTATTACAATCACTGCAAAATTATAAAAAGATTTGTCAAATCTGGTCCAAGTACACCAAGAAAATGTTATATAAACTTAATATAAACACTTAAACAATAGTTTTGTATATATAATATCTTTCAGTATATATAATATTGAATTAAATAAATGTAGATCCTTGTTGTTTTTATTACTTTTATTTCTTATTTAAAATAGCTGTTTGATCTCAGACCTTGTGTCTTGTCTCTGAATTTAAACCGTTGTGGCTGTAATCCCGTGAATATCCCCCCTGTGGGACTAATGAAGGATTATCTTATTTTATCCCTTATCTGATCTGTGGGAATTAAAAGCCACTATGAAGGTGTTACCAGTCATTCCCGTAGGAATTGGAAGGGATACGGTTACCGTGGATCTCTTTAAGCGATCTGTAAAAAAGAAAAATCTCACAAACAAGATACAACGTTTAAATTAGTGAGCTGCAGATGTTCCGTTTCCAACCTTCGTGTTCAGCGTCATATTTACGGTGCAGGCACAAGAGTGGTGTGGATGTTGCATCCTATTTCCCCAAATATCAAAATATTCCTTCAACTAAAACATGACGTATTACAACATATTGATGGTAGTAACTCTTCTTGTGTATTCATTCCATGTTACAGTATTACTACAGTATCAAAGACATCAGCATCGGAGGACGCTGCGTGTGTAACGGACATGCTGAAGCCTGCGACGCCGATGAGCCCAACAACCCCTACAGGTGGGACCCGGCCTTCAAAGGGTCAATGGATTTCACACACACAGACGCACGCACAATATCGAAATCAGACGGCACTGTCATGACTCACAGACAACATTGTTTCGACTGGATTTTGTTCTGTGTGTGTGTTAGTGTGTGTGTGTGTGTGTGTGTGTGTGTGATTGTGTGTCTTGGTAAACTGCAGGTTATAAAAATGATTTATTGAGCGGGAGTCTGGCGCGTCTACATGCTGCAACACAAAGAAACATTGTGCTGACACTCCACACTCCGACACCTTTATACACACTCAACGTTGCAAAATGGAAATGGCCAAATTGATATCCTCAACCTACTGGTCGGATCTGATTTATAAGGGTTTTATTTTTCTCAACGTCTGTCTTTATTATTCATTATCTTCAACGTAATGAAGGAAAGGAATAAATAATGTGATATCATACAGGTAATTGTCTAATTGTATATCAAGTTTGTTTTTGTTGGATCAGAAGTACAATACAGAGCCTGTTTTAATTCATCTGGATGAACTGTGCGTGTGCGTGTGCGTGCGTGTGTGTGTGTGTGTGTGTGTGAGAATGTTTGTAAAGTTCTACATAAGTGTTGGTGTCTCATGATGAGTGGAAGTGGACTGCATATGTTTAACTTTATTGTATGTGTCGCACACGCACGCCTACACACAAAAGAATGAACCACCGCCTTGATCTGGCGATAGATATTTGCCCCCTGTCTTGTAAAGCCGATACTGTAGCTCTTGTCTTTTTTCTACGCGTGACTGATTTGGGAATTTGGGAGGGATTTCATCGGGAGGAGATGGGGGCCGAGGGGGGGGGGGGGGCCTGGCATTTGTCAAATATTTGAATGTACGGTGAAGGAGAATATTCTGCTGCTGGTTTGACAGTAGATACTGACACACATATGGCATGTTTCCTTCCTTCTACTGTTAATCAGAGTTAATCTTCAGTAAAGTCCAGTTAGAGAGAGTTTCCTCCAGAAAGGATCTAGAACATCACAGCAGTGTCTGACCTGCGTTATGATATTGCCAATATACTGTATATAGATAGATATATAGCCAGCCTAGAAGTTGTGCTTGCATTTTTACGCATTTAACAACTGACTCTCAAGTGAAATATAGACATTTAAAAATTGAATAGTAACCATCAATTATTTACTGTCAGACTTCCGAGCTGATCTACTTTTAAACAGTAGATCTCCAACCGTCGCATCTGTGTTTGAGTCTGTTTCTTCCAGACACTGAGCAGAGCAGCTGCAGTCACTTTGTCGGGTGTGCGCTCGAGCTAAAGCCGAGCCTCACGTCCTCTGCGTGTCCGTCGGTGTTAGTGGCACACGGGTGTAGCTGGAGGAGGTGTTTGTTATATCTTGGTGGGACCCCGACAGGTACTGTGGGAAGACGTGTGTTAAGCTTTCATGTATCTGCTTGCGTGCACACACATCTTCACACAATTTCTTGCAAAAGACCTTCTCAACCCGAGGTGAAACATATTTCTCTGCGGAAGAGTACTTAATGAAAAACATTCATTTTGTACAGAATATTAGTACTCTGTTTTCCTTTCTTCCTCAGCTTTTTAGACATTTAAACTAAAATCTAAAATTACAATCTAAAACAGGGCTACGCTTTGGACAACTATTGGCTGTCTTACGTTAATGCCGCTCAACCACTCGCATATTCAAAAGAATTACAAGACGTAGCAAAAGTTTTCACAACACCCTTATGTGTAATTCAATCAAGTTTATATTGCACTGCATTTTTTTAATGTCTCTAGTTGTATAGTTTCATACGGTAAGAGCTTTAATCTCTATCAGCTGAGGTACATATTTACACAACGGAGTGTCTTTACACTGCCAACATAATGTAATCCTGTTTAACAGGCAGCGCCTGCAGGCTGATGTCGAGTACAGTTAACCTGAGCGTGTCTTGGCTTCACTCCCTTTAAACCGCATTGAGCCGTCCAAAACACGTCCACCTTTGCTTTGTGACTTTTTGTTAACAAATCCATTGGTTGAGCATAAGGACCTGAGCTTTACAGGACCTGAAAATACTGTACAGACTAATATGTCATGCGTCGTGAAGACCTTGGATGGCGACAGTTGCAGCCAAAGATGAAAACATAAGTAAAAAATATGTTGGAGGTTAAAATAATTTCCCTAATTTGGACACAAATATCCAGAGGGATCTATGAACACAAGTGTGTAATAATAAGCATTTTACATGGCCTGTGTGAACCATTTGGTTTCACTTTGCTGCTTCACCTCCAGTTCAGGATGAGAGCTGTCAGAGGGGAGGCCACATCTGGGTTAGTCATTAGCACAGCTGGTGCCATGTGCGTAGAGTGTGTTAAGTATAATTGTGTCCACCCCTGTGTGTGTGTGTGTGTGTGTGTGTATGTGTGTGTGTTTTGGTTCTTTGGGTGTGACTGGACAGCAGCCTCACATTTTCTGCATACAGCACTTGCAATAATTAAATGGAATCATAGAGAAAATCGTATAAATGAGTAAACCAGAGATGTGAGTGTAAAGCAGAGCGTTGTTTATTAGCGATGGAGCAGTTTCCCGTCCTTCATATTCAAAATCAACCAGAATCCAGTCACAATTCCACTTTTAGGGACATCTGTTACTCTTTTACCAAATTACAGACTGAGATGTTGTTGAACTTGTGACTGGTATTTCACACGTTGTCCCTGACGGACTGAGACATGAACCTTGTCAAACTGTTTATATTCCAAATATTTTTCATTTCTTGAGTCCTACAGTTGCTGTTAGAAGGATATTTAGGCTTGTTTCATGGAGACGGGTTTTTTTATTGAAGGGAAAACGGCATAAGGAATTTTAAAAAATCCCTCCTGACCTCATCAAGCTTTTGGAAATGCTTTCTCTGCTTTGTGTCAGAGCGAAGGAATTCCAATCTGAAAACTGGTATCAATGCTGGACTTTGTTTAACGTTGTACATCCAGCAGGTGTGCTACAGACGACGGACGGTGTGCTGACTGGAGCTCTGTGTTTAAAAATGTGACCTATAGCTGCTCTGCTGATATGATTATGTAACTGTAAAGGTTTAAAGGCCAAGAAACAGAGACTACATGATGATGGAGATTGTGTCCTACACAGTTATACATTGAGTAAAACACTGATGAGAAATGATAAATGAAAGCAAGGTTTCACAATATAACATTCAACTACTTTTTTTCCGGTTATTTTACAGAATAATCCCCTAAAATAGTATAGACTTTCTTGGTATGATACACTTTGAGAATTGTCAGCAGACAAAACTAATTAAAAGTAAGCAACTAAGCAAAAGTTTCCCACTGAACTAAAATAAAAAATGTTGGTTATGTAGAACAATTTAAAAACGTAGAGCAAACAAACAAGAATTATATAATCTGTCAGGGTCTATAAAGCTAAACATAAAGTCAAATCCACTATAGTGCTTTCTAAGTACACAGCACACAGTCAAAGGCCGCACCATAGACAGCCACTGAACTGTTTTCATCCACTGTCTTTGTTGTGTCAATAATGCAGAGTTCCTCCAAAGTTTTGTTCTTCAGGTAAAAGAATATAGCGTTCAGGGAACAATTCATTACTAAAAAGTGAAATAGAAACCTAATTCTAAATATTTAACTGTGAATTGAATAGGGGAAATTGTGCTTTATGGCCCTTTGAGTTCACTCTGCTTGGGTCAGGAAGCTGCTGGTCCTTAGCTGACGATCAAAACCAGGAAGTAGTGAAGTTTGATGGAAGCCGTCCATTGAAAGCCACTTCCTAAAACGCTTGAGCAGGGCGGATCACCAGGGAGCAAAGGAAAGACGGATGGAGAGCCTCAGAGATTGGGGATGCATGAGTGAGCGTGTGAAGTATATTGTGTGTGTGAGCGAGAGAGAGGCTGAATGGATGGTGGAGTTGAGGTGAAAGCTGGAAACACAATGAGCCCGTTGAAACACAATACGCAGACACGTTATCAGCGTGGGCCAGAGCAGAGCAGCCCTCCAAATAGGCATTCTAAACACCTAAAATACATTTCAAATGGGAATGAATTGTATTATTCAGTGTGCTATTAAGATTTTGACCATTCAGTAAATAAATCGTGATATCAGCTTACATTTTGGGAAAAACAATGACCGAAAAAGAGTAACTAAAAAAAGATCAAAACTATTACAAAGTTACATGAAACACATACAAAGTGACACAGAACAGTTAAAGAATGGGAGCCCAGGGACTGTGAACGTCGTTAGCACAATAATGTTGATGTAACTAAATTTTGATTTACAGAGATTGAATGAATCCGCGGTTTGAAGCAACGTGCAAAGTCAACGGTTCCCATGTCGGTTTAAGAGCATTGTTATTTTAGGATTTTAAATCAAACTTTTGTCGTTGTTGGTGATTTTCTGTGTCCCCAGTCCTCTGTCTTTGTCTCTCCTTGACGTAAGAAGACAGAGAGATGAGGCAACAGTGTTAACGGTTTCTTTCCTCCCTCCCCGCTGTGTTTTGGCCACACTCGGCAGGCCGCAGGTTTACAGACTAATCCGATTAAAATCTGTGGTGAAGCAGTCAGCCGCCGGTCAATGAAGTAGGAAGATGAACTCTTTCATTGTAGGGGTTTCTATTTCCACCTTTCTCGTTTCTATTCACTGTCTGACACACTTGCTCTTCCGCGTGCTTGGAAGTGACGGCAGCAGTGTTGGAGGAAGAGGAATGTGAACTTTTCAGCCGGCTGATTTTAGAACATTGGTTTCCAAGTCTTTTGCGTCGGCACTCCAACCGAATCTGTTGTTTACTTTACTCATACTGTTGTTGTTGTTGTTGTTTACAGGTTACAGTGTGACTGTCGGCACAACACCTGTGGCCTGTCTTGTGACCAGTGTTGCCCCGGCTACAACCAGTTGCCGTGGAAGCCAGCCACCACCTACAGTGCCAATGAGTGTGAACGTGAGTAGGAGTCTGTGTTCACTGATGCACACGTACTCAAGCATCTGTGGAAGAACACACACACACACACACACACACACACACACACACACACACACACACACACACACACACACAGTTAAACCAGTGATCCCTGCAGTGGAATGTGTTTCTTTTTATGTGTTGGTTCAATGGAAGGAGTTTGTCTTAATTTAAAGGAGCTCAACAGACACATGTTCTGCCGTGCTGCTGATAATCTGCACACATCCAAATTAACTGTAGAAAATTCCTCCAGGACCCCTGGTTGAATATGAACATGAATACAATGAAAATATGGTTGTGTTATTTCCTGCTACCTGTGTGCCAGGAGATCTGTTTCCATTCAGAGATGCCCGTGGATTCAGTCATCATCGATGTTGGTGTAAAAAGTTCTCACAGTGCCAATATATAAAAGTGGAATTTGCTCCTTTGTCATTTAAGATTCTGAATTAAATGACAAAAATGGGAAGGATTTATTGATGAGCCCTAAGAGAGCTCAACAGTTTCCACCCAACAGAGAATGGGGGAGTCCTGCATCTGTAAACACACAGATCAGTTTTTATCCAATTATTCAAAGTTGAAGCTCTTGGGTAACAGCAAACTGCATCAATCAGACGCTTTTCTGTTCCCCGTTAGGATTGTAGGTAGTGTGATTCTCAATAAGGAAAGAAAAGGGTTTTCTTTTAGTTGTGTTGATGAAATAAGGCACCTTATGTTTGTGACTCCCAAGCTCAGTATATTTTATCTCATTTTACCTTCCAAACATGTGTTGATTAAAGCACTTCACAAAGACAATCCACAATAAAGCGTCAATCGCGCCGTAAAACCTCTCTGTGAATGCCGCCGTCTGCACCCTTGATTTATCAAAGCTCCGGTTATATTTACATGTGAGAGCCGTGTGTTATCAAAGCTGCAGTTATATTTAACAGGAACAACGTGAGTGCCACAATGGCAAAAGGGTCACCAAAGGGCAACATGATAGGAAACTACAGCCACAGGGAGATGCAGGCATGCAGCACAGGTAGAGTGAGAGCGGATCAGATTACAGTCACATGCTAACTGGAAGTATCAATATATAATGCATTTACTTTTAATCAACCAGCGAGATGAACACTAAGCCGCAGGAATTCTGATGATGGTTTGCCTACATGAATAATATAGTAATATATCTGTTTGAGAGCAGAGTGTGGTACTTTGTATGAGTCACTGCTAGTTTAATGCATTAAATCCTCCCTCGACAGCCTTTTTAGATTATTCTTTTTTTGGGGGGTTGGTTTCAAGGAAGCAAAAAAAGTAAAATATGCCTCAAGTCTGAGAAAAAGCACTCACTACAATCAGAGGTGAAGGATAAGGAGCGCTGGTTTATCCAGCCGGCACCTCTCAGGCGCTGAGGGTCAGATAAGAACAAAAAGCTCTATATCCGGGTTTCACTGACTCTGTATGAAGAGCAAACTTTGTTGAGGTTTTTCTGCATGTCTGTCTTAAGCCTACGGTTCCCTTTCTTTACCTTAGATTAAGTTGAAGAATGTCTGAACGATGACGTCAAGTTTGGGCCGTTCAACTTGATTCATGTAATGAAAGGACTCATTAACACAAGCACAAAGTTCTTTTCTTGTCTCCGCCCATGTTGATGACACGACTTTATGAATTCGCTCGCTAGCCCAATAGAAAGTGCATCAAAACATCTGCATTTGCTTTTTGAGATGATGTCAAAGAACTTGGTTTGTCAGTTTCATGGTGGCTTGATGAGGCTTTAACATTAATTTATATATTTTTAAATGTTTATATTTAAATTAGAAACAATCAACCATTTCAGCTTTGGGTAATGTTCTATTTTTCTGGACTCCTGAGACGTTCTTTGATTGCTGCCTGTAGTCAGACATGAAAAATCCCTTTCATAATTCATAAAATATCCCCAAACTTCTCATTTCTTCTTCAAACTTCAAAGAACCTAACGACTGACTTACATCAAATGTCAGGAAATAATTAAGCTTGTGTGGTGTTACATAAATAGCTTCACACATTTCTCTCTTCTGCTGAGAACAGAAACGTCTTGACTTGCTCCTTACTCTCTTTCCCTCTCCTGTTTCTTCTTGTCCTCTGTCATTTTATTTTATCCTGCTTCATGTTCTTCATGCACTTTTCACCCTCCAGGTGACTTCCTCATGCTCCATGTTTGTTCGTGGGCTTCTGTCCATGTTATTTCATATTAATTCCTTGTGTAAAGGACTATGAGCTTAAAGTTGATTATGTCATATAATAATAAGATTTTAAAACGTTTTTTCAGCGTGTAACTGTCACCGTCACTCGTTTGACTGTTACTACGACCCCGAGGTGGATCAGCGGAGAGGCAGCATCGACATCCACGGACACAACAGAGGAGGAGGAGTCTGCCTCAACTGCCAGGTAATGTTGTCTGTCGATAAATAACAAGTAATAATTGCAGGGGTAATTTTCATAGAAACACCTCTAATGTCCTTAGAGATCAAATGGTCCTAATTTTGTAGTAGAGTAAAATAATAGTGGTGGTTTTTGTGCTTTCCTGTTTAATAAGGGATCACAGTCACAGCTGCCACTTGCAGTGTGTAATGACCTAAGGAATCTATATTTTGCAATCAGAATTACCAATAAACTCTGTTCAGGAAAAGACAACTCACTGATTTGAGGTTTTTATTATTTATTTGTGACTTTTTTCTTGTAAATCTGCCACTCTCAAATAGCATCAATTTTCCTCCCACGGTGCTGTCATTTTTCCTTTTTTGTATTTACAATTGCCTTAATGTGCAGTTTTCCGTAATAATGTGTTTTCCATATACAAAATCAATACTTTAAAATGTACTTATATAAAGTATTATCATCAAGCAATTGTGCGCATCACAATCATTAGTAACGGAAACTCGTCCTTTTCAGCATCACACCACTGGAGCCAACTGTGAGCGCTGCATCCCCACCTACTACAGGTCACCTGACCACAGTATCGACTCCCCATTGGCCTGCTCACGTGAGTGACAGGATCAAATGAACACAAAACATTAAAATGCAAATATAACATTTCCATCATTTATATAATTTCTTTTTTTTTGTATTGTCATTTTTTGCACCTCCTCTTCCTCCCTCTTCCTCTCTGCAGGCTGTGACTGTCAGTCAGAGTTCTCAGATGGTACCTGTGAGGATCTGACCGGTCGCTGCTTCTGCAAACCAAACTACACCGGAGAGAACTGTGACTCCTGTGCCAGCGGCTTCACCAACTTCCCAGACTGTTACTGTGAGTACCAGACAAAAACTACTGTAACTGGACATCACATCCACATGCACCTTGCCCTAAAACCTCTGCTTTCTAATATCTCGCTTTTTCTCTGTGTCCACCAGCCATCCCCACCTCCAACAACAACGGCGAAGCCAAACCTGCAGGAGAGATCATCCGTAAGAAAAAATGCATTTGTCCTATTTTAATTACATTATTTATTTTAATATACATGTATGTGTTGCTCTTTTGTTGCTTCTGGGATCCAATTTGAGTAAAAAGGTTTTGTCTCTTTTATCTAAACCATTACAGAGTATGCAAGTCTGTTATCATACATACTTTCAAATACTTTAGCAGAGTATGGCAGACATGTACAATGAAGGTTAGCTTATAATACAAAACACTTGTTTTCCATGATGGTTTTCATCTGTTCAGTTTTTTTTTTTTGTGAAAGTCAGATGTTTGGGGGAGTTTTGAGAAAATCAGTGTGGCGTAAATGGAATTTCAGTGGAATGTGATAAGCTGGAAAAAACAAAACACTTTTCAGTCCAAACTCATTGATACATGTTGGTGTGGCACCTGCTGTGGCTCAAACGGGATGCGTTTGAAGAAACAATACTGACAAAAAAAAAACTTCTCTATAAAAACCTCCTGTCTTCTCTCTGCAGACTGTGAGTGCAGTGCAGCCGGTACCGTAGATAACTTCTGTAGGCCGGATCCCCGAACCCGGACCTGTATCTGCAAACCAGGTTTCACTGGTGGCCATTGCGACACCTGTGCTCCCGGTTTCTATGGATCCAACTGTCAGGGTGAGAGATGCTTACATGAATTGACAAATATATAATATACTATATATTTCATCTGCAAAATATGAATAAGAAAATGAAAATAAACTCTTAGGCCGTGGTTTAATGCAACCTTTGCTGTTGGGACTTGAGTTCCCATATCTGAGCTCGGTCGTGTCAACACACATTATTTGTGAACTAATAAAGGATAAAACTTCACATGACGACCCCATCCCTTTAAGCTCTCAAATAAAATGACTCTGCTTTAATTGAGGCTTTATAGGTTTTTGATTGCAAAACTTTGACAGTTGTGTTTGATGGGTTGTGTCACAGACAACAGACACAAAAATACAAATGCACAAACAGGAGGTAGGAATTTCAAAGGTTTTATTTCTAGGCTTGTTTATTTATCCCGTGTTAGTTTACCACCCAGGAGAAGCAACAAACACACACAAACACCTGAATAAACAGCTTGTGTCTAAACTGGGTTACTAGAGTTTACTAGAGTAAATGGTTTTACAGCATTCCTTGAGTGATTGAAGATGGTAAAACACACACACCTTCATCCCTAATACAATTTTAAAAAATGGGTGGTATTTATCAGTCTTGGTTTCTGCTGTTTGTTTATCTAACTAAATGTCTTTATGTTTGTTTGTTTGTGTGTGTATGTGTGTGTGTGTCTGCAGCCTGTCAGTGCTCAGGTCCCGGCTGTCTGGATGGGTCATGTGATTTGGTGACAGGTCACAGTGTGTGCCGGAGTGGTTTCCGGGGTTACCAGTGCGACCAGTGTGCACCGGGCTACTTCAACTACCCGCTCTGCCAATGTGAGTCATCTGCAGCTGCGACGGCGTCTGGACCGTATAATGTTATGAAAAACAGAGAATAGATGCAGACAAAACCAGGAGATCGGTCAGACAAAACCATGACGCTGGGCATTTTGCCTGGGGTCATACAGGATAATATCTGGGGGGTTTTCTGCAGTGAGTTTTCTGAGAATTATCTTTGTGTGATTTCTATAAGAAAATCCTTCATGATCGGGCCTTTTTAAACGTTTATGTCTGGTGTTGCAACTAAATCCCGTGTCTGTCCAAATCACAAAGACTCTCCACGTCTGTCTGTGCAGTGTGTGGCTGCAGCACGGTCGGCTCCTTGCCTGAAGGTTGCGATGCGTCTGGCCGTTGTCTGTGTAAACCAGAGTTTCAGGGTCCTCGATGTGAGCAGTGCAAATCTGGATTCCACTCATACCCCAACTGTCAAGGTAAACACACGCACCCAGAAATGTAAATGTAAAAGGAAAGTGATAAAAAGCACCGTTACTGCTGTATATAGTAAGGGAAAGAGAGAATGTGATGATTTATTAAAGACACGTGGAAAGGCTTAACTTGACGCACCATCTCATGAAGTGTTATGTTTTGAGAATAAAGCTGCTTAAATCTTCTCTGAAACAGGGGAGCGAGTTGCTCGTTATTACGTCTCACCTCTTGTTTTCTCAGTGTGCACATGTGATCCTCGCACCTCGTTGGACTCCGGCTGCACCGCGTCGGGTCACTGCCACTGCCAGCCCAACTACAGCGGCGTGTCATGTGACCAGTGCGCTCCGGGTTACTATTCTTACCCAAGCTGCACGCGTAAGTCAACAAACTTTATATATATCCACACACAACGCTCCTGGCTGCTATCCCAAAGTTGAACAAAGCAATCGCCTTTGTGTTGTCCGCAAATCTCACTTGACTTCTTTTGCGGCTGCTACGTGATGCTTAACAAAGCAATGGATGAAACTGATGAATAACTGGAGTTGATGATGTGTTGCTTTCAGCCTGCCAGTGTTCTGCAGAGGGCTCCCGCTACATCAGCTGTGACCAGGTGACAGGACAGTGTGTGTGTCTGTCTACCGTGGCCGGCCTGAGGTGTGACAGCTGTGCACACGGCGCCTACGGCTTCCCCAACTGCAGAGGTGAAAAACACTTGCACACACGCGGGTCAAACACGGGCAAATTCTATTGGCTGCTTAACGTAATGGAGGTGAGGTGTGACAGCTGTAGTTAATGTGACCGACAGCTAATCACACACACACGCACACACACACGTGCAATAAGTGCTGTGATGGAAGCACGAGCAATGCTGCATTCACACACAATATCGGCTGGATGAGGAGGACACCTGTGAGTGTTTGCTTTGGCTTCACAGTGACACCATTTGCGTGAGTTTTGGACTTGAGTGTCATGAAAGATTTGATGACTTTAGGCTACACAAAGACTTGGCTTGGACTTCAGCTTTTGACGAAGACAGTTTAAACTATCGAGTGTTGTCTAAAGGACTTTGGCAGCGAGATGTGTTCTCAGTTTCAGGTTCAAAGTCTTAACGTATTCTCAAATCTTACAAACCAACGGCCTTCTTGTGACAGACGTTCATTGCTGTGTTGTTATCTGACAGGATAAACTATGTCAATATTGCTTACAACTGTCGTCTTAACGCTATACAGATAATTCATGTTGTCTGTTATATGCAAAGGACATAGAAGCACTACACAAACCGTATCGTGGTGAAGAACCAAACAAATGAACGAGCATATTATCTGATATTATGACTGGATTTGTTGCAGTATACTTCAAATAACTACATTTTAAAACTCAGCTGTATGAATATTGTGGTTCTTTCTCATTTAAAGCTGGTACCTGCCACCCTTCGGGCTCTGTTCAGTATACGGTGCCGCCACCAGTGGTGAGTTTTTATGATTTTTCTGTTTTGTATTACAAATTATTTTTAGGGGAAACCGTGACAAAAACAATGGCGTCAACTGAAAGAGCTTAGCTAATTATAGAAGCTGAAGTCATGGAAATAAAATAATCATTTTCACAAGGGATTAGTTTTACCAGGGCTACCATAGCATTGACCATTATATAATAATAATATAATTTCTTGAGCTAATATCTCAAAATAATGAACACATTTCTCAAGATTTGTTATCTATATAATATATATATATAATATATATTAATATATATATAATATATATATATATATATATATATATTAATATATATTATATATATATATTAATATATATATAATATATATATATATATATATATATATATATTAATATATATATATATATATATATATAATTATTAAAAGGGTAAGTTTCGATCTTATTGTTTTCTATTTTATTATTGTGGTCTCATTGTAGTTTATTTTCCTCACACGCACCTTCTCAGGGCCAGTGTGAGTGCCGTCGTTATGTGGAGGGCCCGGCCTGTGACAAATGTAAAGCTCTGTACTGGAACCTCTCCCCCGACACTGCTGATGGATGCACCAGTAAGACACTACAAACGCCCACATCTCACACCACGTTTCACTGGTTTGAATGCTGTTAATGGAGCTAATTAATGATCTCGAGTCTAAGTGTCTTCTTTCTCCTGCAGACTGTGAGTGTAACATTGCAGGCACCATCAGTGGGGTTGCAGAGTGCGCACAGGTAAGCAAATTTAACTGCAATTTGTCAGCCATTATTTAGATCTCCTCCTCCTAATGGCGTGTTAAACATGTTGGTAATAAGAAATTGATGCTTAAATCTGGATCATTTCGCCTCCATTGTCTCCTGTATTACCTTGTGTATTATTATTGTATTAAAAAGTTGCTCTGATATCCATAACAAAATATTTGCCATGTCCATTTACACAACCAAAATGGTTTGAAAATAATATTAGTAATCCGAAACAATCTTCCTACTGAAGGTTAAACAGACAACAGAATGATCGATAACCTTTTACTTAATAAAAGCAGGCTTCCTGTTATCATTCTAATGGTAATAATGCACTTTTCCTCTGACAGGCGACTGGTCAGTGTCACTGTAAACCCAACGCCTGCAGTGGAACCTGCTCCAGCTGTAAGGAAGGCTATTACAACCTGCAGGAGCACAACTACTTTGGCTGCCAAGGTGAGTGCTCATCAGCTTTGTCTAATACAACATCTTAGATGTTCTGTTTCCCTTCAGACAAATGCGTTGGGATGCGGCCATCTGGTATTTACATTTTTGTGTGACGTATTTAGGTTGCCAGTGTGACATTGGAGGTTCAGCGGGTCAGTCTTGTGGGGAGAGGAACGGCCGCTGTCTCTGCAGACCCAACGTGGAGGGACAAAAGTGTAATCTGTGAGTCATATATAACACAGCGTTATTGATATCCTTCAATTGACCAGACAATGAACGTGCACAAGGGAAGCCGTTACTTTTTCACACTAAATGCCACCTGTTTCTGCAGACCTCGTCCAGATCATTACTTCCCAGACCTCCATCACCTGAAGTTTGAGATTGAGGAGGGAACCATGCTGGATGACCGACCAGTGCGGTTTGGCTACAACCCTGTGGAGTTCCCGGACTTCAGCTGGAGGGGTTATGCTCAGATGTCCCCCGTCCAGGTAGGAACGTTGCATTTGACCTTTAACATCGGCACTTGTCATGCAGTGAGGATTTGGTTGGGTATTAATTGTATTCCAATCCTGCTCATATATTTACCGTGCCCCTTTAACTTAGTGCTAATATTACATTTGCAGAAATCTTGAGGTATTAAATCAGGTCATTGCATTTCATATCATCTCACTGATATATTTCTATGTTATTTTCTTACAAGTAGTGTGATTGTTAATATTTATTACATATTTTTGTGACTGTGGCCCTGTCATGCTCCCCCTGAATGAATCTGAAAGCCAGCTCCATGACTGAAAGTGATGTGGACATTTAAAGTGGTATTTCTCGTTGGTGGAAGCACCTCTCAGCACGTATTACTCCAAAGCGGTTGATGAAGTGATTGAGTGACTATTTATGTCATTATAGATCTAAGAAGTTCATATTTTAAAATACATTTTGGCTGATATTTTCTGAGCTTTTTTGTATATTTGTGCTGAGAAGTGGAAATCCAGAGAGATATTCCAGGTGGTTTGGGCTCATTAGAGTGTGTGTTTATAGTGGTGATGGTATTAAAGTCTCACCTTTGGCTGAGCTTCTCTTATTCTATTGGTGTTGTATTTATTCATCCCTCCCTCCCTCACGTTTTTCCTCTCATCCCCCTTTAATCTTCCTTCTCTTGTCACTTTCCACCTTCTCCTTTTCTTCCACTACCTGTGTCCTTTACCCCCTTCCTCCTCCCTCCTATGTTTCCCTTCCCCTCTTCCTTCCCGTCATCGTGCCCTTCCCTCTCCCTCTGCCTGCTGCCTTGCTCACCGGCCTTTCGACAGTCCAAAGTGTTGGTGTCGGTGTCGGTCAGTTCTCCAGACCTCTTCCATGTGGTGCTGCGCTACGCCAATAGGAGGGGTTCGGATGTTCGGGGCCGGGTGTCGGTTATAGACGAAGCCATGAACTACTACTGTGGTAACTGTGAGTGGAAAAAACAACAACAGGAATGCTTCCCGAGCTGCTTCTTCTTCTGTCTTCTCTTTTCTTTTCTTTTTATATTATGAATTTTAGAGATTTTTCTCACTTGGACTTCCAAACAGACATGTCTATGTCTCCCCCTTTCCGTTCGGGTGTCTCTCTGTCAGACGATGGATGGATGGATGTGTGTTGTGGTTGGTGGCTTTGAGACGATGTTGGTGGTGGCTTCTCCTCCCACCTTTTCTAACCTCCAGGGCCACAGATCAGTGCAGAGTTCAGGGATTTAAGACCTAAGTATTCATATCTTGTACCCTCCACGCTTCTCCTATTTTCCCACTTCTACCCTTTGCAACCCTGTAGACTGCAGTGAAGCTTCAGGTTTATGTGAGCGAGGCAGACGTCTATCTGACTCGCTTCATCCTCAGATATGTAAACTCTGAGGGCGCTACGTCCAACGGTAAAATAACAGCCTATCAGGTCAACCGCAGAGGTACGTCTACACCAATCACAAGAGTGCGTCAGTGTGAGTGTTTTTCATTGTAAAGTGCTGGTATCAAAGCAATTTCATTTTAGTATTATATTTTCTTTCTACAGTTAATTGTATTTTGTTGTTGTTAATTTATATTGTCCAATTTTTACATGTTTTTCCCTCAAATACATTTTCAGTATTCAACCTATTTCTCTCTTGATTTTATTTGTAATATAAAACTGCTGTGTGTGTGTGTGTGTGTGTGTGTTTTCCAGGTTCAGAGCAGTCCAAACAAATTGTTTTTGCTCCCAGTATGGAGCCGACTTTCGTCAATGTTCCGCAGAACACTTTTGTGGAGCCGTTTGTCCTGAACCCGGGAACCTGGACTGTTGTTATAGAGGCAGAAGGAATCCTGCTGGTGAGACACACACACGCACACACACACACACACACACACACACAACTCACCTGTATTTAAACATTTCTACAAACATTTAAACCTCTAGCTGTTTATGCAAAGTAACCATGGCATAGAAAGCCAAGAGAGAAAACCTTTGGGATGTTCTGTCAGATTTAATCCACCAATTATCCAGCTGATTAGTGGCACAAGTTGACAAAGGGATTGCATTTATTGTGTTGTGTTCATTATTTATTGGGTCAGTAACACTGTATTTTGCCTTCAGGACTACCTCGTACTTCTGCCCAGCGCCTACTACGAGGCTCCTATCCTGCAGATCAGAGTGACTGAGCCCTGCTTCTACAGCTCTGTGCCTGAAGCCAGCCACAAGTAAATATGCACATTCATTTTTCACTAAATAAAAAGACAGCTCCACATGTAGGTGCTTCAATATGGAATGAAAGTGGTACATTTTTCTGGTCATGTAAAAACAGGTTTTAAACCCTGAGGGAATCCTTTTGACATTAAAGGAATATATGTTTCTTTCTGTGAGAGAGTTGGAGAAGTAGACCGGTACTACTCTCCCGCCTATATGATGCGTATGATCCTACAGCCTGATGCCTATCTTCATATTAACCATACAGACCAAAACGTTGGCATTAAGATTCCCCACAATGTTGAACTATTTCATTTACCCCAAAACTAATTCTAATTATATTGTCAGACTAATTATAGGTCTTATAATTCTGTTCAATTTCCTTCATAGAATCCTTTCCTCAAAGTTGGGCCCATGCTATTCTTGTGAGGACATTACACATTTGTGTCGTCGTGAGGATGAAACAAACGGAAATCAATCATACTTTCAGTCACTGTCTGATGCGTCTCTCTATCCATGTAGCTGTCTGCAGTACAGATATCTGTCTCTGGACTCCTTCCCCTCCATCTCGGGCAACGGCGCCAGCTGTCGCAACGACAACCACCTGCCGCGCCCCTGCCCAACTGAGAAGGTCACCGCGCGTCACCCAGACATGGCCGTCTGCAGCGGATACGATGTAAGTGAGGGGAAAGTATTTATCTTGGTTTATAGAACACACAAAGAGTCGGAGCTTTATGAACTATTTTGTTTTACCCCTCAGATCAGCGTTGAGCTGCGAGGACGTCTGTCGTCTGCGGGCAATTACGTTCTGGTGGTGGAATACTCCAGTGAGGAAGAGATGCCACAAACTCTGTCCGTCACTGTAAACATGGCGGGAGCACGAGCACACGAGCACCACGTGACCCTGCAGCACTGCAAATACAGGTACGAAGGAGATCTTTCCTCAGATTCAATTTTCTCTTTTTTTATTTATTTGATTATTTCCACGTCCCTTGAATAAGTGCAGAAATCTGGAGAGGGCAGAACTAAAATATTTCTATCTGTAGCTTTTCACCCCATTTTTAAAGATGAATTGAGGAATTGGTGGTAGAAGTACCACAAAACTGCTACCTGCGACCAGTATGATGGTGGACCCTTCCTAAGCCCCGCCCCCTTAGTTACTGTTGTTAGGTCCTGCAAGCTCGTCAGAAAGGAACCTAGCAACACCGGTTTCTCTTAGAAACACTATTCCTCACTCCCTATTCCGGGATTGTTGGTTACCGTCGTAACCTAAAACCTTCCAACGCCTGTTGCGGCTGCTGAGGAAACACTCATGAAATCAAATATTGTATTAATTTGGAAAATCAATATATTTGTCCCTACCTGAATAAATAGCTGGATTGGACATTCATACAATTATTGTTAAACTCCACAAACCAGAGCGGCGCAATGACAGATGGGTAATCTTACCATCAACTTGCAGCCGGCAGTTCTTCCTTTCATGTGTCTCTTTGAATTTAACTAATGTTGCCACCAAAGGTTTGTAATCTTATTTAACACGGCATGAGTGCCCTGCGCAGACCACATCGCAGGGAATCACAAAGCGATCAGAACACAGCCTGTTCATTCTGGCTGCAGATAAAAGGTGTGTGTTTTCACCCTAACGTGTGGACTCAGCTGGTTCACGGTTCACTGTTACCGCTCTTTGTGAAGTCTGTCAACACCTCTTAATCACTCTGTGTCTGTTTGTGTGTGACTGTCGGTGTTTGAGCAGCTTCCTGTGTCGAGCCGTGGCGATCGACGGGCAAAACAGAGCGGCCGTCTTTTCCCTCCCCGCCGACGCCGAGATCCAGCTGAGCGCCGACCGTGCCAGCTTCTTCCTGGTGAGCGCAACACAAGCACGTCACATGAGAGACCCGGAGACGAGCAGTCATGGGATGAGCACGCCGGAGATAGGGTTATAAACATGGAAGGTTTCGGCTCGGATGAGATTTTCAAGAAGCTGTTGTTTGGAAACTGAGCTTATTTGAATCAAACATTGAAATGTTGGTTTTATTTATTTTATTTTAAGTCCTGAGAGGCTGGTTCGAAAGGTTTGTTCTAAAACTAATTTGAGGCTATTCATCACAATCCAATCCTCACAATCCTCAATTTCTCCATCATAAGCATACAAGCCAATAGAAATGAGATGAGACAAAATGGATAGAAAACAGAAATGACAAAAAAGAATATTCATTTTTGTAATTGCTGTTCGCCACCTTTTTATATTGTGTTTTGCATAATTTTGACCACAATGGGATAACATACTTGGGTCAAAAGAACATTTAGATTTAAAGTACATTTTAATTTTACAGACGTTTTCCTTTCACTAGTCATTCAATAAGATTTTTTTGCCTATTCTAAAAACATGATCTTTTATATTTTTAATGAATGACTTCCTCAAACATTGATTCACTTTCTCTCCATTGACCATCTTGGGCCTATTTCCGTTAAAAACATTTGTTTCTTCACGTTATTCAGCACAAAGTGTACCTGGTGCCTAAAGGCGAGTTTACCATGGAGTACGTCAAACCGAAAATCCACTGCATCAGCACTCATGGACAGTTCTCACCTGACAGGTAAAGTCACACATAATAACTTTACTATAACTCCTTTGCAAACACGCTCATACTCAACAACTGCCACTTCCCTCTGTCTCCGTAGTTCCTCTTGCATCCCCTCACGCTTCCAGATGCCGTCGGACTCGCTAGTCCTGAAAGAAGGCCAGAGCTCTTCAATGCAGGAGCCCGTCCAGGCCTCCCCGGCAGCAGCTCCTCCTCTGCCCTCCTACCAGAGCTACAAGCCGACCTGGACGGGAGGAGAAAGACCTCCCTACGGAGCAGATAATGGCGACCACATCCGGCTGGATTCAGTGCAGGTAGGTTTTAATATGCTTATCAATGTATTATCACTATAGTTTGAATCATTTGGAAGGATCTTGTTCATAGGCTTTGTGTCTGGAGCTGAGGTTTGGTACGGGGGGTTGGTGGGAAGTTTTATGGAACTGTTATTTTACTACAAAAAGAATTGTTCATTTTTAAAAAGTTACAATTTAAAAGTGAGTCTATTGCAAGAAGAGAGTTGACTATATCTTCTAAAGATGTAACCATTCAGTATAGTATATTGCATACTAGAGTATATTACGCTTTTTTAAATGAGGATCAGCTGGACTTTTAGTAAAACTCTCTATCCTCGTCTAAAATTACCATCATGCCTTTGATTTGGAGAGCGGATGAAATTCAAACCAACGGTAGGAAATGACCCCATCATGCAAAGGATTATGGGTATAATGAAAACATGCTTGTGGTCCTCATGACTTGACAACTTTTATCTGGACTGATACTCAAATTGAAGCATATCTTGAGGTGTTTTTACCTGGAACAGAAAGCACAAAGAGAAATAAATTCCTGCCGAGCTTCTGTTACAGGATTGAAGGACCAATCTCACTTTTAAGGAATGACACAAAACCAACACAGTTCGGTAGGAATCACAGTTGATAAGATGACTATCTTATCAACTGTGATTCCGCCCCTAAAACATTACTGTTGGAGTGGCTAATTCAGACATTGAAGATAAGAACGTTTGAAGAAAAATCTCTTCCTCTGTTACCACCTTACCCAGAATGCAGCGGTGTACTCCACCCGTGTCCATACCCTGGGACGTTACGTCTTCATCCTCCACTATCACCAGCCTCTCCATCCCAACTACCCTGTGCAGGTGTACATCAATGCTGGACGGATCTGGCAAGGTACCAGCATGTACATCACTGTCACACTGTACAAAATCAAATGGAGATTCACAGTTTTCATGATTTTATTTCTTCAGGCCAAGCCAACGCCTCCTTCTGTCCTCACGCTTACGGCTGCCGTAACGTCCTGGTTTCTGAGAACCAGATCATTCTGGATGTGACAGACCACGAGGTCTTCCTCACCGTGCAGATTCCTGCTGGCAAGACACTGTGGCTGGTTAGTGTTACTGCCTTGCTTTGATTTCTCTCCCTTTTGTTTCACTTGTATTGGTCTTCTTCTGTTTTCTAAGTTGTGTCCAACCAGTGTCCCACAAATATCTTCAGGCTTCATATGTTGGTGTCATTTTAAACAGTTTTACAGTCTGCTCTTTATTTATTGAAAATGCCCTACATCTTTACATACAAGTAGTATTTAAAGCCATGAATTAAAGAGCATAATATGAGACTGAGCATTTCCATATCCTCTCATGTCTGTTTCTGTTTTTGCTTCGGCCCTTTGGAACAGTGCCTGAGCTGAACCTTGAAGTGCCTCCTTAAAACTCACTCATACGAGATGGCAGAAAGAACGCTGTTCCTCTCTCCGTAACTTGCCTCTCCATGTTCTGTGTCATAACAGGATTATGTGTTGGTCGTGCCCGAGAGCAGCTACAGCTCCAACTCCCTGAATGAGGAGCCTCTGGATAAATCCTACGACTTCATAAGCAACTGTGGACAAACCAGCTTTTACATCAAGTCAGTTTGCAGAGCTGAGCAATCACAATGTTTTTTATATTGCATTTTCTTGATTTAAAGAACCAGTGCTACAGATATTTTAGATGAGTTCTTATTGTGATTGTTTAACGATGCTATGAATGAACGAAGGACTCTTCCTCTCCTCTCTTCCTCTCCATCCAGCCCCACCACCGCTTCTCAGTTCTGCCTCGGCTCGGCGGTGTCTCTGTCGGCCTTCTTCAACAACGGGGCGATGCCCTGCGCTTGCCACGAGGTCGGCGCTGAGAGCGACACCTGCGAGCAGTTCGGTGGCCAGTGCCGCTGTCGGCCCAACGTGATCGGCCGCGACTGCTCCATGTGCGCCACGGGCTTCTGGGGGTTCCCCAACTGCAGACGTAAGCCTGCCATTGACTGCCTGCCTGTCAAATGATGATGACGTGCTGCTTCTGCGCGCCCCGAATCATAAAGGTGTCATCGTATCAACTGAATGAATGTGGATTTCCAAAATGGCTTCCAGACGACGTCACATTGTTTGGAAAGAAATCATTTTAGCCAAAGCAACTTAAGATAACAAAGAAAATTGTTCATAGACATCTGTAATGTATTGTTGCTGCAGTAAGTAATTTACAAAGAGGAACTTACGTGTCCGTCTTTCTCCGTCCTCTGTCTCCTTGAGGTTCAAACGAGCAAAAGGTAATTTTCTTACGATGGATCTCGTCTTCCCTCCAGCTTGTAACTGTGGTACGAGGTTATGTGAACCAGTGACCGGCGACTGCATCTGCCCTCCGAGGACCGTGCTCCCGGAGTGCACCCAGTGTGAGCCCCAGACGTTTGGCTGCCACCCGCTGGTCGGGTGTGAAGTCTGCAACTGCTCCCGGCCGGGCATCTCCTCCCCCGATGTAAATTGCGACACCTTCAGTGGACAGTGCAGGTACGGCAAGACGGAGGAAATCATCATTTATATCCTCATTGTTTGTGACTCTGGAGCCAAAATCAGAAGCAGACCAACTCCCCCCCGTCCCGCTTGCCATGAATCATCATCTGCTCCCTGCCCTGCCACTACTGTGCTGTGTGATATATTTGGAGTTTAACAAGTTCAACTCTCAAATGCCAGGCCTCCTTTTGGGAATACCTAAGAAGGCAGTTATTTCTCGGCCCTTTTCTCTCCTGACAGGATCTTGGCTCTGAGTCTCTCATTGGGTTGATTGCTGTCTCTTTGGACAGCTGTGCTTGCCAACTCTTGTCTGTTCAAGACTGTTTCTTGTCAGGTTTTCTTAGCTCTCTCTGAGGACTGGCAACAACACAGCTGCAGTCTGTCTTCGTCCTTATCGCTCAGCCTGCCTCCGTTATTCCTCCTCCAGCCTTTATAACGTAATGATGGGCCCCATTTGTCAGGCGTCAGTCAGCATTTTTTACTACTTCAGGAGTTGGATGAGGCGACTATCCGGCGACAGGCTTAGTTTTGCATAAACACTGGAAACAAGGGGACAATGCTATCCTATACGACAGTTGTATGTACCCTGCAGTCTAAATGTTTATCAGCTCTGTGATTATGGGGAGCACTAAATCGTTCATCTCTTGCAAGATTATAATGTAATTTTGCAAATGATTATCCCAGTTTTTTCTATTTGATCAATAAACCCAGACGCATTGATTCTCAAATATTTATTGAAATAATTGCATGTTATTTTCTTCCAGATGTAAGGACAACGTCGTTGGCCGTCAGTGCGACCGCTGCTCCCCTGGTTTCTATGGTTACCCCAACTGCAGGCCATGCAATTGCAACGAGGCAGGAACTGAAGAGGAAGTGTGCGACTCCTTCACAGGACAGTGTCTGTGCAAGGTGGGCTAATCCTATGACCCGCACAAGCGTCTGCCTGCATTCAACAGTGTTGTCTAATCTACTCGCCGTCCTCCACCTGTAGGAAAACGTGCAGGGTTCCCGATGCGACCAGTGCCGACTTGGTACATTCCATTTGGATCCAACCAACCCTAAGGGCTGCACCAGCTGCTTCTGCTTCGGAGCGACCGACCGCTGCCGCAGCTCTGACAAGAGGCGCAAAGAGGTGCTTGTGTCTCGTTCTTTTACCACAATCTACACACTAAACATCTGGAGGAAAAGGCTGGATTTCAAGTTCAAACTTATATGGGTGGAACGGTGCACAAAATTCCCACAACGGAAAAACTTAAACAAGCAAATATTTAGCTTGGTTGTAAAATGGTTGGAACACTTGTGAAACATTAACATGTTCCCCTGTCGTCTAGGTGATGGATATGGAGGGCTGGGTGTTGCTTGGGGCAGACAGACAGGAAGTACCGGTGGTGTTGTATCCTGGACAGGACCTTGTTGAGGCTGACCTCAGCGATGTGCCCGATGTCTACCAGGACATTCACTGGCACGCACCAAAGACTTACCTGGGAGACAAGGTAAGAGGAGAAAGATAACCTCTGAAGATGACCGAATAGATTCTGCAAGGAACATTTTAACTGGCTATGAAGCTGTGTCAATTTCATACTGATATACGGCCTTCTCTGACCTACTTATCTCTACAAAGGTGCCCTTAATTCTTGTGAGGGTACGGCCCCTATGTCTCACCTTCATTTAAATGTCCTAATCAAATCACGAGACACACAGGCTTAGTCGAGGTCACAACACACACCCCTACAGAACACACACAAGATGATCCCGCATCATGATTCAAAGGCTTAGGCGAGTTGTTTGGATACAGATAAGCATTATTGTCTAGACGTTTGAATTGACTGCTTTCATGTGGGATTCAACCAGCATCATTCTGCAGGCGGGCTGATGGTTTGATTTAAAGCCCAAACTGAGCCCTTTAACGTCTCATAAACCAGCTTCAAATGTCAGCTCTTAGTAAGCCTGCATGGTTGCCATGGAAACATAGGCCCTTGGTCTTGTTTCTGTTTCGCTGCACAGTCTCAGTGTAATCCATTGCTGAATGGATTAAGAAGTAGTCTGTATGCTTTTGCTGTCTATATTTTGTCGTTTCAATGTTTGTTTGTTCTTCCTCTTGATTTCTCCTGAAAGCCTAACGTACCGGTCCTCTGTCCTCCGCAGGTCTCATCCTATGGAGGTTATCTGCGGTATCGTCTCCACACTCAGACCATGAGAGGCGACGTGTTGTCTCTTCCTGCAGAAGCCTCCCGGCCAGATATCATTCTCAAGGTATAAAACACACAAATATCCCAGTAACCTAGGTACACGTAGAGGAAGCGTTACACACACACACACACACACACACACAAAATGAGAATAGTTTTATTTAGCAAATGCTTAATAAACAACAGAACACACACGCTCTCTGTTGAACTACTGTACACACCCTTTTCACAGTATTCCTCTCCTCCTGCAGGGTAACCAGATGACCTTGGTGTTCATGGAGAGGGAGTACTCCTCACCTGAGGAGCCTCACCTGGGGATCGTTCACATGGTTGAGGTATGAATAAATATTTAGTGTGCTTATTTGCTTATTTGTTTTTTCCTGTGGGACATTTTATTCCACAATGGCCATCAAGGAAATACAGACTGAAGCCCAAACCTTTTTCCTCTACTTACAGGGGAGTTTCCGTCACGCTCAGACTGGTAACTCTGTGTCTCGGGAGGAACTGATGATGGTCCTGGTCCGTCTGGAGTCTCTGCAGATCCGAGCGATTCACTCTCAGTCTGCCCACTCCGTGTCGCTACGCGGCGCCGTGCTGGAGGCCGCGGAGAACCTGCCTGCCGGTCGCCATGCCAACAACGTGGAGATCTGCATGTGTCCTGCCAATTACATGGGAGACTCTTGTCAGGTGAGGGACCAAGAAGGCCCAAAAGCATGTTTCCCTTTAGCAAGACGAAGATGACAATTCATAATATAGTATTATCATGTGACAGCATGGTGCATCTTTGCAATTATTTGAATATTGCTCCTAGTTTTACTGCTTTTCGTTAAATACTATCATTGTAGATTTACAATTTGAGGGTGTTTGACAAAAAAAATGTTAAGGTGATTCTGTAGACTTTTTTTAATTACCTAAACTTCACTGGAAGGTGATTTAGTTTAAAAAAAAGACGATTAATAAAAATAATTAATTATTATTAATTATTATAATTAATGAAAATGGTCTTCGCAGCCGTAACATACATGTCCTCTCTTCTCTATAGAAATGTGCTCCGGGTTACTACAGAGACACTATTGGCTTGTTTCTGGGGAAATGTGTCCCCTGTAATTGTAACGGACACTCTGACCAGTGTGTGGACGGATCAGGAATCTGTTCGGTAAGGTTTTTTTAATGATAAATCAGTTGGCATGACTCCCCTCTAGAATTTCTTATTGGTACGTCAACTATGCTCCTCATTCTTTTTTACTCTCTGTCCACCAGAACTGCCAGCACAACACTGCCGGAGACCACTGTGAGATCTGCCAGGGAGGTTTTCTCGGCAACAACAGCCTTGACGGACAGGCAGTGGCATGCTCCAGTTGTCCCTGCCCACTAAGGGTCGCATCAAACAAGTGAGAATATTTTAACTTTTTTTTGAGTCCTCTTCTCGTAACCTTTCCATTTAATCACATATTACTTTTTTACTTTTTTCAGCTTTGCAGAAGGTTGCGTGCAGAAAACCGACAGGATGCAGTGTTTGTGTATGCCGGGTTACGCTGGACCTCACTGTGAAAGGTAACTACTAATCACTCAAAACCTTCAGATTACTTTTCTTTAAACCAACTAATCTATTGGTCACTTTTTGCAGCTCTATCCTGGATTCTTAATTGATAACTCATGATTACTTTGATCATTTTTATGTAATTAAATCTAAATCTAAGCTCATTGTCTTGTCAGTAAGTTCACATCAACGTGACTGCTGCAACATGAAGAAAAACCTTTTGTCAGATATACGTGTGTCATTAAAAATGGCTTTGTTAACACAGGTGCGCCCCAGGTTACTACGGCAACCCCATGGTACTGGGCAGCCGGTGCCAGCTTTGCCATTGCCACGGCAATACGGACCCCAACATGCTTTTCACCGACTGTCACCCGCTGACAGGGGAGTGTCTCAGCTGCATGCATAACACGGGCGGCCCTCACTGTGACATCTGCGCCCCTGGTTACTACGGAGACGCGGTCACTGCCAAAAACTGCACCAGTGAGTTCAGCTTCATCGTGCATGCTATTTGCCTTTTTTCGAATAGGAACATTGCAGCTAGATTATAGCGCTCTGCATTATTTGGTGCATCAAAGTCAATGTTGTTGCTTAACATTGAGCTATTGTGACACAAGTTAATTGTAGTGAAAATGAAGAAAAATTTGGTCATTAGGTTAAGTCAGAGATGAATTACGGTGTCCCCATTTTTATTCATACCATTGATTCTTAAAAATGATTATTAATTTGTTGAACAATATGATGGATTAAGGTTTTCAGAAGTTCTAGCAGCAAATAAACACATGTTGTGTGTTTTCTTAATGCAGAGTGTAACTGCTCCCCGTGTGGCACCGAGTCATGTGACCCTCAAACTGGACAGTGTCGCTGTAAAGCTGGAGTCACCGGACCGAGCTGTGATCGCTGTGAAGTAAGTGCTGCACTGGTATTTCCTTCCTAAATATCCTATATATGATGATTCAATTTTGCAATATTGGATCTATGATCTAAACAATGAATCTTTGTCTGGGAAGAAACGGAATGTTATGGTCAGCAGCCCTCCCACGTCTCTGCCTCAATCCGTTTTTCCTCTCAGGTCGGCTCATTCGGCTTCGAGTTGTGCTCCGGTTGCCGTCATTGCGACTGCGACGCCTCTGCCGCCCTCGTACAGCCGTGCAATCCTCAGAGCGGTCGGTGCGCCTGTCAGCCCGGAGTCAACGGGCCAAACTGCAAACAGTGCGCTCCTGGATACTGGGACTACGGACCCAACGGATGCAAGAGTGAGGGCGTGCGGGACGCATTGCAACGTCTTATTCTGTCTTTGTAAAGCCCGGTAGAAATCTGCTGGCAGAAAGGAATATGAAAAAAAACGCTATTAGAGCTGTAAAAGTGGCATTATCATTTGAAGCATCAGCAGCCGTCATATCGATACTTCCCGCTCTCCAGAGTGCAGCTGTAGAGGAGGGCGCTGTGACCCTCGCTCAGGAGAGTGCCGCTGTCCTGACGGGATGACGGGAAAACAGTGTGACACCTGCAAGCAAAAATACAGCGTGACTGTGGAGCACCACGATGGCGTGCACTGCGAACGTAAGTGCAACTACCTAATACCCTTACAATATACCGGAAAGAGTAAAAATACCAGAGAACATCGAAATACTTCTTATAACCGTTGAGTGTTTTGCTCCTCGCAGCTTGTGACAGCTGTGTCATCGTCCTGTTGGAGGATCTCGACAAATTGAGCGAAGACTTCAACTCGGTAGCCGCTCAGCTGAGCAGCCTGAATGCCAGCTCGATGGCCTGGGCTCAGCTCCGCAGTCTCAACAAGTCTGTGGAGGAAGTCACTGTGAGTCTACACGCACGCAAAACCTTCACGAGGCCCAACGGATCTATCGCCGTACTGTACGGGGTGTCGCAACGCTTATAAGACGTCTTCCCGTGATTCTAGACCGCCATTGAGAACTACAACAGTACGCTGGATGACAGCCGGAGTCGAGCTGACCGGCTGGACGCCGAAATCATGAATATCAATGATGACATCGATGACCTGCACGGCAAGGTGTGGTCACTTATTACAAGACCTCACACACACTAATGCACACTAACTTGGGCTGAATTCTCAAAAGTATTTGTATTTAAAAAAACAAATTATTTGAAGCTCTTTTAGGAAACTTCTTAGTAGTTCTCAGTCAGATTATTGATCTGAATATAAAATATCTAAATGTTGTTGTCTTGGTTTAAAAATAACAAATTTGAGTCTTCAAAAATATCATATTTAGTAGATAGATATTATGTTTGCTTTCATGCAGAACTGAGGGTGTTCTATTGTGGTGGTATTTTCAGGCAACAGTGTTGACTGACCGGGTCGGTGACCTGCAGGACCGAACCAATAACACACACCAGAGGGCCCAAGACCTGCTGTCCTTCATCCACAACATGACCATGGATTTAAAAGGTGTGAAAGGGGACCCGAGTCCTTCAGAAATGTATCAAAATGTATTTATGCAACATGAAACAAGATGTTCATTCAGCAAATCAGTGTTGCTACGTTTGATTCTATATGAAAGCACATTTCTGACAATGTGTGGATTAAAAAATGTCATTCCAATGAGAAAATGATCTCAAGTCATAATATGAGAAAGTGTCTCATATTATGGTGGTGATATTTCACCATCATTATTCTGAGAAGTTCTTATTTTAAGAAAAAAATGTTTTTTTCAAGATAGATTGTTATCTAGTCCTTTTCCACCTGATTATTTGATGTTGCTCTGGTGCTGTCCATAGACGTCACGATGATGGCAAACCGGACTTCGCTGAATGACACTGAGGCCGAGCAGGACGACGGGGAAAGGGAGCGGAAGATGAGGGAGGTCCAGGCCATGCTGAGGGAGATGAGGTACAGGAGTTGTGTGGGACAGAAGAGACTGGCTGACGAAGAGAAGACGGCGGCGCAGGAATGTAAGGTTTTGTTTTTTTTCAATGACATATGTGTTCTTCTTAATTCCATCTACCATTTTTCTAAATAGTTCTGCATACCGCGTTTAACATACTGCCTAAATTCTCTGCGGCAAAAAGCAGGTTGTTGGGCAACAAGTGTCCTTTTTTAAATAGTTAAAGGCTACAAGGTGAAGAATGTGTTCAAACAGGGATTGACTAATCCAGTGAAAACTGCACATTTGATTTTTCTCATCAGCTTTCAGTAAAACTTTGGACCCCAAAACAATCCCAACTGTGAACCGCTCTTGAACTTGTCCCCCTGTGTCTCCTCCGCTAGTGCTGGACCGTGTTAACGAAGAGCTTGCAGGTCGTCAGGGAGAAAACAGCGACTTGGCCAGTGCCATCAGAGAACGCCTGGCCCGCTTCCACTCGCAAATGATGGACCTCCGAGACGCCCTGAACGAAGCTGTGAACAACACTGCCGTGGCCGCGGAGATCAACAACATCAATGAGAAAACTCTGGAGGACAACCAGGTGAGCTGGGAAATCAACGACGCCGGTAAAGTGACGACCGTGAGGAAAAGCGATATTAACTTTCTCTCTCTCTCTTCTCCATTTCTGTCCCACAGAGGAAGATAGAAGACCTGCTCTCAAAGAGGAAGGAGGTGATCGACCAGCTATCCATGGCTGAAGACGACGTAGCGCAGGTCAACGATGTGTTGTCCATGCTGCACGACTCCAAAGAGGTTTGAAGAGAATACCTGCCTGCGCCACACCTGATGTTTAAACTCTGATAATGTCAATATGCTGAGAAGCTTAACAACTACTTTTAGGAAATACAAAGTAACGTCTGGCTTAGTGATCTAGGGATGGATGGTATGCATCACTTTCACACTTCAAACGTCTTTCTCAGGAGTATGAGCGTCTGGCGGCCCAGCTGGACGGCGCCAGGATGCCTTTGGCAAAGAAAGTGCAGAACTTTGCTTTGGTCGACTCCAAAATTCCTCTGGTGGAGGAAGCAGAGAAACACGCTGAGCTGCTGAACACTTTGGCCATGAACCTCTCCAGGTAAGAGAGTAGTTACAGTAGCTGCTCATACACCTGTGTGTGGCTCATTTCTACAAAGTCCCTTTAGCTAGTGATTGGGATTTGAGATCCGTGCATTTGTTTGTCATGAAACTTTTGGGGTGTTTCAGGATCCTCTTGTGGTCCGGTAAGTTGTGATGATTTGACCAATGATTACTGACTTGGTCTTGTTATAGTAATATAGCATTGTCTTTTAGAATTTCATTGGTTCATTTAATAAAAACTCAATCAGAGATTAAAAAGCTCGGCCCAGTAATGATCCACAGAAAAGCTCCAGGACCGTAACCGTGACTAGTAAGAGAAGCTGGTAATGATCTTTTTTTTCTGCAGTGTGATAGCCGAAACCAAGAAGGAGGGTATTGTGGATGTAACACAATCCTACAACAAGATCATCAACAGCATCAAAGAGGCAGAGGAAGCAGCCAACATGGCCTACAAGGCTGCTAACGACACAATGGAGGTAAAACACACACACGCACGCGGATTCTTCCTCCACTGTTAAAGATGTATGTGCACACATTGAAACTACTGCAACAACTTATTGATTTGTATGTGTCTGGTTTGTGCGTTTAGAACATAAAGGACCAGAACCTCGGCCAAATGGCTGATTCTCTGAGGAACCACAGTGTTGAGCTGAAGGATGAGGTTGAGAATCTAAATGATGAACTCAACAACGGTAAGCACACATTTTTCACATCCGCAAATTTATTTGTCATGAAATCAAGTAAAAGACAAGTCTTGTAGATTTTACTTTGAACATTTGAGTAGTTGATGTTTTTTTTCTCCATTTCCTGCGGCACAGAACTGAAGCCACAGCTGGAAGACGCTCAGAGGCGAGTAGACGAAGCCAAAACCAAACAGCTGGATGTGATGGAAGACCTGGCAGCTGTTCAGAACAACCTCAACTTCACTACAAGTACGCACAAGTGTCAGTTGCCAATAGCTTCGGGGAGTTGTTTTACACTTGTTTCCACTTACACTTGTAATCTCTATTGTGTGAAGACTTGCAGGTTCTGAATTGTGGTGCTGCGGAAGCACTTGTGTGTGTTTCTGCTACATGCCTGATCTCATTTTTGGCCAAACCTCCTTTTAAAAAACACGCCGTGGAGTTCAGTCCTCACTCCCGTCTGTAAACATGATCTACTTAACTCAACACAACTTAACTGTGACGCCATTCATATATTTGTTATTATGCATAGAAATCCTAAATGTATTTACCTTTACGCATCCCCCTACTCTAAAAAAATACATTTACACCCCTTTTTCTGTGATAAACAGATGCGAGTCAAGAGATCAACGAGGCAAAGCAAGCAGCTGATCTGGCAAACACCACGGCAACACGAGTCAACGATGCCCTGCGTCCCATTAAGGAGCAGCTGGACGAATGGGAGCAGACTTATGGAGACGCCAACTCCACCAATGATGACATCAACAACGTCCTGATGGAGGCCAACAAGACCGGTAGGATCCTCTTGACGTGTGTGAACGTATCGTATGAATATAACTCAAAATAAATACCCCATTGCCTATGATGGTTGGCAGAAAAAAATCTAATTCCTCCTTGAGTTTTAGAATTATTCATGATTTAAAATTGAGTTGTGTTTTAATTTGGTTTAAAAGGGAATCCTTGTTGGTGCAACCCAGACTAAGTGTTTTCTCTCTCTAAAGTGAACGCACTGGGTGAGTCTATTCCTTTGCTCATGAAGAAGCTGGATAAACTGCAGAATCAATCCGTACTGATGCCAAACATCTCTGAGAACATCAGCCGCATCCGACAGCTCATACAGCAGGCGCGCAACGCCGCCAGCAAGGTACACGCTCATTCTCTCTCACACACACACACCCTGAAGTTGGAATTGGAACACAAAAGCCTGTAATTTTCTCCTTCTCCTTCCTCCACCCAGGTGAGTGTGTCGATGAAGTTCAACGGGTCGTCCAGTGTTCAGGTCCGTACTCCCCGTAACCTGGCCGACCTGGCGGCCTACACCTCCTTGAAGTTCTACATCACTCTGCCGGAGCCATCGCGATCCAGGCGGCAGGACGACAGTGACCAGCAGTTTATCTTCTACCTCGGCAACAAGGACGTGAGTACAGCGAACACCAGAGCTCATTATGGGTTGTTGCATTTTGATACAGTTTTTTATTACTTTTGTATGCTTTGTTTTGGTTTGAGGTATCAGCTGTAGCAACGTCTGCCTCCTCCCCAGTATCGTCTAACTAGATGAGGCATTTGGTTCTCTGCCAGAGATCATGACTCAGTGGCTCAATATAATCCCTTGACCTCGTTATAAGCCTGTTTGATGTAGGAACTTTGTCTTAAAGCTGTGAACATTACATTTCAGTCATTTGATTGGTACCAGAGTTATTCTCTGCTTCATGGTAGATCGAGGGAGCGTTTCTAGGAGTTGTCATCCAGTATGTTTCCTTTGTATTTCATTACTGTTTATTTTGTAATTGTAGTCAAGTAAGGAGTACCTGGGCCTGGTGCTGGTGGGAAAAAAACTGGAGTGGTACTTCAATGTCGGAGGAGAAACTGCTGCGGTGCTTATGCCTGAAGACGTCATGTCTGATGGAAACTTCAACAGCGTGGTGCTGGAAAGGTAAGACCCGCATGAAATATGTCCATATGCGTCTCCTCTTCACGAAGCATATCAGCTGTCTCTTGACGTTATCTGTCTGTCTGATTGGATGCAGGATCCTGCAATATGGTCAGATGTCCATGTCATCAGAAGCCTCTCAGGGGGACCTAAGGGTCACCAAAGCCTACGTGGAAGCTGTGGGAGATCAGGGGTTGCTCAACCTGCTGACCGACGACACCGTCTTCTTCGTGGGAGGATATCCAAGTAGTTTTAAAGTGAGCACATGGTGGAAGGCCTTCGTATGACAGTTGCTCCACCGCATTGCATTGCTTTCATTGCCTATGAGAGCATCCTCATTGTTAATTCAATGTTTGCACAGACATACTTACCGGATATTTTCACAATAAAAGCTACCGCTATGCTATGCTATATGTTATGGGTTTATGACTGTTGTCTTAATTATGAATTAGATTACTGTATAGCTAGTTTACCTTTATTCTACTTTTGTTTTTCAGCCCCCCACCCCGCTTGTGCTGCCTTTCTTTAAGGGCTGTATTGAGTTAGATACGCTCAACGAGGAAGTGCTCAGTCTGTATAACTTTGAAAACACCTTTCAACTCAACACCACAGCGGAGAAACCTTACGGCAGGTCAGTGTACAACTCGTCATTTAATAAGTAACAACATAGTGACTGAATAACCTCCAACATTTGGTCTTAAAAATAATATCTTTCCATTTAACTAAACCGGCTTTTATATTTTTTGCACGTCATCTTCTGTATGAAATCATTATGGATTAAAAAAGGTCCAAGCCGGTAGCAACTCAGCCCTGGGTGAACGACGCAGCTTACTTTGACGGTACCGGCTTTGCTGAGATCACCATGTCTGGTGAATCTACCAGCGTTCAGCGCTTTGAACAGGAAGTCAAACTGATCTCGCACAAAGGAATACTGCTCCTGCTGCATAAGGAGGTAAATACTCTTTAAAAACGTTTCTATTGCTCCAATGTTGGGCAAAAGTATTTTTTATCAGATTTTTACTTGATTCTTTAGGATAATATAATAATGTATATTGATGTTTTTATTGATTGGCGTTTATTGTCATTGTTTTTTATCAGAGCCCAAGTTGGCCGGATGATGTTAATATATCACAGATACAAGATAAATGGAACGAATTAAGAATAAATTAAAATATCAGCCAATAAGAAAACAAATCATTTGCAGTAAAGAAATACACAAAGTTTGTTTTTCCTTGTAGTGTCCTGCTCATTGCAAAACTTGTTCAAATGTAAGGGATCCTTATAAAGATATTTTGGCTGATGGTTATTCAATTATTTGAAACTCAACATCAGTGAAATTTCTCGTATTGGTCGGGTTCGAATCAACACCTCTCTCTCCTCCATCAGAATAACTTCCTGTGTCTGGCGGTACTTGGGGGCAGGCTGAAGGTTCTCTATGACTTCAGCGGTGAACTGATGGAGCTCGAGCCCAAAGATCCTTCATCTGAATTCCTGATGATCAGTGACGCCGACCCCAAAGCTGTAAGTCTGCCACGTATCTCTACTGGCGTCTTTCCCATGTGTAGAACACACTGTGACTCATTTCTTTATGTATCATATCCATGTTGAGAAGGACCATTTTCTTGTTAATTCACAGCTGGGAGAAAAAAAAGGCATTTTTTGTGTTGGATTTCTTTTTTAAGTGTACTGACGTGTGCCGGGTTGTTTTTGATTGTATAGCTGGAGATCATCATCGTGCGAAGTAATAACCGCATGGTGGTGAGAAACAACCGCATTGGCCTCTACAACCACGAGTTCACAGAGGGCATCCCCGAGTTCAGCAGCAGCTACTACCTCGGAGGAGTACCAGAGGACATGATGCCTGAGAAGTGAGTAGTTTACACAAAGTAATAGTGGGCTGATTGCCATGGGCTTTGTTGCAGATATTTATATCCTCTATTGGGGGGGGCGTTGCTTGATGATACTTCATGTTGCCCTCAATTTATAAGCGAATATTAAAAAAACTAATGCTATTTTCAACAGGCTCTGCTGTCCTTTTTGCTTTCATGGAAATGAATAAATGTATGCAATTTTAGAGGCCTAAATTAATAATACAACAACCACAGCTTATTTTCAACTGTTAAGTCATAAACGATAGAGGGCAATTTCCATTTCCATTTCCAGAAAAACAAATCCTGCTTGCTGCTCAGAGCTTACAAAAAGTTTTTTTTCATTTTAGATGTATTTTAATAAAAGACCCTTGAGGCAAATTTGTGATTTACTATAGTGGGCTTAAAAACAAAATTGGCTTGCGTCATCAGATGGATGCAGATATGACTCCATATAGATAACTAATGTTACTACCTTTCTGTTCTATGTGGATGTTACCTGTAACAATGATACAAGCCCATAACAGGTGGATTTGTCTGCTTGTTGAAGAGTGATTGTACCCCCAAAACGTATTCAGCTTTACTTTATTTATTTAAGAGCTCTCCCTCCGTCAGGTTGTTTCATTCTGTCTTCGTCTCGTTTCAGGTTGAAGTCTGTGTTTTCCAATCGGGGGGCTGTGAAGGGCTGCTTCAGGAATGTGAAGGCCCTGACTTCTCACATCGACCTGAAGAGGATGAAGAACTCCGGTGTCAGTTTTGGCTGCGACAGTGACCTGTTGGTAAGAAAACGCAGCCCATCATTTAAGGAGTAAATTTGATTCAATTGTACATTTCGTTTGTAAATACGAAACCAGCGGTGAACCAACTTTTTTGATTGTGTTTAAGTATCGTAAATGTGTTTATGCTTAAAGTTTATAATGCAAAATTCAATGACTTTTTTAGAAATTGAAATCCTTTTTCTACTGAACTATTATTCTCTTTAATTCTGCCTGCCGGGCGTGTCTTGACCTGCTGTCTGTCTGTGTGTGTGTGTGTGTGTGTGTGTGTGTGTGTGTGTGTGTGTGTGTGTGTGTGTGTGTGTGTTGGTGAAGGTTGCTCGGGAGGCTCATTTCTCTGGTCAGAGCTACCTGGACTTGTCCCTGGCCAACATTCCCACTCTTAGAAATAACTTCTACTCCAGCTTCGGCTTCAGGACCGGGCAGAAGGAGGGACTCATGTTCTACCACCATGATCAGGTCTGACGAGTAACCGGCCTACTCCTGTTTCCTCTGTCTCTTCTCTTATTTACTGCTGTCTTAAATCGGTCAATGCGTTCAAAAAGTAAAATATTGTATTCTGACCCGCAGCTGTTGTGTGTGTGTGTGTGTGTGTGTGTGTGTGTGTGTGTGTGTGTGTGTGTGTGTGTGTGTGTGTGTGTGTGTGTGTGTGTGTGTGTGTGTGTGTGTGTAAAAAGGACGGAGTGTGTCAGGTGCTATTGCAGGAGGGCCATGTTGTAGTGAGAGCTGGCCCCAATGAGATTAGGACGCAGAAGACGTACAACGATGACAACAGCCACTATGTTGCTCTCTACAACAACATCAACGGGTAGGCTGGCTTTGTAATCCAGCGTCAGGCCAAATTGAGCTAAAAAGACATTTTGAAACAAATTTAGTTGCCAAAAAAAAAAGAAATGAAGAGTGACCTGTTGACATTGCGTTGCTCCTCCTGCTCCAGGATGCGTCTGTATGTGGATGACGTGCTGGAGAAAGCCAATGAGGGCGGCCTGACGGGCAGCAGGGTGCGGAGTGTCACGACCACAGAGGGAAGCACCTTCCTGGGAGGAATGCCCAACCAGCGCCTCGCCAATCTCACAGGATGTATCAGCAATGTTTTCATCAGGAGGTGAGAAGTAATGGCAGGATGAGAAAAAAAAAACAAGAAGAAGAAGACAAGAACCATTTGAACAACTAAAAGTGCGCTGTTGTGTCTGTATGTGTTTTTTTCTCATTTTAATGTACATTTCTGTCCGTCAACCTCTGTAAACGCATAGCAACAAGATGCCAGATGATGAGCACACATCTGAGTTTCAGAAATGGTGGACAATAAATTAATAATAATAATAATAATAAAGCAAGGTGGGGTTAAATGATAATGGTTTGTGTGTCCTGCATGATAAATTGTTACCACACATACGTGTATCGTAATTGAGCCTGATCTATAATTTGTGCACGTGACTCTTGTCTTCAGTGAAAAGAATGCTCAGACGGTGTTGAACTTGCTGAAGGTGAAAGAAAACGTCAACGTTCCTCTCACCTGTCCTGCTGCCAAAAAACCTCAGCAGATTGTCGCTGCCCGGCCCAAAAACAGCAACAAATCCAAGGTACACACACACACACACGCTACAATCTCTGCTTTTCTTGCGTACAAACAACAAATATATGTGTAAACTCTCTCTCTTCTACAGGGAAAGAAGAAGCAGCCCGCTGGGTCTCGGAGCCGTAACACCAGGGAGTCCTGTCGGGGGGAGCCGTCGGACCGGGAGGCCGGAGCGACGCACTTCAGCGGCTCCACACACAGCTACCAGAGATACAACTCGCTGCCCGGCTCACTCGCCTCGATGTGAGTGGGAACGCACTGTAGATTTTGGGGGGGGGGGCGACCCCGTTTGGAGAAGTCATCCCTCCAGTTTGGCGATGCTGTCACTTTTTCTACAGCAAGGAGTCAAACTGTGGGAAGGATCTCAAACACGGCTGCTCTACCTAGTGTTTCAGGCTCAGCGCCAGCGTACTTTCTGGCAGCGTCAGGCGGCTTTCTTTTAAACATAAACCACCTAATAGTACACTGGCAAACAAAAGACAAAGTCAGTGAATAGTTGGTAGATTGAAGCTGAACATATATTATTATTATTGTGCATTCGTCACGTTAAGACTGGGCTGTTATCTGGCAGTTAAAACAATGTTTTGTAAGTGAATATTTAATCCTCTCTGTCTCGCTCGCTCTCCCCCTCCTTCTCCCCCCCCAAGGCCTCAAATCTCCATGGCGGTGAGGATCAACTCCTCTGACGGTTTGGTGCTGTACGCAGCCGGCGGTAAGCGCGGCGCGGCCGTGATGTCCCTCAGCGTGTCCGACGGCCACCTGTTGCTTTTGCTGGACGGAGGAAAGAGGAAGGTCAGCCTGCGTAGCCGCAAGAAGTACAACGACAACCAATGGCACACGGTGAGGTTACAGCCAGGGTCACGTGACCACGGGGGTGAAATTTAGAACATCATTGCGACATTATCTCATCCCACAATCCTGTGTCCGACTCCCCTGACTATCTCATCCGCTCCGGATCCGCTTTGCCACATCAGGTGTTCATAAGGCGCCAAGGAGAGAAGATCAGCCTCGTAGTGGACGGTATCAGCGCCCAGTCAAAGAGGATCCCCGGAGGAGACGCGACTCGTCTCGCTGGGCCTTTATATGTCGGCGGAGTCCCCCCCTCACTGAGGGTAAAACATCCAGACCGCAAACTACACCCGCCAGTCAGCTACGGAACAATTAGAAATTCCTAATTTATAGAAATAAGACTCTGACATTCATTTCTAATCAAATAACTGCATCCCAAAAAAGTATAAAGGATAGTAAAAGATTGAAGTACATAGTAATGGGAGGTATTAAAAAATAATGGGATTAGTAAAACTAAAATAGAAGAGAAGAGAATTGACAGAATTATATAGGAACCGTGACCGTGGTTTTACTGTTGTCTCACACACAGACTCCTGGACAGAAAGGCACCGTCATCACATATCTTTTCCTGCATGAGTTGTTTTCTGCCTGTGTTGTTGTTTTGTTGGTAAACTTCAGGCTCCAGGCTCTGGTGGCTTCGCCGGCTGTGTCAGGGATCTGACGCTGAACGAAGCCCGCGCAGGGACCCCCACTCACAGCCAGGGGACGGTGCCCTGCTTCCAGAGTCCTCTGCAGCCCGGAGCGTATTTCTCTGGCCAGGGAGGACACATGGCGATAGGTATTTACATGCAATCTTCTTCTGTGTTGCTTCATGGTGCATCTCGTCTGGGTCACGATGTGTTCTGATTTAAGGCGCCTTTTTTTGGCCCTGCAGATGAGGCCCTAGTTCTGGGTCGGGATCTGGAAATCCAGTTGGAGGTTCGGCCCGTCTTGGACTCTGGGCTGCTGTTTCATGCCGGGATATCACCTGACCAACGGCTGAGTTTGGTCCTCAAGCAGGGAGAGGTGACAGACAGCTGGAGACTATTGGTTCAAATTGTCATGGAAATTAAAGAAATAATTATTGTAGTGCATTGTGTAATGAAATGAAATGAAATGAAATGAAATGAAATGTGCGTGTGTGTGTGTGTAGGTCACTGTTTCGTTTAACAGCGGTAAAGGTGAATTCTCCACCTCCTTCACTCCTGAGGAACCTTTATGTAATGGCCGCTGGCACACGATCACAGGTGAGTTTATGTCAACTAGTTATACGTCACCGCGTTGTTGCCCTATTGTACCGCTGATATGATGATGATGATGTTTTGTCGTCTCCAGTGGTGAAGAAGAACAACGTCCTGCAGCTCCATGTTGATGAAGATACGCAGCACAGCGTCGGCCCCAAACAGAGCCGCTCTGCGGGGTCCAAAGAGACCGTTTACCTTGGAGGGGTACCTGGTGAGTCCACACTCACGTCTTTGGCCTCACCCTGTTTTATCATGTCTTATGGTGAAAGTAAAAAAGTAGTTTTTCCACAAAGAATCACCATCTGATATAATTTCTATTCATTTGGATCAAACCCAGCCATTTCAATGTCAGTTCACTCATAATTCCAACGTTTTTTGTTGGAGTGGTTTCTCAATATATTAATATATTTTTTCTTTAAATATTGCATTTTTCCATATGAAATTCTACATTTCTGTTGAGCATGTTTGTCCCTCTCTGCCCCCCCTCCCTCTCAGACGGCGTCACAGTCCCGGGTCTACCTGCAGGTTTGCCGGCCTTTCACGGCTGCGTCCGCGCAGCGACAATTAACCGCCGACCCGCCATGTTGTCCAAACCGCTCGCTGTGCACGGAGCAGTGGGGACGCAGGGCTGCCCTCACATGTAAACCCAACACACACACGATCTTATCCTCACATTCCCAACTGCAAATTACTGGTGGTGGGTGTCATGTTACTGTAGCTAATTTAAAATATATATTAATATTTATTTTCTATTTTCAGAAAAATGTATATTTTCTATTTTACAGTATGTTGTTTTTGTGCTAGAGGGTGCTATAACGACTGCCTGCACAGATACTAAAATGTGTGGTTTGTCAACACAATGAATTGTCTGGCTTTTGGAAGCAAATGCTGAAAGATGAATTTCAAAATTTCAAAATCAAAAATGGAACTGTAACCATTTAGGTAGTATTGCTGCTTTCAGGTCAACCACTTTCCTACCAATGAATGGTGCACATGTCAATATCCAAATTCTAGATAAAAAAATTAAAAAATGTGAAGATTAATGTACGGCCATTTATTTTAGTCATTTACTGGGATTAATCCTTTATGAACAACCACCACAGCTCGTGTGCAGGAACATTTCATCATCATTGTAAACATGTACCAAACGTGTGTGTGAAACTTGTATGTAATATAACCACTTTTAAAAAAATCTCACAAAGAATAAGCTATCACTCCCAGACCCCGTGTTTTTAAATAAAGTATTTTTTAAAATACAAATAACTTGTTTTTTTTTCCTCCCCTGTGCAAAAAGAAACGCCTGGAGGCAAGTTGTGAATGCCAATCATTTTTTATTAAGAGTGAATCACAAAAGAGCCCGACAGCCTCGACACTCAGTCAGGATAACAAAAGAAGGAAAACAAATCTAACTTTGGGCTTAATAGTTACAGAGGAAACGGGTTTAGAAAAAGCTTTAAAGCAAAATGGATCTCAGATTTGACTACGCGTTGGCAGTGTGAGCTCTAATCCAGACTCATGTCCTCGTCGTCTTTTTTCGCTTTGCCGTCTCCTTTACTGTCCTGCATGGCTTTGGCAAAAGCCTCAACATCTGACAGGAAGATACAAGAATGTGTAAGTTGAGAAAAAAAATAAAAAAATGAGAATCACGTGTGTTCCCAGTCCATCTGTCCATTGCACGCGTCTCACCTCCTCTGTTGGCGGCGTCCACGGCTTCTGCCGGAAGACCAAACTGACTCATGAGAGGGCCGAGCTGGCCGGAGGCCAAGGCACTGCTGAACATACTCATCGACTGCAGGAGGGAGAAAACAGTCACTGGGGTTAATTCACTACTGTCATGCTGCAGTACTTAAACAAGCTCAAATCAGGTACAGCGAGTCAAAATATAGATGTATATCTATAAAGGTAAGGAAATCCATAGTGTCACAGTATTTGAATTCCTTACAGGGCATGACCGTGTGGGATTTTTTTGGATCCCCAATCCATTATTTCCTGGAATTTCTGTGTTCATGCGTTACCTGTTGGAACTGAGGTGAGTTGATTGTGCTCTGGATCTCATCGGCACTCTGCAGTAAACTTTCTCCACTGGGGAGGAACGGCAGGAGCCTCTGTTGGACCGCAGCGTTGGTCAGGATGGGAGCCATCATCTCCGGGGTGCAAATGCTTGCTAGGTCCACTAGAGGACAGGAGAGGAGCACAGTCAGTCATCCTGACCCTACATTTCATCCTCTTGGACTCGCAGTGGTGTAACAGACGGGCAGCTGATCATTTTTATGTTACATCCTTGTGTGAAATAAAAGTTTTACTGCTGATTGGCAGATAACAATCTTGAGCAAAAAACTATATAAAAATGAATGCCTTCTACTCTTTATATTTGCTCCCTTGGTAACTCAAATCACCCAATGATCTGATGGTGGGTTCTATACACTCACCCGCTGCGCCCTGAGCAGCCGATGCTGCTGGGACATTCATGGTGGCGAGGATGCTCTGAAGGTCACTGAGCTGGATGGGCTGGTGGGAGCCGGGGCTTCCAACAGAAGCTGGGACCAGTGGGGTCTGAGCAGAGGCTGCAAAGAAAGCAAGTTGTTAAAAATCCAAAAGAAAAAAGGGGGACATTCAGCTTGTTTCTCTTGATTGTTAATTGGCCGGGAACCAACACATAATGACGGTACTTCACCTGGTGTGGAAGGAGCAACAGTAGACGGGGTAACAGCTGTGGCAGCAGGAGTCACAGGAGTAGTGGGGGCCTGAGAGGAACTCAGTCTGGGGGCTGCACCAGATGATGGAGTGGCGGCTGCCGATTGGCTACGAGAGCTACGACAGAATTATTTATTGTAATATAAATATTCAAAAGTAATTCATCGTATTTTTTACACATCATCTTTTACATCTGTGTACCTGGATGAAGAGCTGCTTGTGGCAGGTCCTCCACTGCCCAGCAGGTTGGCAAGACCTGGACCTGCTAGAGCTCCCAAACCTCCTTAAACAAACACGAAGAAATCAAAAAGAGTCCAAAGTGATGTCTTATTTGTATTTGAAAAAAACAATTAACACATATACACACACTTCTTTGACACCATGTTTAGGCTACTTTCCTTGTGCAACATATTACGAGGTTCTGCTTTGGTTAGTGTCAAATATTTAAGATTTTAGTCAGTGCTACCTACCCAGTCCTCCCAGTCCGGTTGGTCCGATCAGCTGCATCAGCTGGTTGTGGCTCATATTTCCCAGCAGGTTTTGCAGGCCTCCCTCTCCTGCGAGCGCAGAGAGTTCGTGCCCGCTGCCGCCTCCACTTCCTGCCGCTCCAGGAATGGGAGGGTTGTTCAGGTACTCATTCACCTTACGACAGTACTCATCATCTTTGTCCGTCTTTGGCTCCTAATGGAAATAATGCAAGCAGGAATTCATTGAAATCAAAAGTTGAATTCTCCACAGACCAAATTAACAGGTTCCGTTCAATCGCAAATGATCTGAACCTTCAAATTGTTCCTGTCTGATGATGGACGAACAATTTCACAAAACCGAGAAGATGATTAAATATATATTAACTGTACAGTCGGTTTCTTCATTATACAAACATCACTTTGCTTAAAAATGACAAATTAGTAAATCTTTTTAGACAAAAGATTATAAAAACGGGACAAAAACAAATCCAGAAAACGTGTGGCCAACTAATTTACTGATTACAGCCACGTGCACCGCATAATAATCTCAATTCTCTGCTCCTCACTCTTATTGCCTCCCACTTCATTTTTCCACTCAGTTTCCTTCTATTGAACATCCATCTGCCTGCACATAAATAGACACAGACTCCATTTCTCCTCCCTTTAGAAAGAAGATGAGGGGTCTCCTCTTCTCACCTGCATCCAGAAGAACAGTCTCTTTGATCCAGCCTTGAACTTCAGCACAAAGACACGTCCGGTAGTGCACTGGCTCACCTTCTTGAATTCACAGTCATCGGGAAAGATGATCAGGTCCTGGTAAAGGAAAGCCACAACAAAAAGCATTCAAGAGAGAGCGGCGGAAAACAACGCTGAGATTGCTCTGCCAGCAAAAAAAAATCAACATCAACCAATTGCAAAAAAGCGGAGATACGGTCACCGTTCTTGCTCTGTCCAGCAAAGTCCAGCAAAACACAGATGCAATGTGTCGCCATGCTGGTTTGAAAAGCGCTTGTATGTACAAATAAAGAATGAATAGAAAAGCAAAGGGTGTATTACGAACATTGTACCCAAAACCAGTTAAAAAATATAGTCTATAATAAACAATCTTTATAAATATTTATAATATATACTGAACTCAAAAAAACAATACAAGCTCAATGGATCACAAATGGTTTTATTTAGATGACAGAAGAAGAGAGACCCTAGCAGTACCACAGAGGCCCATGTTCAAACCCCCAATACTTGGAACTACGGCATGAGGCATTTTTGTCTGTTTGAAAACAACAACTTATTTGAATGTAAGCACTGGATACTTAACAATAGTTTTAAAGTCTGAGGGGGTGATAGAAACGTCCCTGATTATGACAACGATTTAATGTCACACAGTAATAGTAAGCGGTTACTCACATCGTCGACGTTTCCAGATGTCCTATCCTTCCAGCAGAAGTGAATTAGGGAGTCGTCAGACTGTTGGACGTATACGGAGCCCTTGCGTTTGTCTGGTGTCACCACGTTTCCCTTCAGGGTCATTTTCCCAGCACGAAACTCCACCAGATATTTGCTGGTGCTTCCCCTGGAGCCGCTCACCAGGCTTGGAAAGAGAGCACCTGACGACATCTTGAGATTACGTTGTTAAACCAGTCTGGAGGCAGGAGAAGAAAAGGAGATCAGGTTCGTTTCACTGTGTCATGACGGTTAACTGCTGGTACGAGAAACAACTATAACGAGGAGACATCGATTTGGAGCATTTATTGTAACGTTACTTAACGCAGTAATTTCTTATATTTGTGGACAAGAACAGAAATGAACGAGTTTTTATAAGTTACTCTTTTGTATATGTGCGGAAAACGGAATCCGGGACTTTAGACTCAACGTTAGTTAACGTTACTTGTAGCAGTTAACATAACAGTTTGCACTAAGGAATTATGACTTTGGGTTATAACGTTAGATTAAAATCTATTTCGTGTAGCGTTACGGTACTTTGTACTTGATAGTGGACCGTAACTATAGTTTTGTCATTAAATGTAACTGTTTCGGGAGTTTTGAGCAGTTCGTTTTAATCAGATATACTTTTCTTAGCAAAGCTAACAAAAGTAGCAGTTAGCCAGGAAACGTTAGCTTTGCCCAGTTCTGGCTTTGTCATGCCGGATATCAATGCTAACGTTAGCCCGTGACTTAGCTAAACCCATGAGCAGCAGGCCAAACGTATCCAACGAGTAAAAGTCATTCATTTTTGTAACAACTGCCAACTTTGCACACGAGCAACCACACTTGGAGCTGACGTTTACAAACGAATCGCGTTCAAATACCTGAAGTTGTGTTGGCAGATTTCATAAACTTTTTCCCTGTTAAGTTGCTACTAGCAAAGATGCTGTGACGTTCTCGACGTATAACGATCACGACTTCCTGTCACGTCGTGAGCGCGCCCACCTCCCCGCGAACGCGCTTTGGAAGAGAGGGGCGGGGGGTTCGGTGGGAGGGTTTCTGCGCTCCGCTCAGCTACGATTGACAGTCGCCTCCTTCCTGGTGTAGCCGTTAGCTCTGTGGCTGTTTCCACCGGCCGATTTGAATGGTTCCAACGGCGGAAAGCAACGCATAACTGGAATGAGAGTATAATATAAATAGAGTTGACGTTACGCTTAGTCTAAAGACAACCAGAAGCCACACTTGAAACAAGGTAAGAAACGCACACAGTGAGCTAGCGGGCTAACACAATCCAGCTTTGCTGCCCTTGGATTAGTTAGCGAGCTAGCGTTAAGTGCTAGCTGGGTGATTCAAACCAGGCATATCGCCCCCAGCGCAGGCGATCCTAACCAACATGGATGCTGCGTGATTCCGTTTGATGCGGCGCCTGGAGATTATCCGCTTTAACTACGGGTTTTTATTCCCGAGCCGACCGTTATTTTCTTGCTCGCTTGCCAGTCACGAAGCAACACACAGTGACGGCGGGCGGGCAGGCGTTGGCTGGATCGTAATCGATTTATATCGCCTCTCGTGTGTACTAACGCCACAGATTTAGCGTCAACGTTAATCAGTCTTGAGGACGACTGTGAGAAAGAATCCACGGGATAAATTCGGATTCGCAGTCTGTTGCCAAGTGAGGGGCTCGTGTGTTTGTGATCTCGCCTCGTCTCTGGTAATATCGGAGAAAGGGAGACAGGTGCAACTTCCACTTGTTAGTTGATCGCGTATGTCAATATAAATAGACATTAGCCGTTTAAGAATGTCTAGTTAAGTCGTTGACATTGCTGCCGTCGTATTGTCCCGCACGGGACCCCACTCGTTGCTTTGCTGGTCTTCTCTCGTGATGTGCGTGTGTAGTGGCAGGTGGGCGCGTGAGAGTGCACGCGGCATGTTTGTCAATGGCAGAAGATGAATGTAATGGTGAAGACGTTATTCTATCCTTGCAGTTTGGGCTCTGCTGCACCCACTTTGGTTTTGTCATTAACTGCTTTTTAGTATTCTTGGAAATTATACATCAACCAAGACCTGCAGTCATGGTGCTTTTGTTTTGTATCAGGCATTTTATCACTTTGTTCACATGTTCTCTCACCACATTACGTCTGCGGACTCTACGGTTGGATCAAAAGATATTGTATTTATCTTCATTCTGAATTCCGAGCTACCCTTTTAATGGAACAATCCATTTGAGTGGTGTTACTTTGACAATGACATATTTACACAATGGAACTGAGTGTAGATACCAGGAAAATGTGATGCTGTTTTTACTTGAACAACCTGTTTGCCCTGTATGCATTTCATGCAGGCTGTTTCTACCCTCTGAGTTCAGAGACTAGTGATAATGTGTTCAAATGCTTGATGGTTTCATTCATTAACTTCTTGCATCGGCAACATTTCAGTGACAGCTGATCAGTGTACGGTTTGAGTTTACTGCGTAATGGTTATTAATGTCATCGGTACGGACACTTCCCTTAGTGACTCAGTAAAAACAGTTCTACACAAATAACGTTACACCTAGAGAAGGAAAAACCAGCAGAAGAGCCGAGGAGGAGATTATCACTCCGTCCACACTGGGAGCCAACGTCACGCCAACGTCACGCCATTGTCAAGCTATTGACAAGCTTTGTCCGCCGTGCCTGGGAAGGAGGACGACTAATGACAAGCATGACAACCATTTTTAACTCACTCGCCACTCTTCCAACACCCGCTCCAAATATGTTGTCGTGGCCTTTGATCTCCTGTAGATGTGTTGGTTGTTAAGTGATCAATTAGCAAAATCGATGCGGTATCAGACTGAAGATGGGCATCGGGGTTTAACAAGTTGACATTTTGTCTGATATCACCATGGCACAGTTTGCTCTAATAATTTGACTAGTGGATGATCTTTTCTATCTCCTGAGCTACAACACACTTTCCCATGGCCCACAGTGACATCTTCATGCATTCATCCTCGCATTTTAAGAAGCTTTTTGTTTTCCTCACCCCAACAATGGTGTATATTTTTCCTCTAGACAACTGGACCTTTTACGTAACATAAACTTGTTTCTGGTCTGTGTTTGATAAGGATTTACCCAACTCATTGTGATATTTCTTTACTTGTGTCACTGGGATTGTCTGTGTGGTGCAGTGTGACGGTGTCTTGTCAGCGTCACTGCACTTGAAAACCTAAAATTATCCCCCAGCTGGGATTCCTACTTTGGTGATATTTGTATCCCCCCCCTGCGTAGAAGGCTGACAGGGTTCATTTTCAGTCTGACATTTTAAACCTGTATTAGAGGAGCTGCTGCATGAACTGAGCTCTGCACAACCACTTGATTCATTGTGGATTCATTATCGCTTATCAGAGAAGTGGCTTAATACTTCTTATAACATGAACACCACTGCTTTTAGCTCAGTGGTGGTGACATGAAGTAAAGAATTATTCATCAAATAATTGTGATATTACCCCAATATTCATCAGGATAAGTTTAAAAATCGCTAAATCTTACAGGAGTTAGTGTTGCATCCCATACAGGAAAATCATCCTTTTCAGGGAGACATCAATCATGTCTCCTTGCATAAATAACGGATGAATAAAATAACTAGCAACACCTTGATTGACACTATATACAATTAGTAAGAAACATTCTGCAAAAATGGTGGTGTTTTTTTGCCAACATACTATAGTTTGACCAGACAATTATTCAGCAGTTTCCTTCTTCTTGATCCCAAAGATTCGTTGAGCTTAACTTGGCCAATCTGGCTTTCAACTAACCTTTTGAAGTTCAAACTTGTAAAGCTCCATAAACCCACTTTTATCCTAAATGACAAAGCACGTAGCTTTTCTACATTGAGATTGTGCTAAATGTCTCAGGTCATGAGTGTTTGGAGGATGACGACAGGATGGTGTAACAGTCCTGTGATCGAAAGTCCCACGAGGCTGTCAAACAATCACATTCGCTTCCCATTTTGTGGTTGCTTCCCACTTTCGTCTCCATGTCTTTCTCACCTGAACCGATCCTTTCTCTCCTCCTGTCACTCTCCATCTCTGTGAGCCCGACACCACCGTCCACCCCGACACCACCGTCTACCTCTGTCGTTCCATCTTCACCCCGCTGACCCCACCCTGCCTGTCTGTCATCCTCTCTTGACTTGGACTGTGATTCAACATCAGATGTGCTGCGGTGGATTATGCGTGTTTCGGTTTAAAGTACTGACCGCTGAATGTTGCATAATAATGTGAAAGTTTCCCAGCAAACGTGTTGATTATGATATAACACCATCATTGTTGGGACTCTATGGACTCTATAACAGTAATTTTGGAAGTGTTGGCTTCACAGTTACAGCCGAGCTGAGCTTTTATTAAGCACTGAGCCGACAGACACGTTGTGCCTTGCCCGAGGGCAACCACGCATTTTGCTCTGTAGTTTTTGGATGATGTTTTCCGACACAATTTGAGACATTTATCCTGACAATGTTGTTGAAAGTAAAACATCCAAATAGTTTAGTCATTTTTTGGAGAATACGCTGTGTCAACGTTCAGTGAAAAAAAGAAAAAACATTGTCTTTTTTGATAATGAAATGATTCGGTCAACTATCGAGGGGAATAATCAACCTCATCCCTCCTGAATACAAATAAATATTACAATCCGTTTAATAGATGTTCTATTATAATCAAATGCGTGCCAACTTCTACCCACTTAGGACCAGTGGCAGTTCTGTGACATCACAACCTTCGTTTATCCTCCTCGTTGCTGTCATTACCGCCACGTATATCATTTATTGTAATCACCTCAGTGCACCTCAGCGCAGTCATCGCTTTAATGGTTTCTCCTGCGCTGTTAGCATGAGCGTGATCATTGACTGATGGCAGCTGATGATTTACAGCCGATCGGACATCAGCTAATGAGCTGCACTCGCTCTTTTCGGCATCATTGCACCCGAGGCCAAGACATAGAGGCTGATGGCAAAGCAGCACGTGGAGGGTGTGTTTATGTACATTTGGTATAAATGTCAACTGAATCTGCGATTTGCTTTGAAGAGACTTTGTCAGTTGATCACCATGCAGGTGCCTTTAACACAGTCCAGAATATTGATAGGAAAATCAAATGCAAATAGTTTTTCTAGTCCCGCTTATCATGTGGAATATTTTTACGCCACAACGCGGTTCAGTCACCCAGCAGCTGTGCGGTTCATGACCATCGTAAGAATACAAGTGTGTGTGTTTTGCTTTCAGCTGATACAGAGGAGCCTGTGCGGCTGCTTTTAGTCTCATTCTCTCCTGTCTCCACCGTTTTCGTCGTCGTTCTTCAGTCGCTACAAGAAGACCCTCCTGTGCTTACCCTCGTAGAAGGGGCTTAGTTATGTTTCCAGCTGCCACCGGGACAGTGATAGGAAATGTTGCTCTCTCATGGGAATGAAAGCAAAGGGGAAAAATATTGTTGTTTTTTTTGTTTTTTTATTTTCCCGTGCAATGCATTTGTGCCCTTATTGCATGTGTGTGGCAGCTGTGTTTACTGTGTCAGTGGCAGCATTGAGGTTTCATTACGTCTATTGATTTTCAGGCAGGAATGGCTTTTGTGTGTGTGTGTGTGTGTGTGTGTGTGCGCGCCACCTGATCTCAATGAATAAGGAGCACACTACAATCACTGCCTCCCCGTTTGTCTGTGTTTGGGTTTTTTGTGAAAAATTAAGGCTTGTTTTTTGTTTTGATAATATAATTGCATTACAAATCACCATTATTTCCTGTATCGATTAGTTCTGATTATTTTCTCAAATAATGAAGTCATTGTGTGCGTGAGATGTCAGGATATAGTGAGGATGGCTTGTTTTCATATTCTACAGCACAAGTTGACTTTTTAAAATGTCTTGTTTTGCCCGATTAAACAGGAATTTAACTTACTGCATATAGAAAACAATCATAACCGCAGGACATCATGTAGTTGCTTGATCATCTTAAAGCTGTTTAGGCAGAATGGCTCTATATCTGGGGATTATAATCCCCTATAACATTGTTTCTTCTTCATCACATGCCACAAAGATCTCATGGTGACTACGTCCCTTCCTTGACTTTGTCTTGGTGAAGGACTGAAGGGCTTTCAAAGCGTTGTGCTGCAATAGTTGTGTTAGTATGAAGGCCTCAGTCATAAACGAAAGCTAGTCCTGTTTATCTTTGTCTGCATTGCAACATCATTATAACAGTTTGTTTGTTTCTCTCGCTATACTTCACACATAATTGTGAAATCAATTAAAGTAGGACTTGTGACATAAACAACACAGATGCTACTTTTTCTGTCGTCCAGCTATTCTCCAAACAGTTGGCATTTGAAATAAAATATTGACTAATGAATCATTTTGTCAAAATCTACAAATGACTGAGGCCTACTTGGGAATTATAGCGTTATTTAATATCTGTTAGGGATCAGTAAATATCCGGTGCAACTGTTGTTTTTGTGGTTCAGTTTAGTTTCTCTCATGTTTGCAGATTCAGATATTTTTGGGTTAGTAAGAAATAGTAGATTCTGTGCAGACTGTTGCGCAATTTAGCATTGAAAATAAACTTTAAAACAAATGGTCAGCCTGAAGGCGCGCTGCTTTGTTTTTGCCTCAGCCTTATCCTAAAAATCTTCAAACCGCATTGGCCAATTCTCCCCTCAGAACGAGAATTTGTTGCATTATCACTTTTTGACCCATCATTTCCCTCGCGCTACTCTGCTTTTACTTCTGCTTTCAAGTTCCTGGTGTTTTCAATCAAGCCCTCGGCATGTGACAGTGAGTTGACAGCATAGAAAGCCTAACCGATGGTACACAGCTTGTAACATCTGGGCTGATGCTCACACAGTGCTGTTTTTTCCCTCTGGTTCTGAGCACAGGCAGTGAAAGACTGTTGTACGGTATTGGTAATGATGTCAAATGATACCACAGCATAAACCATTGTGATAGAAGATGTTATATACTTCTGCTTGTTGGCGAATTTATTTATTTATTTTACTGCAGTTGGATGGTGAGAACCTACATAATATTAAAGGAAAGCAACCTGTTTTAAATGAAAGTGCATGCAGTGTATGCATTTATACGTGTTACACGCTCACGGAAAATCCTCCAATGAATGACATGAAAAGTGCGACTGTGCTGTGGAAAACACTCCACACACATCGCACACCCCAGCCCCCCCTCTCTCTGAGACACAGGCCATATGCTTCCCCTGCTCACACCGTGTGGCTAATCTTTCCAGTCTGTTTGTTCCTGTGAATGGCCAATTCCCCACAAACACTAGCGCAGTGTTTTACTACGTTGACAATCTTTGCAGTGAAGATGAAACGCACGTATCGTTGTGGTGAAACACGTTGGTGGCGAATCTTTGTTGTGACTGGTCAATCAGAGGACCAGCAGTGGGCGGGGCTGAGGAAGGTGTTGTGTGTGATCTTGTTAGCAGGGTGGTGTTGTGGAGCTATTGTGGGGCTGCAACAGCTGCCATCTGGTGCCTTTTTAAAAGCCTTTACTGAGATGAATGGCTGACACACTAATGAGAACTACCGTAATAATATATTTAGCAGCCTGATGTGCCCTTTTTATTTATTTTCACATTTTTGAAATCTAAAAATTCTTGTAAAATTAGATGGTGTGTGAGAGGAAGCAGCCCCCTCCTTCCACCAGTGGTACCAGCATATATTCATATTGCTGTCCAGTAGGTACTGCATTGGATCTTTTCTAGCTTGTCTGATCCAACAATTCACAACACGTTCTGCTTCATTAAGTATTTTGGGAGTTTTATAAACAATTTTGCTAAATTTTCAATTGTCAATCAAACACACTATACATTACACTCATGTAACCACAATAACAAATAATATCATTTTCCACGGCCGAAGTCATATGATGACAACATTTGCTTGAAAACCCCAATAAAAAAAATAAATTAAAAAGTCTAAAAATCTGCTACAGCCCTTCTTTGCTTTGGTTAACATAACTGAATACAACTTATAGTTTACATTTTGAATACAGTTCTCAATTTTAATTTGATAATATATTAAATTGCAGGGTTTTTAACAACGAAGAGGAATCAATGAGTGCCGCCAAAGAACTAACCAATGAGGAGAAGACATGTCAATCAAATTCTATGCCCATCCTTCCTTGCCCCTGTTCCCTCTTTCAGTGAACTGGTCTCTATGGTGTGACTATAGTTTGGTAAGCAAGAGGCAACCATCAAGTGCACTGACTGGAGGATCAGTAAAAGCACACAAAAATATACATAAGTTAATTGTTAAGGGCTCATTCCAGTGCATGTTTAATTCAATTTACTAAATATTATACATGCAAAACCAGCTGTGAAGAATGCCTGTATGGTCAAACCCCTCATGGTCGCGTGGAGCGGATGAAAGATAAATAACGTGATAACTTCTCACCGGAACGCTTCCAGTCTGGTGTTGACGAGGCCACGCAGCTTACTTTCCTTTTAATTTAAGTCTGGCATACTAGTCCAAGCGAACGTGTGTAGGTGAAAAGGCTTATGTGGTCTCTAAGCCTGCTGGCCCCCATGCACCTGCTGTCGCACCGGCTCAGTGCTCCGCTGCTGCCCAGTTCACAGCTCGGGGAATGGATTCCTTTCATCGATTCAAAACGTTTAAGCCTTTACATCGACGTACATAAACTACACGTTTGCAAGTAAATATGTGTAGTTTATATCTCTCTCTTCCGGCTTGTAGTGGTGTGGTTGAATCTAATTAGCGCTTCACGGAGCCTGCTGTACATAAGCGCTGTAGACCACAGTGTGTGGATTAGCTGTGCTTATTTATCGTGTCCTCCTGACTGCTGATCTCCTTCCACTCCTTCAACTATTTACATGCATCGCCTTCCGGCGTCCACCAATTGCTTTAGCACAAATGCACGTATATTTCAGAACATCTACATGAGCTTTGACAACAAAATTGACTTATTTTCCAAAGTACTTTTTACGTTTCTATTGAAGTTGTCTAACGAAGCTTTGAGTGTCTTTGTGATAGTTTATAACACCATCAAAAGCACTGTTTCCCCTACCGCTATAACAGGGGTGCGAATATGCAGCCTAATCGGTATGAAAGGATACGTTTCTGTTTCTTTCAATTATCACTTCCTGCTAACTTCAGAGCTCATAAAACATGACGTTCTCTAAAAATATTCCTCCTGCATAAAGCCAGCGTGTCTTCTCTATAAATGTCCAAGTGAAAAACTCATTTCAACATTTCTCACGCGCCGCTCCCCGGTTCACACATGAGCTGCACGAAATAAAAACAGCTGGTCGTGTCCTGGAACGACGCTGCGACACTAACTTTCCATAAACAGGCTTTCTGTGAGCATCAAAGGGCCTACTCCAACTCGCTTAAAGATGCTCACTCACTGTTTATTCCAGCCTAATCCATAAAGACCCCGGCAACGCCAAACAGCTTTTTTTCCACCATAAATCATCTCCTGCAGCCACAGTCCTCCTCTTCAAATGAGGCCTACAGGGGAGCATTGACCGCTTCTTTGACTTTTTCAAATCCAAGATCAACAACATTCGCACTCTGACGTCCTTCTCTCACTTGCGCAAAGTCTCCTTTTTTATTATCTCAAAAACATCTCCAAACTCCGCCCCACTTTAGCCCTTTCAGATGCAGAGAAGCTCGTTTTATCTGCACAAGACTGGACTACTGTGAGATCACTGACAAGAACATGCAGAAACCGCTCTACAAAACAGCGCTGCCAGGATCCTGATGAGAGTCCGGAAACATGAGCACATAACACCCATTCTACATACTCTACACTGGCTTATTATAATCATTATTTACCTGGTTCGGTTACCTGAGCCAGGAGAAACTGTCTAAAGTCTAACTTTCACTGCAGCAGGAAGGCCTACTGTACCCAAGCAACTTGTTGTAGATTAGTTTACCAACCTCTTTGTCCTCTTGTCTTTCTTCCTACCCGACCAGGTGAGAGGCTGAGTGCGCGTGAGAGAAGGATCGAGCGAGCGACGCCATGGAGCAGCAGAGGCAGAGATCTCTCTCCACATCAGGAGATTCGCTGTACGCCGTGTTGGGAGTTGATAAGTCTGCAACGACGGAGGACATCAAGAAATCCTACAGGTATGCGTTAATATTCCCCACACCTACTGCCCACACTTTATGACGGGAATGTAGTCATGCAACAGCCACATAGTCCATCTTTGATATTGCTTTTAACGTGGCACCACTAGAGGGGACCAAAGGCCTGTTACTAAGCGCAGGGAAGACCGCTGTCTTCAGAGCCTGCTAGTATAGACTCTTTACAGCCCTCTCGTGGTGCAGGTATAGAAAGGCAAAAAAGATCCAGGTGGCTTTTAATGATGCTTTCAGAATCTTGATACGCTCCCGACTTGAGTGCAAGTCATATAGCGGTTAGAAGAGAAGAAGATTGCTACATAGTCAATGTTAAGAAGAGCTACCTAAGATTTACTTTCGGGGGTCGATCCTATGACCATAACCCCCAATGATGTCCCATAATCAGCCTGGTATTAGCGAGTGGGATTTTCCCTCAACACATTTTTGACTTGAAAGCATTTTTCAATGAGAAAAGGGGATTCGAACACAGTCACAATTTTTTCTGTGTTAGAGACCTATTGTGAGACTTAATTACCTCTTGTGGGTTAGGGTTGTGGGCTAAAAACAGCATAGTAGAGAAAACATTGCTAACATGACCTTTTATTTATTTGTATCATTTTACTTTACAGGAAACTAGCATTGAAGTTTCACCCCGACAAGAACCCGGACAACCCGGATGCAGCTGAGAAGTTTAAGGAAATAAACAACGCCCACTCAATCCTCAGCGACGGGACCAAGAAGAACATCTACGACAAATACGGCTCTCTGGGGCTCTACGTGGCGGAGCAGTTTGGAGAAGAGAACGTCAACACCTACTTTGTTCTGTCCAGCTGGTGGGCGAAGGTACGATCTTTATATTTATGATCAACTTTATTGGCCCTTCCAAGTACTGGTATATTTACGTATTGCCTTAAAAGAACTTCTGACAATGACCGGAGGATCAGCATCAAAATGATCCTGATGATGATAGATAGATGATAGATTTGTTATTTTAACTCACAGCACATAACTTGCTTTCACCTGTTTTCTGATGGACATGTTTTGAGAATACATTATTTTAACATCAGCTACTCCAGTGTATAATAAGGATTCAGTGATAATTGTGGCTCTCCTTTGCTCTGCCGAGTCCTTGTGGGCCTTCATCAGCTCAGTTGTTAACGGTCTCCCCTTTTTCTCCCACAGGCCTTGTTCGTCTTCTGCTGCCTATCCACGGGCTGTTACTGCTGCTGTTGCCTGTGCTGTTGCTGTAACTGTTGCTGCGGTAAATGTAAACCTCGGCCGCCAATGGACCAGGAGCCGGAGTTCTACGTCTCCCCCGAGGACCTGGAGGCCCAGATGACTGCTGACGAAAGAGGTGAGAGCCGATACCGAAGAAAAACACAGCACTTATCAACCACGTGTGTTATGAATGTCTACGTGATATTTATTTAGACCATAAAATATGCAACACTTTAATATTATGATATTGGGTTGGACGAAATACAATATTTACGTCTAACCCCGTCTGATTGTACTTAGTAAACATCTAAGTATAAAATAACCAGGAAGTGCAGTGTGGAGCTCAAGGTCTTTACTAAAATGTGCATCAAATAAAAATCTGCGTATTCTGGCATTTGGATCCTTGTTACATTACTTGTATTATTGATTTAAATTAAGAGTATTTGTCTGTTTTTCTAGTGGATTATGATGGGTGATGACACACTGTGCATTTGTCCAACCTATTGATATTCCAATTCAATGTGTATTCTTATACTTGTTCTTATTTGTGAAATGTGTTTATGCAAGGAACGGAAACTTTTTTTGTTTTTTGCATTTATACTTTTGGTTAGCTTGTGTTCTAATATGTCTGTGTGTGTGTGTCCTCCCCAGATGGTGGTGACCCCGTCATGGTGCAGCCATCCTCAGCCACAGAAAACACTCAGCTCACCTCTGATGCCCACCAAAGCTACAGAACCGACGCATACTAGACACACACAGTCACACACACACAGCAGCAACCGACAAGTAACCACAGCTATAGCACCAATCCATAACACAAACACACACCAGCAGATACTAGATAGCATCTCTCACAGTCCGCCATTTACCGTTTGATTTACATTCATTTTATAATTCATGTGAAGTGAAGGGAGAAGGGAGGAAACAAAATAATTTAGACAGGATTGTGTATTTCTTCATGATTTTCCAGAGCAACAGAGGAGCTCATAGTTAATCTTACATTAGTAGGCTAGACATAGGGACACATTCACTTAATACCTTGCGAGCTGGAAGCTAGGACTGCTTTTTCTTTACATTAAAAAATTACGAGAGAGAAAAAAGGATTGATCTTATAAATGATGTCTGTCTGCAAACTCAAGTCAGGAGTTTTTGAGCAACCATGTGGCTAACTAAAATGTAGTTAATTCAGTTTGAGTTAAGGATGAATCCGGCCAGATATTAAACACTAACAATATGCAGTGACTTTTCACAATTATACTTTTTCGGGGAGGGGGGGAGGGTACATGTCGCGTCGTTGACTGCGTGTCTACACAGGACGCGCTTCGTTTCTCGTTTTAACTCTATCCAAGAGTAAGAGCACCAGAAGCATTACGTCTATTTTCTTCCGTACTACAGTGCATGTGTGTCGGGCTCTGAGCGGTGCCAAAGCGTGGGGGACCTACACGTGCAATGTGCGGGTACATTCCGTCGTCTGCCCATATCTGCTAGGCCGGCCCAAAGGTTATGATGCAAACTTACAAACCGAGACGTCCTTCACTCCCATCTCAGGTTTGAGGGACAGGGAGAGGAGGTGAGCGGAGAAACTACGGATATGTAAGCGGTAAGAAAATGAGAAGAGCTTGTAGTAGAAACAGAATTCGGTATCGCTCTGTTTTAGACTTTATTTGACTCTTATGTGCTGTAGTAAGTTTGCCATCTCACATACTTGCCAAGTGGAAGTTTATGCAACGCATTCAAGGAAAACATTTTTTGACGCGTCATCCAAGTCTTTCACCCTTGGTGTCAAGAACTTCCTGCTCGTGGGTGAGAAACAAGCCGTCTCCTTTTAGCTCGGGAACCTCATTGGGGCGTCGCCAGTTTCAGTGATTATGTCCCTGTTCATTTACAACTTGAAAGGGAGCTGCGACTCTCTGAATATCCGATGAGGTCAAAATAATCATCACTCGTAGTGTAAAGAGCAACTTTCAAAGTGTTTCTGCTCAAGGCTTTGATCAGGGTTCGTTTATTTGTCTTCGACACCCATGTGGACGTCAACAGAGCCCCTCTGTGTGTGTGTGTGTGTGTGTGTGTGTGTGTGTGTGTGTGTCAACAGAGCCCCCTGTTTGTGTGTGTGTGTGGAAGAGGGCAGCTGTCACTCACTGGCATCGGGTGCCGTCACAATTGAACTTGGATCAATCTTGAGAAAGATTATCATATTGCTTCAGTTTCTCGGTAGAAGCAGTAATACTTAGTGACGTCACTTCGTTGTAGATTCGCCATGGTCCTCCGCGTCCTCCTCGTCCTCTTCTCCCTTCACAGAAGTCGCCGTCTTGGTCCTCTCTCTCCTCCGCACACGAAGGACTGACTTTTGGAAGCTGTGCATGTGCAGTGGGAGCCAGTGTTCTTAGATGAGATATTACGGAGTACAACGTTGTACATTAGTAACCTGTTGGTGTCATCTGGAGGAACATGCATATGTAAACTGATTGAACCCACTTTTTGTGTATTTTTAGGTTTTCATTTTTTTGTGAGAAAGTAAAAATGCTGTAAATGTTGTTTTAAAGTCTGTCTAGGTTTTACGTCACTGTACTTTTTCTTCTATTCGTCTCTGTAGAATTGCTTTTCATTTATTTTTATTTTTTCATTTATGTTGTTAATGAAGGGAGGATATTGATATCAAAAGTCTTATTTGTTGATGTGGCAAAAGTAGATTATTTCATCCTCATAACAAATGAAGAGCAGTTAACCATAAGCAGGACGCTTATGTAGGATCTTATTTTCCAGAATAACACTTATTAACTTAACTCTTTTGTAGCGTTTCTTGATTTGTCACACACAAGTTGCACTCCACTCTGCTAGATGATGACATATAGGAACACTGTGGTTGTTGGTGTCAACAGTTTTGATTTATGTTGTAATTGAACCAGCCAGGCTAATCTATTCAATGTATTTCCTTTAATTTCTTAATCAAACACTTTGTTCATTATGTATTTATACATATCAGGAGACGGTGCAATATCAGCTAATGAAAAAATTATCTTCCAAACGTCGAATTGCAAATTTCAATTGTTTTCAGCAAACTTCATAATAAGTAAAAGAAAAGAGTTTGAAGCTAAAAGAATAGTCGACGTATTTTAACAGTTCAAAACAGGCTCCTTAAATCTGATTTTCATTCCTTGTTGTAGTATTAAAGTTTGTAACTCAGCTTTTGGACTCCAATTAAGGATTAAAAATAATTTTTATAGTTGTTATGAAATTCGAAGGTGCTCTTTTCAAATCAGATTTAACTTGATTAGTTTTGTGCGTCATGTTGTGTGTTCACTGAAATGCCCCATTGTTAAAATCCCTCCTTTTACTTTTTTGCAATTTTTCTTCTATTGACCAAACATGCACCAGTGTCTGAGTGAGTGGAGGCAGAAGCCTGAGACACATAAACCTGGAGTCTAGAAACTTCCATCGTCGGATCGAAAACAATGTCAAATAAATAAGTAAATACAGCGACCAGATGATATTGATATCAAAGCATTATTTTATTTATTTTATTATGTTTTTAATAATCTATTAACAACTAGTTTTTTTGCCACGGGGATGTATAGAATTCTAGATGTGAACTATTTTGACAATGAAGTGGCAAAAGGACAGACCTGCTGTATATACACACAGTGCGTAGGGACTTAGAGGTCTTCTGTTCTTAGCATGGACAATGTTTGTGTCTGTCAGGCCAATGTGTGGGTAAATAAAGTAAATGATACACTGTTGTACAATAAATGTTTCTGTTGCTTCAGAGCCTCTTTTGTCAAAGCGTCTTCTATTTCAAAATGAAAAGCAAAGCTGGGGAGCTGGTAACAGTCTGGTAAGCTCCCAAACGTTGTCTTTAACGAGCTCGGAGTCCGGCCGCTGCTGCTAAAGGCTTTATATAATGTTTCAAGCCCTGAAAACAAACTTTTAAATGTCAAATAGGTGGAATGTCACTTTTAAATCAGATTAGAAAACTTTTTTATCATCATGAAATTCATCATCCACTTGAACGCTAGATATTTATAACTAATATGTCATGTTAAGTCACAGAGAAGAAGCATGTATGAGAAGAAAAGTGGGCAGAGATCATTTATGGTTCAGAGTACTGAACTATCAATATAACAAAAGAAAAAGGAACATCAAACTAATTTGAGCAATCTGAAAAAAAACACATTCTTGGTTAAGTATCCCAAATAACAATAAACTAGAGAAAATGGCTGCTGTACAAACAGTGAATGAATATCCATTCAGTAAAAGCTACAAAATGTATATTAAGTGTAGAAAATACTGGATGTAAAATAAAAATTGGGGTTACCTATGTATAGCTCCTTTTATAGTATTATATTAAATAATTATATTGAGCATTTATGGACTCGATATAATTATCTACAAAATGTAGTGTCTCACTTAAAATGAATGTGGTCAGACCCAGTAATTGAGTTATGCTGTGCATAGAAACATTGCTGTACATGTAGCGGTTAACTTGTTCGCAGGGGTCCTCTTACCCTCCAATAAGTGTCTGAAGATGAATGCGGTAACTATTCGTTTATATTAAAAGGCCACGGTAAGCACCTTTAAGAGGACAGTTTGTGTGTAATAGTAGATCGAGCACTGCCGGCATGGTCTTAAAGCGTCCACATACCAGCCACTGCCTGATATGGTGCGTGTCTGTGCGTGTGTGCGTGTGTGTGTTAGGGTTACTTCAGAGGCACTGAAACCTGACGCCACCCAACTGCAATCGGTCCGCGGACACAGACTCACACACGGCTGTGGATGGCGAGGACGCTTCCAACAAACAATCCCAGCAGTCTCTGCTCAGGTGGACATACGGAAGAAGGGAGGAAGTGTTGGCTGAGCAGGGGAGAGGGCGTGTGAGGAAGAGGAGGACAGGCAGTAAGAGGTGAAGAGCTGGGGAGACACCCTGTCCCGGTGGATTTGGTGTCAGGAGAGGTCACAAACCTTCTCCCCCCGGATGAGACCCCAGCTGTTCTCCCACTGGTTGACTTTGATATTACTTTTTTGGACCTCATTTTTTACCAAATTGTTTTTTTTTGTGTGTGACATTTTTTCGAACTGTAACGCGACATGAGAAGTTTCACCGAGGCAACGAAGGCCGTCTGAGTGAGGGAGTTGGGTATTTCCAGAACCTGAGAAGGCCAACGGTGCCCTCTTCTCTCTGTTGGAGCTGCAACAAATTAGTTTCCAAGTGAATGAGATAGTGGGACATTATCATGGTCCCTCTCTGTGCATGTAAACAGATACAATCTGTACAAATACAGAGAAGCAATAAGAAGTAATTCAGTATTTTGTTTTATTTTCTCGTTCGTGCTTTGAATTTGAATACTATAACAGAGAATTGGGGGGGAAAAAGTAGTATGTGATTGACTCTAAAGAAGAGCAAGGGCCAGGCAGCGGAGGAGGAACACCAACACAGATGGAGAAGAAGGTGAGTCATCGGGTGGATTTCATTCCGCCTTGACTGTTTGCTTTTCTCTGTATAGGGCCATAATGGGGAATTCGCATGTTTTTACACTTTTTAACACTTTTTACCGCGATGAAGAAGCACACATTGCTCTCATGTGATCTACCACAATGATGGTACAATGGTTTTGGCCATTTTTTAACATATGTTGCACTCATGATGGTTTTTCTTATAATACTGAACTCTACAGAAAGCCTGAACATTTGATCTCTGGGTTGAATGTGCAGTTTTTGTTCAATGTGTTCAATGAACGTGTCTGATTAAATCAAATAGTGACAACCCAAGTGACCCCCACTGTGTAGGACATTACAAATATATGCAGCAGAACTTTATTTAAGTCTCTAGCAGTTTGAGATACTTATACACCCTTTTGCCATGTCAAAAGCACATGCGTATTAAATGGCATTTCACCTGTGCTTTTTCTACCACGACAAGTCAAATGTCAGCTGGGATTGAGGTCTAATCCACCATAATCATTTTAGTTGAATATATCAAAAGAATATATAGTGGAAAGTACAAAGCCATATACAGTAATTACATTTTACAATATTATATTTTCTTAGAGCTTTTACAAAAGGTGCATCTATAGTATTAACTTGTTACGACAGTGATCTTTCCCTACTTAAGGCTTCTAAAAAGATATGAAAATATGGAAACCGGTGAAAACAGTAATGTGAACTTGTTTCCTCCATGATTAACCTACATACCTCGAACAAAGCTCGAGTTGTACGGTGTATTTTCATAGAAATTAATCAATCAAAGAAATGTCTTCCAGGGAGAAAATAAAAATCAAACAATAGCCGGCACTGCGTGCATTCAATCAGCTGTGGGGCCAACAGGAGGAGGTGGAGTTGGACGAGCGGGCTGAGCCGAGCTGCCTGCAGGCCGCCGGGGGGGTGCAGGGCGAGGCGGCGCTGGCAACGCTGCAGAAACAGCTGATCTGTCCCATCTGTCTGGAGCTCTTCAGCAAACCGGTGGTCATCCTGCCCTGTCAGCACAACCTCTGCAGGAAGTGTGCCAATGAGCTGTACCAGGTCGGTGACGCGGCACATGTGTGTGTGTGTGTATATACACATGTTTGTACTGTGCGTTTTGAGCATACAATCCCTGTATGTGCTCACCTTTCTGTATGTACTGCATGTGTTGGAACACACTCATTTGTCATACTATAGGACTCCATTGTTCATATTAGAGAACTCAAACAAAGCCTGTGTCAGATGTGTGTGTGTGCGTGTGTGTGTGTGTGTGTGTGTGTGTGTGTGTGTGTGTGTGTTTGGGGTCAGTGGATTATCAGTGTCTAAAATGGGATGTGTGGGTGTTTAACTCGTTCGCTCAGGAACGTTGTCACCTGCTGTGAGTTATATTTACTGCTATTGTTCGGATCACCCATGTGTGTGAGTACTTTGTTTTTTTTGCTGATGAAAATAACACAGTTATATTTCACAGAAATATTCAGTATTATGCATTTCAATTTTACTTCAAAAAAAGTACAAAGGTATCAGTTTCCTTTATCTCCAAAATCAGGTCGTCTGAGGTTCATAATCATTTTTAGAATATTTCATATTGGAAATAACACTATTTCTTCTAGTGACATTTTACCACCCAGTAGGACTATCATGCACACCCAAGCACACTTCACGTGTGCGTTAACTTGCATGTGTGAGGCATGTTGAATGGAAAGTTACTGTGCACTACTTCCTTACTGACATGCTCATGTTTGTGACCTTCGACTCTAAGAAGATATCACGTGAATGTCCCCATCCCGTCACCTCTTGGCCTTCTAACGTCAGCTTCCTCTAACAGCTCACCTTCCCGCAGTCCTCAACTTTTTATACTAGTAGGGATTATTGTTACGTTCCTAACGTACGTTTACAGAGAAAATCTGATCATTTGAATGGGAAGGAACCTTGGGTGACATTTTTAGATATCACCAGTTTTAATTTTGTTATTAATTAATAGTCTGAAATCTGAAAATTTGCCTGTGGATACAGAAACGTTTTTTCCCGGGGTCCTCTTAATAATTACAGACTGGTGCAGACTGTTAAATTGTGTGAATATTGACAAAAGTGATATAAACTCAAGCTGCCCGTGCAAACCATCTCTCCTTCTGAGTGCTCAGTGTTTGTCTCTCTACCAGCTGATCTCCCAGCAGCAGCTGAAGCTTATTAAAGGTCACTATTTCAGGACGTGTTTCACCTCGAACCTTCCCTCTGCCTTTCTGCTCATCTGTCCTCTTCTTCACCCGTCTATCGCTCTTCCCCCTGAATCTCAATTCTTTAATTGGTTTCCACTACTATCAATCTGTATTTTTTTATCCTTTTGTTAGTAAAGTGCTGTAAACTGAAACATTTTCCTGAAATCCGTGGGCCCGGTTGTTTGACCTTGAAAGTTAGATAAAAGTGGTCGGTGGGGACGGCATTATCATCTGTGACCGCCGTACGTGAGCTCTGCAGAGCCGTGAGCCCACGTGCACAACCAGGCACCCGGAACTGACATGGACAACCCGAGATATCAACTCAAAAAATGTATTAAGAGACATGCATGATGTCACCTCACCGGTCAGTGATAGGGTTAGTAAAATAGGTGTGTAGATAATAAATAAACAAGTAAGTTTATGTAGTGTACAAAATCACCATATAAAATAAGAAGCCATTGAGACCTAATTCACCACATGCCAAACAATGAGAATGTCCCGCAGCCTTTTATACTATTGTATATGATTACAGTTACATGTCTTTTTTTCATTTATTAATATATTTTCAACCACCTGCGACCCAGACTTTGCTATTGGCTGATCTAGAGACGTCATGGAGGGTTGAGCATTCCTGTGTGAATAATTACAACATTCTGTCGGGGTTTATTTCTGTGCAGCCCTCCTTGTTCCAGGCTCGCACCACCATGCAGGTGAGCAGTGGTCGCTTCCGCTGTCCGACCTGCAGACAGGAAGTTGTGCTGGATCGCCACGGTGTCTACAGCCTGCAGAGGAACCTGCTGGTAGAGAACATCGTCGACGTCTACAAACAGGAAGTCGGCAACAACGGCAACGCTGCAGGGTGAGGAGAGACGACCGTAACAGGCAATCATGAAATGTAGTGTAGTGTGCTTCCATGACATAAATACATATGACATGTGGTGTTTCCCCTCTTCTCTCTCTCTCTCTCTCTCTCCCTCCACCAGCCCACTACCTCCTCCTCCACCTTCTGCTCATGTGACATGTTCGGACCATGAGGGCGAGAGGGTGAACATTTACTGTCTCACCTGTCAGGTTCCTACATGTTCTCTGTGTAAGGTTTTTGGAGCTCATCAGTCCTGTCAGGTGGCTCCTCTGACAGATATCTATCAGCAAAAGAAGGTACAGACCTGTGTTTTTTTCATGTTTGGAAAGCTTTATTAATACGTCTATTCAATCTGCATCTATCCTTCTGCTATTCATCTGTGGAAATCTACATGCGGAGAAAGATGCTAGCCGTGTCTGTTCTTTGATTGTCAAACTAATTCCGAATTCTGGTACTAACAAACTTTTGATTAAGTGAAGTGCAGAACTATTACTAAAGGCTGCAAATAACAATTATGTAATAATCACAAATTAATTTCCTTTTCTTTTTCAGGATGAGCTGAGTGGAGAAGTCAGTTCTTTGGTGGCAGTCAACGACAAAGTCCAGGCATTGATCAATGAGCTGGAGGAGACCTGCAAAAAAATAGAGGTGTGTGTGTTTGTGTGTGTGTGTGTGTGTGTGTGTGTGCGCTCACATACTCACTAGAAAACTATGGATTGTTCTCCCACTGAAAAAAGTCCCTAACAAATGCACTATTCCTCTTGTTTGATACAAGCTAACATGCTACCATGCAGACATTTGACTGTTTTAGGAAGACTATTTTAGAAAATCATTTTCGCAGAGAGACAGGAAGTGAGCACAGCACACACTTGGTTTGCAGTTCTAATAGTGCAGAAACATTGGCCAGATGAGCGTGCTGTTTTCATGCACTCTCCTTCATGCTTCTCTCTGCAGGAGAACAGTAAGACTCAGAAACAACTCGTGAGTGAGAAGTTCAGTTGTGTGTTTTCGATCCTGCAGGAGAGACAAAAGGTCAGCTGTTTAAAAGTTCTCTGCACGTTTATATATTTATTGTCGTTATTTTATATTAACTATATTTTTCGGAGGTAAATATAACAAAAGTAATTGGCAACAGGCATTCAGCCATCACACTTAGAGCAGTAGCAGATCTGAATAAACAGAGATTAAATGTCCTAATTAAGTTAACTACATGTCTATATATATGTATATATATATATATATATATATATATATATATATATATATATATATATATATATATATATATATATATACATATATATATAGACTCCTCACATATTTTTTATAGACTTTATAATATTGTTGTTTTGCAAATTTTAATGTTAATATACAAAATCCCGTATGTTCTGTATATAACTTGTATATATATAAGTTATATGTAAGCAGTTAAAGTCATAGCGGCAGAAACAGTGCTCACAGTTGTAGTGGTTTATTATTGTCTTTTTCATTATTATCATCATGAAGGTGATGACGCAGCGAATCAGCTCTGAGCAGGAAGAAAAGACAGGCCGGGCCCAGGCGTTGGCCCGTTGCCATAGAGACACCGTGGGAGCCAACTGCAAACTGGTGGAGAGAGCCGTGAGCAGCATGGAGGAGCGGGACACGGCTGCGTTTGTGCAGGTGCTGCATTGAGTCGATGCCTGAAAAAGCGTGTCCATAACAATACCTGATAGATGTAGACGTAATCATTGTTTGAGTCCAGATTCTCTCAAATAACGCTGTATCATTTTTTTAATTTCCCTTCTTCAGAATTCAAGAGAGTTGATCACAAAGTGAGTGTTGTGACAAGACATTTTAGGATTTGTTGCCCACTGGATGGTATAATTTTTAAACAGTTAAAATCTTTTCTGTTTCCTTTTCTTTCGTCCACTCTTTACTCCCCATACCTCGATTTTCATTGACCCCCTTCTGTCTGTTGAGTAGAGTGATTTCAGCGACCAGTTTCTCTCCAGCTGAGACACTGAAACCAGGTGATGAGAGTTTGAGCCCCTACCGATTTAACTTCAGCAGACAGGAGAGGGCTCTGAAGAGCATCGACTTCCTCCAAGGTAGGAAGAGGGACGGCCTGGGAAACTACGTTGAAACTTTATCTTTGTAAGACACCGTTTGTTTTGCATGAGAGACATTTCAGCAGCACCATGTAGTATCAACAAGAGACATTACTGTCCACTTTGTGAAAGTGCTGTTAAATATTGTCAGACAAAATAGCATTAAAAAGTAAAAACAATAATATTTTTACATGTGCTTGTAAAGGCCAAACTGTTAATATGCCGGACAGTGGAGTATACAACATTCTGATGTTTTTTTTTATATTGTTATTTAAGGTCTATGAGTCCAAACCAAACCCTATTCCAAGAGCAAGCCTTTTGCATTGCTACACTGCCACTTTAAAAATGAAAATGATGACTGGGATATTTCTAAATATTAAACAAAAATAGCCACAGATGGATGTCTTTAGCTAAAAAGAGAAAAAACAAAACATGCAGTAAAATACTACGATTATTGTCTCTAATCGTATAAAAATAGTTTAAATACCAACCTTGGTACTCTTTGAGACATGTTGACGTTGCACTAATTCACAGAGTTTATACCTAAAGAATTCGACCAACACTCTTTTAATCACATAAAGCTTTAACCGTAACATATTAAAGTGTACATTCAGTCTAAGCACGTATCGTTTTCTCTCAGCAGTTGTGCAAGATGTTCCTGAAATTGAAAAGGAGCCTGAAGTTCCCAAAGAGCCCTCTGTCCACATCGTAGAACCAGAACACCACCAGGAAGCCTCCCTGCAGAACCCACAACGGGTTGTAGAACCAATTATAGAGCTCAACCCAACAATAATATCCCCACCAGTGAAACCAGCTGCACCAACATCAGCCCCAGTCCAACCAGCTGCTGGTCTGGTGAGAGACTCTGTGGAGCCCGACTTAAATGATGGAGAACCCGCTCTGATGAAGAACAAAACGACGGAGGAGGAGGAGGAGGAGGATGAGGAGGAGGAGAAGGAGCAAGCGGAGGGATGTGCAGCTCCTGGTGCGGTCAAGGGGGGCACCGGCTGTGAAGAGCTGGAGGAGACGAGCACACAAATGGTACTTTCAGCTCCTCCTTTTCTTTCTAATGTCGATTAAAGGAACCCTGAGCCTGTTAACGGTTTTCAATTGGATCACAACTTGATTACTGATTTGATCAAATATGACTTTGGATTGATTTCCTGCTGAAAATGCTTCACCCATAGGTCCCTGTCTGGTTGTTTTTTGGGGAATTGAAGCGAAATGAGGAAAGAGGAAGAGTATATTAAAAGTTAAGCTTGTTTCATTGTAACAATGATAGTAACGATGACAATACCTTTATTCAAGCAAAAGCAATTAAAAACAAAGGTGATGTTTAAACAATATTTATTTATTAGTATTAAAAGCAGACAGTATTTCAGTACTAGCAGAAGCAGCAAAAGTACTTTATGGTTATGTAACCTCTGAATACAGTTTTGTGTCCTCGTTCCTTCCTTCTCCACATTACAGTCTTTTAGTTGCTGCATCTCCTCACTTCGTCATATTTATCTCATCATTTAGCACCTCCATGATCCCTCCATGTTCCTCTCCCTTGCCCATCCCTCCATGTTCCTCCAGGTTGTCATTATGCTCTTCTACCTGTTGGCCTTCCTGGTCCTCCTGCAGAAGGTTTGGGCTTACATCGGCTGCTTCATTTGAACATAACACCAGCGGGAGACCCAACCATCCTCGCTGCTGCACAGCTCAGGTATACCCTGACACTTTAGCTATGCAACTTTAAACCATTACAACTGTATTTTTTTTTTAATATTCTTGATGTTTTTATACTGAAACAACACTGACACCACTCACGACACCCCTCTGCTTCATGCTGTATGATACGTTGTGTTTGCATGGTTGGGAACATTTCCTAAATTTACCTTTTTCTTGAATGCTCTTCCCGATTAGACTTATACTTCTAATATACTTATTCTCATTTAACATTTTAAATACAGTATTTTTAACTTGTATTTGATTTCCAGTGTGACACTACTGCAAAGATCTGAACACGTCCTCCACCACTGGTGATAGTGAACAACAAACGTGTTGTTTTCATGATGACTATTTCTATTTGATACTGAGTCTTCATATAAAGTAATCCCTTTGCTCCAAATGGAGACTGAGATAACACCCAGGTACTGCTTCTGCTGGGTAAACTCCCCCGACAATAGGAGAGAAGCTTCGGAAAGGATGATTTAAGGAGAAAGAAAGTTGCCCTCCAGTCAGGTTCAGGAGCTCAGCGCCTTAAACATGCTTATGGTCACACTTTTACTCCAAAGTTACACTAGTTTTATCAGCAAGGGAAAACGTCTGACTTTGTTGGGCTTTTATTATGAAAACCTACTGAGAGGAAATAGCCTTTTGCCATTCTTACTAAAGGTCTTCACAACTGTCAAGTTATTGTTTCCTGTTGCATTAGCAGTCATACTACAGCAGAGAAGTAGTATTTGATGGAGGAGCCATTTTGATGTACTTTACTAGAGTTTAATTTACTTCCATTTGATTTTATTCCACTTTATTCATCTGACTGTTTTGGTTACAAGTTAATGTCATATGAAAACGTTTCAAATGGCGTATTACTATACTACTGATAGTATACAAAATATCTAAACGTGTCACCCTGTGCAAGAATTGAAAAATGAAATGCTCTAACTTTTATTCATAAGTGCATAGAAACATACAATATAACAATCTATTGTAATATGACATTGTTAAAGGTGCCATTTTGTATTTTGCCATTTCGAGTACTTTGAGTACTTTTGCTTTTCATACTTCAAATATATTTTTTCAAAATTACTTATTTTACGTCGGTATTGTTAATTTATGGTATTATTCCAATATTTTAGCTATTTTTCCACTGTCACCTGAAGTAACGGAGAAAATATTATCTGTTTTTTCAATGAAGAGGAAGTATTATTATTAGCCCAGTAGAAGTAGAAGAGGAAGATGTAGCCTGAACTAGTCCTTTAGGGTCCTTTAGGATGTTTACTCTATTAGCATCTTACAATATCTGCACTATATGAACAACAATGTTGCGATACTTCCTATTGCATCTTCTGTCAAATCAAATAATTTGGACACTTCCTAAGTTCCTAAATATTTAAAATCTCAGAAAACGTCTCATAAAGGTCTGTGTTAAATATTGTTACTCTTTTCAGTTAGAGGATATTTAAGATGTCAACACCATTTTTTAAGTGATATCAGATAAGTAGATGTAGGAGTGGTTCACAATGGGTTAAACATTCTTTCTTAACCAGTTTAAGCCGATGATTTTTGGATGTAACATTCTACTCAGCGAGGTTTTGTTTCAAAATGAACTGCTCTGTTTGATTTTTTTATGCAGCGTCAGCAGCATTTTCTGTGGATTTGTGAGTGTGACTACACTTTGTTTTTGAGTGTTTGGTGAATGTAAACTGGTGTCTGATGCAGGACAGAGTGGTTCAGATGAGATATTGGATGTGTTTCATACATGCATTGATGAAACAAGTCACTCACTTTTTCTGACTTCAAGTATTTTGTGTATTAAAGAGGCTTTGCGTAAATACACAATAAATGATTAGTACGCAGGTCTTGTCATATAATTTTGTGTGGGATATAAACTCAAGTGTTTGTGTGAAGTTGTTAGACTACACCGGAAAAGACATTTTCATAAATCCAAAACTTTACTGTCAGTAGAGAGAAACTTCCTGTCTAAAGGACACGCCTCTACAATAAAAGCACGGAAACGAAGATCACGTTTATACGTTCAATTCGATGGGCATTCGAGATGAACATTGGAACATACCTTTTTATTTTGCAAACAAGTTTAAAGTTCAATACAAATTACAAATGATCGTTTTTTGGGAAATCTAAATACAATCCAAACTATAACAACAACTATTATCTATATTGTAGCTTTCTTAATTAATTGTTCAATAACATGGCAGCAAAAATGTAGTTTTTAAGTAAATAAAAAAGCGTTAAATATGAGTAATCGTATGCTATTTCTTTCTTTGATAGTTGTCGTAATTCACATTAACCTCAAACTATAATAGAATATTTAGTTTGAAATGTGTGTTGTCAAATACAAAATGATTATTATATCAAGGATATTGCACATTAAATCCCATTATAAAACAAAAAATATGAATTCATTGAAGTCTCTTGAGTAAGAATTTGGGAATTTTATCTGCAATAAATATAGCATTTCTTTACCGTGATTTGGCGTAAATATATTATCATTTTCAGCAGTAGACTGAGGGCACCGCATTTTTGTTTAAAATATGCCATGTATAATACCTATATTAATTAAGTTAATACATATATTTTGACTTAAGTATTTATCTATCTTTTGCTCTATTTGATCTTATTCTGAAATTCCATACCGGACGTGCTTCTGTGACTGTTGTCGTGAGCTTTCCAAAGAGCCGTTTAAGCTGAGCTGGCTGTTGGGCTGTTTTGAGTTCCTGTTGACGACTTTGTCTGAGTGGGAGCAGTCTACAAAACCAGGAAGATTAATACACGCCGAGGGGAACGCACACTTAACTAGTTCGATATCCTCATTTCACACCCCTCGAGGTCAACTTTGAACAAAAAAAGAAGTTCTAACTCTGTGAAATCGACGCCGAAATGGACCCCGCCAGTCAAGGTAACTTACATTTTTTTGCTAGCAAGCGTTTAGCTTAGCTTCAGAAATTCTTAAAATGTTTGGTGGGCACAGATAACTCTGTTGTAATAAATGTATCCAGCACATAGATAACTACCCAATAATAATGCCGCTCGCTTGTGTAGTTGAAAGGTTCTACGTGTTTGGAGATGATAAAACCGGACATGGTTGGAGTCGTGAGGACCGTATGGGCCCGCTGGTGTAATTGACAGGGACGAGAGTAAGTTCGGTGAAGAGGAAGGCAAAGCGTTTCGTATTACTGACAACTTTTTCTTGATAATGTAATCTGATCGACTGACATGCCCACGTGTCACAGGTGAACCACGTCACCATACCTTCTGTGAGTCTTGCCGGAATTTAAATTCCGAGTTTAGAGTTTATATCTTTTGTAAACAAAAAGACAAACGTTAATGCTAGCTAAACGCTTAGCTAAAGTTAGCACTTTTGTTTTAGTGGCTTCCCAAAGTTAAACACGAGCTATGGCCTCTGCCTCGCCTTTATCCGAACACGTGTCCGTGCAGTACATCTGAATCCCCCTTTTATTGTCGACTATAGCCGGATTTGCTGACTAACTGTGCGGTCATCTTCGGCGCTGCTAGCATGCTAGCTGCTGCTCCGTCGCTGTCACTGACTGCTCTTGACTCAGCCAGAGGTGGAAAACAATATTCCGATAGCTACCTTCTTAATTTAAACCAGCAATGGACTAAAGTAAAATGTATTTTATTCTAAATCACAAGTTAAAACTTAAAGTAACCCTTGGGCAGCAGAACGTGTGATATTAAATGCATCAACGTTACTGTGTACGTTTCACTTAAGTTTTTAGTAGATTATGGTTAAACACGCGTGGATGCTTGTAGTGTTACTTGAGATTAATGTATGTTTTGACAAGTTTTTTTTTTACTTTACAACAATAGCTGAAAAACATAAGCATCGACGGGGGTGGAGATCCATCCGCGTCGTGTCCGTGACCCTCCTCAAAGCCGCAAACCGTGACTCTGCTTTCTTCCTTTTCTACAATGCTGAGTTTAACTTAACAGCTGCTAGTAAAGACAACGCGGTCAGCAACGTGTTATCCCTGTTGTGTTAGCCGCTGGTAGTCGATTGGGAATCAATCGGCATGTTGAAACTGCTATGTCATGGGTTGTTTTTTTTCACAGCTCATTTACAGCCATATGAGCTGTGCGGTTAACTTGCTTTTAAGGATCTGTGTTAATATGAATTATAGAAATGATAATTATTTATAGATTTTTTGAATGGGCCAAATGCCAACAATAGTTGTCAGATTTGGATAAAGTCTAAATCAAAGTTCATCATCAATCATAGAAGCACCACCGGTCACTTTTTCTAAATCAATATCCACAGGAATGTATGCAAAGCAGCAGAGGGTATTCAAGTTAAGGGTGTGGCTGTGATCGTCCATGAGTCAAATGACACATGCAACAGAACTGAGCTTTGGCTGTTGTCAGGGTGCCTTCTGGAGTGTGTAACAAATCAAGGTGCGTCTGACACACAGTACCCGAGCTTGACCTTTAAATCCCAGAAAGAAATCTTTTATTTTTTTTCTCCTGTTCCTACAGGAGCCCTGGTTCATTTCTCTCTCCATCCTCTGTTTTCTGTGGGCCACGCTGAATCATTGTTGGCTCAATCAATATATACGTAGCGGGCGGAGCGTTCATATCCCTCGCCAACTCTCATGCGGATGTTATTGTTAAAGCTCTGCATTACGCAGCACTAACCACAGATGATGATCGTTTGTGGCGCTATTATGCGTCTGTCTGCCGTGTCTTGTGTTAAAGCTAAATGCGCTGCCATGTTCACGGCTATAACGTTACTACTAATTCCTACTTATTGTCACACACGCGTGCGCTGGCTCGACTAGACACCTGGCAGCGCCGCACGGGACTCTGCAATACGCTGTTGCACACCACGAGCGAGTGTGCCAGACTGACGCGGAGCGGTCAGCCCTGCAGGCCAACTAATTGACGTGGTGGGGGCTTCAGTGGGTTGTCCACCACGATGGCCCGCTAACTCTTCCGGAGTGCTGAACCGGGGACAGCTGCCCGATTGTGCCGAGTGTGCAGTTGGCCTGTAAGTCACTGATTCAACTCGTTTGTGCATCGTCACTCCAATCAGGAGTTTTGGTGCCGAGGAGGGATCACATGGTCTAGAGATTTTGAAGCCACATCTCGATTGTCTGGCTTTATTTCTTTATTCTCTGAGACACCGCTCGGTGGGAGCCTTTGTGTGTTTTCCATCCTCTGCTCCGACACGCTTAAAGACCAGCGGTCAAACTATTTTAACCTATATAAAATAGCTGGATGGGTGTTTGAATGTTGGACTACTAAGACAGCGGAACAGGCCCACTCATCCCTCGCCTTTAGGGTTAGGGGCCAGCCGTAAAATCGCTATTTTTCTTCTGGTGTTCAGTTATGATTGTGTGCTTTCACCCAGTTTCAGAATGCAGCTCCTGTTTGTTTGTTTTTCCCTTTTTGTGACGTATTCTCTTACAGTGGTAAGCTTTAGGAGTTGCCAAATTGTTGCCGGTGCCTTCAGGTTAATGACGAAGGCTGGACTCATTGAAAAAGTAATGCTGACGAATTTTAGTGCAGAAAGTAATATTGTTCTGCTTTTGCAAACCTACGGTTTACACCAGGACTGATTTATGGTTGTCATTTGTTCTTTTTGGGAAGTTTATTGTCCTCCTTTTCTGGTCCACTGCATTGTGTCCTTTCTGACCTTTTTAATGGGTCTTTTCCCAGAGTGCAGTGCAACTAATTGACACTTTCTCTTCCTGCTGGAGAGGGGGGGGTAGAATACTCTTAGGAAACCACTCTAAGCTTTTAACACTTCAACTGATCGAAGTGTGTGTGTGTGTGTGTGTGTGTGTTTTTAGCCTCCTGCTGCCTTCCCATTAACGTCTCCTATCCTTCAACTTTTCCTCCATCTCTCTCTCTTGCTTTCTTGTTCCAGATATCAACCTGAACTCTCCTAACAAGGGCCTTGTAGTGGACCACTCGGACAGCCTTTCTGACGTGCCGGTGGAGGGGGCTGTGGGGAACGCAGCGAACCCTCCTCCACCTGGCCTGACGGAGGAGGAGGCCGAGGAGCTCCGCACAGAGCTTACAAAGGTAGGGCCCGGATGTTCCATAGTCCCCATAATGTTGACATGTAACCAGAGACCACAATAGTCATGTGATACTGTGAAAATACCCATACAAGTCGAGTGGTTCAACCAGACTTGACGGTTGAACCTGCAGAAAGCAAATACAAAGAGAAATGTCCTTCTAAAAAACAGCTCAACACGAATACAAGGAACCAACCACGTTTGCTATAATGCCTGTAACGAGCCGGAATATTAACCGATGTATAAATCTATTCAACACGACCGCTTAGAAGACTGCAGAGAGACAATCAAAATCATTATCCAAGATATTCCAAACCCAAATGCACAATACAGAGGACGACCCGAGACATCACTTCTCAAGGCGTCTCCGTTGTGTGTTTAGGTGGAGGAGGAGATCAACACTCTGCGTCAGGTTCTCTCGGCCAAAGAGCGACACGCCGCAGACCTGAAAAGGAAACTGGGTCTCAACCCGCTGAACGAACTCCGGCAGAACTTCACCAAGAGCTGGCAAGACGTACAAACCTCCAACGCGTACGTATTAATCCGGCCGGATTATTTAAGCACAGCGACGAGACGGAAAATGATTCCCCGCCTGTATAAATGACTCTTTATCCACAGCAGGATGACGGCTTCTACAAAGCTGAGGCGGTTAAATGTTCAAAACTGTCTTGATGTTTAATGGTAAAAAAAAAACTCAACTGCTCTGATTTTAGCAGATGGCCATATAGTTTAGGAACCAGACGGAATCTCCAACTAATGTTTTGAAACGCAAATGATAAAAGATGAGGCTCCTTTTTCAATAAGGAATCCGTATCCAAGGCCCGCATTTTAAAAAGTATTCTAGCATGATTGGAAGCATGACGAAGTAGAAGTGGCTTTGAGCGCCGGGCCGGTGCGATGAGTCGGACCTCCCCGCGTTCTCTCTGATAGCGGTTTTATCAGAAAGAGGCCAGTCACACAACTAATCACCATGTGGTGACTCATCCGGGCTTCTCAAGTCTTCCAATTATATTCTGAATGATCGACGTTGGCTGAGACAAAGGCGCTGCATTTTTGGATGGAAAATGTATATATTAATATCCTGTGTTCACCATGGCTTATTGTTTTCTTTTACAAAGCCGCTTCTCTGTTTGACATTAAACATAATGCTTCGACTTTGCAAGTTACTCTTTGGATCGGGATGATCCCTCATGATTAGTTATTACACCTCTGCAGAAGGTGTTCACTCACGGAAGAACCATGAGCACACAGTCAAAACTTTTTCAAATTATTCTGATGTTTCGAGGGTAAAGGGATCATTGCTGTGCTGCTGATCATGAAGATGACGCCATGTATCTGTATACAGGGATGGTCAAAGTCTCATATCCCCTTATTGTACCCCTGGTGACGTTTCATTCAGACTTCGTTTGTTTGTTTTATTTAATATTCGGTCAAACCTCCAGTATTTTGTCAGGATCGGGTCTTTTTCACTCGAGTGAAAATCAGAACAATATGAATTGTACAAGTGACGGTGGCTTCAAAAAACAGCCACCAAAAATGGAAGGTTCTTTTTTTAAAGGATAATTACATCTTTTACATTATTTAGACCATATTTTAGTTCATACTTCATTTATAATGTGTTCAAAGATTCTCCTTCCTCTTCAAGCCAACGTGCTTTAAATCCTCCATGTTCACCCCAGCGGTGTAACACCCTCATGTTTGTGTTTTCTAGCTATGTGAGAACCACTGAGAAACTGAGCGAGTGGAATGAGAGAGTTACCAGCTTGGATCTGTGAGTCAGTGCGCTGTTTGCTCTCTCACGCTCTGACTTTGACTCGCCATCCGTCCTTCTCCCTTCTCACCTACTAACCATGTTTGACAACACTCGCATCGCAACAGTTGCAGTTTGACTTGGTGTGTGCTTGCAGGACATTCATCAGGATTCCTTTTTTTCTTTTTCTTCTTTTGCTCGTATACAATGAGATGCTTAAAGGGAATGCTTCCAAATGAATGTGCTTTAAGTTAAGTGAATCGTATTCAGTTTAGCAGGCGCTTTGAGGTGAACATTAAAAGTATTTCTCGTGGTTGTAAAACTGTCTTTTGCATCTTCATATTTCTTGTTTCTGCGACCCTGTTGAGGAGCTTTTCCAGTTGTGACAAACCTGCTTTGTTGGATTCCAGATCAGTTCTCCTGCAGCTGTCAGACGCCTGTTGCACATACGGCTAGACGTGTAGCACTGCAGTGGGATTTTGTGTGTCTCTTCAGTCTGAGTTGCATAACTGATTGAACTGAGTGTGCGTTTGTCTTACTGTGACACGTGACTCACTGTTTGTTTCTAATAATCCGATATCTTTTTTGAAGCAGTGCTGTTTGCAGAGACGTGGCAGCATTTCTTAAATAGAAGTCAGGGCAGACGGTAGAACTAGGAGCTGTTAGTTTAGTCTTTCTCTCCTGTTTTCTATCCCCACCTCCTCTTATCAGTGTCATCTGTCTCTGTACTTCCTCTCCCAGAGGTCAGCTTTCCTCTCTTCTTCCGTCTAGAAGTGCTGACACACGTCCTCCTCTCTACTTCCTCTCCAAAGCAGCGGCCTTCAATATTGAACATTTTCTCAGACGCTTCCTTCGGGGCGTTTATAACCATTCACCAGGCTGTAGAACTTTTAGTTTGAAAGCTAGAGTCCAGGCTTTGCTCGAGCAAAAATAAGCTGCGTTTGTGATCACCAATTCACCTTTTTTGTTTTGCAAATTGGACTAGATTGAGCCAAACTCTTGCAATAGTTCCATAAGGATTTGAGCCGGGGGGCTCACTAGCTAAATACAATCAACTGGCACACAATGTCAAAGCAATTATATAGTGATGTAATAACTGGTGATCAGCTGATGCCCATTAGTAGTTGCCTGGATTTGAGGCATTATGAGACAAAAGGCCCCTGAGCACAAGACGACACCGTGAAAGTTTTTCCTGAGCTTCAATATTATGTTATTAAAACATCACAGAGCCACGGCAACTATCTTAATTAATAACGTATAATATTATATGAAGGAAAATCTTCTTTGCTTCAGTTTAGGTGTACAGCTATAGGATCTGGGTTGAAATCTTCAAATATTCATAAAAATAGATTCAACTTTGTATGGTCTGATTTAAACATTTAATATTTCAGGGGGCAAAACACTCACACACTGACTTTTTCTGTCTAAAATGTATTGATAAAGGAGGGCTGACCTCAACGATGCCATCAGTGTGGCTCCTTAAGAATCCCTCGTTGGCCTAACGGGCCGCTTTCTCTCATGTCTAACCAGTATTGGACTGAATTTCAAACTGGGGGGGACTAATTGTTCTATGGGAATCTCATCATTTTTTTTTTTAATAAACTCCCAGAGTAGATAAAGCTTCCCTGGGAGTTGGTTTTGAGGTTGACATTTATTTTGACGATGTTACAGTACTGCTGGGCCGATCCAGGCCACGCGGTGGTTTTTCTGCTTCTGTTGCGGCGGCGTCTGAAGCTAATGAAATTTTCCACCTGGCCGCCTGTTATATGAACCGGATTGGCAGGCTCATCCGACTGACTGCTGACACGATTCTAGACTTTTCCTCACAAACAGCAGCCACACGCCGCAACAGACCGGCCTGTTCTTCTCACTCCTCTCTCTGTGGGGTGTTTGCTCACCGAACCAGAACAATAGTGGATTATTACATATTTGCTAGAGTAGCAGAGGGTGTGTGTGTGTGTGTGTGTGTGTGTGTGTGTGTGTGTGTTTTGGTCTCTCATCCTCGACGTGAATGCAACCCGGTGAACAGACGGGCAGCTCGCAACTGCTGCAGCAACAAGTGGGAGGAGAGGAATGTGATGACGGAAGGAAGGGAGGTGAAAATAAGGGGATGTTGGTTTTTATTTTATTTATTTATTTTAACAGTAACATGATGAGAGGAGTTATGAGGTGCAAATAGAGTTGAACTGAGCCAAATAAAGTAAGCAATGGGCCACTTAAATTGTACGTTGCCTGGCTATTACAGTCAAATGAGAGATGAAGACTTTTTATTGAAACAAAATGCGGTGCGTTGAGAAGCTCTGCTCATTCAGAGGTGCTGATGTTTTATATTTTCAATGTCTTGCCTTTTATTTTCTGTTGGCTTTGCTGAAGTTTATTGTAGCATTTTGGACAAGTCATCGTTGGGTCCTTCAATGTCCTCCCTCCAACAAAAACACATTTTGTTGCTATCAAAAGCATTGTCTTCTGCTGCAAATGCAAATCCAGCCGTTACACACTGGTGGTGTGTTGTCAGACAAAGGGGATGTGACGAGGCTGTCGTGTATGATGTCACCCCCCGCTGTGCTCATCGACAAGGAGAGCCGGCTCCTATTAATCAAGCCACTTTGCCCTTATATTTGACTTGTTTTTGTTAAACCGCAAACGTGTTCGTTGTAACTGCCGTAAATGTAAAAATGCGTCCTCCTACTAAGGTGAAACTTAGTCAAACTTTAACACCATTAATGCAAGATAAGAAAAGGCAGACACATCACTGAACTAATTCAAATATTGTTCAGATGTCAAAAAGAGACTAATTGTGTATCTCTCCTCTCTCTCTCTCTCTCTCTCATATATTAAATAACCAACATTTCTAAAATGTTAATGCCATTATATATTATAAGGATACACACACACACACACACAGTATAACTGTAATCAGCTGTTCTGAGTTGAGTGGGTTGTGTTTCAAAGCCTCCACCAGATCAGTGTGGACTTGGATCTCCCGTTATTTTTGTGTTGGCTCTGCTTCCTTATCGGCTCGATTGTTCTAAAGAGCAGTCGGCACAAACACACTTCCTCTCTCTGTAGATGGCGTCCAGGCTGCACTCCTCGCATGAGTGTGATGAAGCTTGCTTTGTTACCAGTCCTGAATAGAGCGTTCCGTCTGGTGTTTGGCGCTTCAACCCTTTTGGTGTTTGAGAGTTCCTATCGGACTGTTTTCCTCAAGTAGGCTGCGTTCTTGCTGATAGCCTTTTTGCTTTTGAGACGTATACGTTTGGCAAATTGCCTGCCGTGTACATCGCGGCAAATTATAAACGGGGACCTTTTGAAAACTATGTGCACCCGCATTCCCCTCATCGATGTGTGGATCACCACCCAATGCTGAAATATCCCCCACTTTCTTCTTCACGTGTTACGGATGTTTCCGTTCTATCGGAATCCCAAATACCATCCCATCTTGGTTAATTGGATATTGTTAATTATAATACCTGGACTCTGGGTTTACTGAAGCGGTGTTCACTCCATAATAAACAGCAGTCAGGGCTGCTACAGTATTTTCCAAAATTAAATTATGTGAATGTATAGGCGGTTCCCCAATAATACATTGTTACATATTTCAGAGTTTTCAACAAGGAAAGTATATCTAAATGCACCGTGGCTTCATAAACCAGCAGTAAATTAAAAATAATTTAGAACAATGTTCTGGTGGACTGTACAGTTCTCCTCCCTGTTGACTGGTTCTAATGAGGTTTCGATGTGAAATCATTTTCTGTTCATTAACCGCATGAGAGCCAAAGTGTTTGGTCACATTATTATTTTACATTGTGTGTTGTGTCTAATCCTGTTATTTCCCTGTACGCTTCCTCTTAAAAGGAAAACGTTCACCCACCACGTTGGTTTCAAATGTTAAAGGCTTTAAAATCCTGCTGCACATCCAACCAGTAAAACGATAGCAGGCGGTCGATGCTGAAGTTGCGCCTGCCCCCCCCCTCCCATCGTGGGGCCGCTCTCTACTGTGATCTGTTGTTGTGTATTGCGAGTGTGTGCCTCTCCCCTGTGTCATTATACTGCTGTTGTGTCTTCAGATATCTGTCTGCCTCAGCAACTTTGGATGACATTTCCCGCTCTGAAGCGTGAGTTGACCCCTTCATTTTTCGTGTTTGTGTTTTGCTTTTGTTTTGCTACGGTTTCTTTAAGTTTGCTTTGCTTTTGGGAGTTATTCTCTTTTTTGCTTTTGACTATCCATCTATTTTTTTTCTTTCTAGTGGTGGTTAAATTAACATGTTTCTGTTTTATCAAAATACTTAAGACAATTTAGACATTTTTGTTTAAGTACCGGATTATCTGTTTTTTACGGCATGCCAGTGTTCCTGTAGTGTTTGTACACAGCCTCACGTTTATCTCTCAAACTGCATTCGCTCTGACTCTGAACCATCTGCTGCTGAGCCTTGGTGTATTTTTGGGTGGACCAGGTGATCATGGCGCTCGCGTGTGTGTGTTTCTTGTGTGTCCATTCACACGCCGAGGGAATGTTTGCGTCAGCCTGTTGGTTGCTTTCGCCAGTTCTGATTTATTTATTTTTGTGTTGCTGTTCCATATTTCTTTGCTTCCGTGCCACCAGGAGTAGTTTGACCACACTTGTTATTCCTGTCCACAGGTCAACTTCCCAGCTAGCCGCTTTGCTAAAGGAACCGCTCAACAATTTTATGAAATTCCTCTTATTAATTCTGGGTTTTGGTGGAAAGAGAAGGTTCATTCTACTCGTGTATGTAATCGTCACAAAAAAAAGTGCTGAAATGACCTCACGAGGCGCCCGATCACGTCACGTTAGTCACACCGCCTGTGTGTTCGTTATGGCGCTGGAGCTGGGAAGCAGTAGGGCTGAGAGAGATGGCCCGCGAAAGAAAACCAGGCTGTTTTATCAAGTCTGATCTTTTCTCTCAAGGAAACCAGTTTTAAAACGTGATTTTGAAATCTACCTTTGATAGTTTTCAAACTTTTTGTGTTTTTTCATTTTTTCTCATCGTCGTCCCTCCTTTATTACAGCAGACTTAACTGCTGTACCTTTCATCCTTGGGTGTGTTTGGTCAAAGTTGTTGTTTTAAATCTGTTTCCATCGTGCACACGGGTAGGGCGGACGCTTCTGTTTTCATATTGCTCGATTGTTGTTACTCAAGATTGTGGGAGCTTTGGATTAATGGTGCCTTTTCAGCTTCCTGCAAGCACTACACTTAAAGTATGTGAATAAAGATAAAACGGTTTGAATATTTGAAACAAACATTCCCGAAGTTCTTCGTCTTCCAAGTGTGATATCGCATCATGTTCCATTTGACTTGATCTCAGCTTTAATTCCATTGGACTGCACTGAACATTTTGGAGGTTCATTCATAACACATTCAGATTATTTTTACTACTGTATCAATACTTTTAGATTCGTTTGATCAGTAAGTCCTTTAACAGCACATTGTACCAGGTTCCTGTTTGATAACCAGCCCTTAGACTGTATTTCCGTATGATTATTAATCACCGGGGGGACACTTCTTCTTTTGAGGGCAGAAGCAACTTAAATTGGGTTTGGTCTAATTTACCCCTTCATGTGTTTTTTTGTTTTTACCTTCCCATCCCCCTCTGTTCATTCATTTGCCTTATTTGACTCTTTTTTTTTTTTTTTTTGCTCGCACTCAATTCTTTTCCTCAATGTTTTTTTTTTTTTTTGCCCCCCCACATTTTTTTATTACACCAACCACCTGTTTTTATTTTCTCCATTTTCTCCTTCTTTTTTTTTTTTTTTCTTTCCATTCCCACCTCCCTTCCATCATCCTCTTCCTCTCTCCTGCAGATACAAAAAGACTCAAGAGACCCTTTCCCAGGCGGGACAGAAGACCAGTGCAGCGTTCACCACAGTGGGCTCTGTCCTCAGCAAGAGACTGGGCGACATGAGGTATGACGCGGCAAACGCAAATTCCCGACAGTCTGGTTAAAATACAAGAATAAAAGAAGGAAGTGTTCAACCAGAAAGTTCTCCGACCTTGATATCATAGTGGGGTTGTGTGTCACTGCGCCGCCTACAGTAGATGGCGGTGAGAGCTTTGACTTGCAGACACACACATTCTGTGACGTGACAAGCAGCTCTTTTGTTCTTGTAGCTCTCCATTTGTCTTATTTTACCGAAGCATCATGCCTCATGTGTCCACTAACCAGAACCAGTAGCTGACGGTCAAATCGTATTTGTTTTATGTGTTTATTTGACTAACTAAAGGGGCTAATTGGTTTTCCATTGAAACACAAGCCTTTTCTTTTGGCACTAAAAACTCACGACGTAGGCCACTGGTCGGTCTTTAAAGGAAAATCCCAGATGCTGAGTTTGAAAGTAAAACGGCGTCTTTGGCTTTCGGCGATGTCTGTAGTGTTTACACAAGTGTGATTTCAGGGTGAAGAGTAATTACTTCCAACTCTAGAATAGGCCAGAATCGCCCGGGTCAAACACGCATGAGAACATCATTGTTGATGGAAAAACAGATGCTCCAGTTGGAGTCCTTCCCATGTAACAACACCGCATTCATATTTACTCTTCATGCATGGGTGTGTGTGTGGTTCTCATGTCCCACTAACATATTCCAGCAGTATTTTACAATGTTTACTGTTTGTGTCTGTCCCTGCATGTTTTTATTCAGTCATCCACTGTGTTTCCTGTGCATCTTCAAAATTTGTCCCCTGAGATTGTTGTATTTGGAATTGTGTTGGAATATTCATTTTCCTTTGCCATGTAAACAGGTTACTAGGAATATTGTCTTTTAGGACAAGGTCAAAAACCGTTACACTTGGTTTGTGTAACCGTAGTCATTGATTCGGTGTAACAACAAAACGCTATTTAGTATGGCGGTGAGAAACCAGACGCGGTCTCCCAACGTTCCTTTAGTCCGCTGTCCTTCGTCACACACACACACACACAGACTTTCCCTCCTGATAACGCTTTTATCTCCTCCTGCTGTGTTTCCCCCGGTTACTGCTGTTGGTTTGCTGCTTTTGGCTCACGCTGTCTCTCCCCACCTTGTTTTGTTTTATTGCTGCCTTGGTTTGACCTGCAGAGCTCTACCTTTCTCTAATTCCTTTAGGTAAGACTAACGTGCCCGGTTTTGATCGTACAGAATGAAATTGTTAGAATTAAATTCAAACTCTTTTTTTTTTTTTTTATTGATGCTTTGACTTGTTTTTCCCAACCTGCTCTTATTTTCTTTCCTTAATTGTCGTGGCGCATTAACGCTTAAAGAAGCATGTTGTTTTCTGCTGGTACCTGAACAAAAACTGTAGCCGTTTTTTTTTGGTAACACTTTATTTTATGATTACTTCATTTAAAGACCAATTATTAGATTTTATTGAAGTAAAAATATTCCCTTACTATTTATTTATTGGAAAGCTATTTAATGCTGACCTGGAAAAAATGTTATGTAGTGAGCTGATGGTTCTTGAAGTGGACCTGAATGTCTTTCAACCTTGCCCATATTTGTCTAACGAGGACAACATTTACAATGCTGCAATGTAACAATGCTGAGAACTTCCCCCCCACCGTCCATGTTGATCCGCTAAAAGCGCTTTGTTTTCTGCCGTAGACGGACTCAGCTTTCATCTGGTGTCTGACAAGATTACTGAAGGGAGAGATTCTCAATCTGGGAACCATAAAATAAAGTGTTACCAGCGCTGCTGTATTTCTTCTAAAATTCCCAGGACACTTCTCTAGAAATGACAGCGAGCAAACGTGAAATCATTTTTAAACAAAGTAGCACCAACCAAGAGAATTAATCATCTGAGTCACATTTTGTTTAGTTATTATACGAAGCTAATGTTCCATTTGAAAAGTGTTTTACAGTCTAAAGTGCACGTAAATAAGAAATGGCGCTATGAGTTGAGGCCAACTTAGGTGTTGTTGTTGTTTGAAATGCAGTTGTGTTTTGTGTGTTTGTCACAACTCGCTCGCTTTATAACACTTGCACTTCTGTCTCCTCTCTTAATGCTTACAAAGTAGCAACTATTCCATTCGCCACTCTATAAGTATGCCCGCCATGAGGTAAAGTAACACACCAATCTGATCACTGTCAGTGTAACACACATTACTTTCTTTATCTGCTTAAAACTATCATGGCTGCAGTGACTCATAAAACCACTAAATCATTTTAAATGGGTTTTTTTTAAAAGCAGGTTCTCACAAACCTTTTGATTGCAACTTGACCCCAGATGGAGAGATGTGTGTATTCAACAGTTGAAATGTTTTGAACATTACATGCACGTAAAGAAATGTAAACTAAAGTGTTTTTACCTTTTTTCATACTTTATATTTCTGTTCTGCAGGAACTCTGCGACCTTCAAGTCGTTTGAGGATAAAATGGGAAACCTGAAGGTGAGCGGACATTCATAAACGTACGTAATTTCGGATACTGTTTACTGCCAAACGTCCCCTTTTTTCTTTGAAGTGTCATGGATTTTAGGACTTGCTAATGCATATTAAATGTAGTCAGAAGGGTATTTTTTCCCCGACCGGAAAGAAACTATATATTGCGCAGACAATCAATAACCCCGCGCCCTTCCTCCCCCCCCCCCCCAGCACAAGGTCGTGGGCCCCAGAGGGAGCGAGGAGGCCATCGGCTCCCCCACCGACACCACCCCAACTCAGGACAACCCGTCTTTCTGAATGCATCCCTGCTCCACATCTACCTCCTCGTTGCCACCTTCTTCCCGACCTGAGACTGTACTGTTAATCACTTCACACCGCAGAAGTCAGCCCTGACCTTTGACCCTCCAGCTCACCAACGCGCCACCACTGGCTATTTGCCACGAGGTCTGCAGGAGACTAAGAACACACTGGTTTTGAGGCGGGGCGAGCGTCTCTCACTGCTCGTCCCGCAGCTTCCGTTCTTCCGCCCTGCTGCGGAGGAAAAGGATGCTTTGTTGATCTCTCTAAACCTGAATAATTTACGGGCTGTGTTCTTGTCACATCATCACCGTCTGCCTCTACTTCTTCCCCGGTTAGACGCACATCACTCTGTTGGTTCAAACAAGTCCAAATAGTTGTTGTTTTTGTTGTTGTTTTTTAAAAGGCATTATTAAGATGTCCCGCTCTTCAGCTAAACGAGGAAGTTCACGTTTATCCTTGGTCTTGTGATCCCCCAAAAGGTCACTCTGTAGGTGTGTTTCTGGGCCCCATATCAGCGGTTAGAGAGGGTGCGTAGACGGTGGGGGGCATTTTACGGGCATAAGCGAGGCGGTGGTTTGTTCTGCTACCATTTCTGTCTTCTTGTTTCTAACTGCTATTGTGTACTTGACCTCCGTCGTACATCCACACTGTTTGCACATGCTAGCGTCTCCACGGTATCTCCATATATTCTCTCTCAAACTTTCACAGGGTTCCTCCCCGCAGCTGTGCGGGTTCCCCCGCAATGTGAACACAGGTGACAGTTTAGTGATTTTTCTCGGGTTCGGGGGTCCTCACATCTCACTCCTTAGACCTTTTACTGCTCCGTGCATCTCTCATCTCAGTTGTATCATACTACCCATGCAAAGAAGACCTGGGGCTGGCAAAACACTCCCAGGATGTAAAAACGGAAAAGGAAAAAAAGCAACCTTAAAACCATTTTGTATTACAAACTATTTTACACTGCTTTGCAAAATGTTTTTACATAACTTTTATCAATATGTATAAAAATAGATGAGTAAATTTATTGTCACTGTTGCGGCCAAATGGCAGTGTCAGGTAGGGAGGTTTAGGAAAAAGCAAGGGGGGGGTCTGGGTCAGTTTCACAGACAATTTTTCTTCTAAGTTTCCTTTTTTCTCTGAGTACATCTGTGGTCTTATAAATGTAGAAATGTTTGTGAAACTGACTAATGAGCTGCATTTGTTTTGTACCTGTCTGGCCTCACGATTAATCGTACAAGAAAGAACATAATCAAAATGGTTTCATTTGACGACGGTGTACCTCGATGGTTTCACTCTGCGCCGTCATTTGCAAGTCGGACGCAAATCTCCGTGGCGTCGGAATGTTTGGAACCCCTTTTTTTTTTTTCCCCTCGTATGAGGTACTACAAATAAGTCAAGTGTGTCCCCGCCCACTTTGGAGAAACCACATGGAAGGAAAGCAATGTGCTGCAAGAAATAATTTAGACACTTGGGGGGGAAAAATATATATATATCCGTTTTAGCTGTGATTTAAAATCAAAATATTTATCACTGCTTTACCTTTTCTGATGGTGAACTGCAGAAGTTATCGATCCTCCATTCAAAGCCACACTGAAAAAACGTTCTCGACCACGTGGGATGATGGAAAAGAACCTCATGAACACTACTTCAGATAATCGTAACTATCCTATTTAGCGTTCAGAACTCCATGTGAGGCGTCGCTTTGTACACTACTCTGAATGTCAATGCTTCTCTATCAGCCTTACTCACTTTAAATGGTTCACTTGTTATAATTCAGCTGGTAGAAAAGGTTTTGGAGTTGCACAGACTGGTTTTGATTGAACCAGTCTACAGGCTCTCCTAAACCATTTGGGAGAGTGAGCATAAATGTTGAGTCTGAGTGGCCACAAACTGTCATAAAGTGCTCGTTGCCATTAGAGACTTTGGCTAACAACCCCTCAATGCACTCCAGTTGGCACACATTAAATACTATTACTGCATGAGGCCCACACACACAAGTTGGCCCAGTCAATCTTGTGTTGCTGTTGATTTAATAAAGGTGTTTCGATGTCTCACATTGCCAATAATATTTTACAATATTGCAACAATAAAATGTGGTTCCTCCCGGCTTTATAACTGCTGCCGTGTATTTTTTTTTGTGTTGATCACTTTGCTAGTTAATGTATTCCTGTTAGGTGAATTGTTTTTGTTTTTGTTTTGTTTTTTAGGAGAGGTGTGACATTTTGGTATTTGTACAAATGATTTGCAATCAGTTTAAAAACAAGTTGCCAATCCCTAGATATCTGTTACAAAGTCTTTCTGCCCCAAGTGGGCTCTGCCTTTCTGCTCTGGCGAGATAAATATGGATCTCAACAAATTGACTTCTAAAATGGTATTTTTTTTTCTTGTACGAAGCTGAGGAATTATCAAATACACAAAGATCTCAACGTACTAGGAAGAAACCGTTTTAGATTGAAACCCTCCCCCCCTCTCCCCGCCCCCACCAGTGCACATGTCGCCTGTTCTAAAAGCTGCTATCGGTTTTGTAGACGTGGATAGAAAAAAAATCTTTTGATTTGGGTGCCAATGGGAAGTGTTAGTTGCTGCAGAGGCTGGAGGACAGTGGCGTTTTTACAGCTTTATTTAGATCCTGGGCCTAACTGATGTAGAAAAGGGATTTGATTTGGACAATTATGGTGAATGAATTATTTTTTCTTGTATATGTTTGGATATTAATAAAGCATTCCTTTAAATTAATGAATAGTGTTTGGTCAGTAAGTTTTTATTTTAATTTTTTTTTTGGTCTTAAATAAATTTGCATTAAATGAATTGTTTTAGGAGTCAAACATACCCCTCTGCTCTGAATTGGAGACTAATTGGGGACCGCCTTAACGAGGAACGGTGCCATAAGAGGAAACTGTGCGGTTTTTCTAGATTTACAAGCAACTTGAGACGTATTGGCTAAAATCTCTAAATCGGATCGGTTTCATTCCCTATAATAGTGCTAAACCACTACGGATGTAATATATATTGTCCCACTGGTTGCGCGGTGAAGCCGTTTTACTAGTGAACAGATTCTTTTCCTTGCCTGGGCCGGGGAGATGCCTTTTGTTGTCAGTATTTAGAAGGCCTTCTCCCTCAAGGTTGGTAAAGAAGGAACCACTCCTGCTTCCAATCCTTAAACTACGGTTAAATCTTGTGTATTCAATTGTAGTTTAATTGTGAAAACACTAATGTTATGAGAACCTGCATGTTACTTCCTCCGGCCCAAAAAAAGAACTCCCCGTCGGGGAATCGAACCCCGGTCTTCCGCGTGACAGGCGGAGATACTGTCCACTATACTAACGAGGAAGGACAACTTTTAGCGAAACGGAGAAGTATTTATAAATTCTATATAAAGACCTGGGATTCTTTAGCTAAAATCCCTAATTTCCCATTCATTCTCTATGGTAGTGCTGAAGCAGTTTGGGTGATTTCCTCACAGCGCGAGGTGCGACAAAAGGGCACCGTCCCTTCGGTGCTCTTTCCCAGGTAGACTGCGGAGAATGTCCGGAGAAACGCTTAAAATCCGGGTAAATGCTCGGTCCGCACCGCAGCGCCACCGGTGGCCAAATATATATTACATCCGTAGTGGTTTAGCACTACCATAGAGAATGAATGTTATTTGGTGTGGGGATTTTAGCTAAAGAATCCCCGGGTCGCGGGCCCAGTCGCTTTGGATAAAAACGTCAGCTAAATAAAATGTAACGTAACATTGTTCCTTTTAAAAAAACCTAGCAGAGGATGGTTTCGATCCATCGACCTCTGGGTTATGGGCCCAGCACGCTTCCGCTGCGCCACTCTGCTGGCGACTTTCTTCTATCAGTCTGGCAAATTTTAACGCTCAGTAAAATAAAACTGCCTACAAAGAAATGGTTGTCTCGTCATTATTTTGATGACTGAATGTTTACCATCTATTGAGTACTATCCTGTTATATTCATATTTATAGTAGAGTATGAGTATAAAAACAGAGTCATATTCAAACATTGCAGTCCGTAACGTAGTTGTCGTGGCCGAGTGGTTAAGGCGATGGACTAGAAATCCATTGGGGTCTCCCCGCGCAGGTTCGAATCCTGCCGACAACGTTCAGCATTTTGTACATTTGAATAGTTATGTAGCGTTAACGTTAAAAGAAATGTATTTACCTACATATTTCCAACCAACTTCACACAGACAAAAAGAAAATGAAGGAATTGTCAAAGTTTAGGAAGTTTAATTACTTTAAATCATATAGAACTGTTCGTCAGAACTCAATTATTTTTAATTTCATTTTATTTACATGTTTTAAAATAAGGTATCCCATATTTTTGAGAGATAAGTGGGTCTGCTACAAATATGGGCAATATGGTTGAGATATTCCAATAAGTACTTTTATGTTGGATTCCTTTAGTTCTGTGGTTAAATTCACACGTTTCTTTATATGCCAATTGCAACAATGTGTATATAACGGTAAATGACTTGAAACTGTAATACGTTTCTACAAACAATAGAGGCCACAGGCCCACTGTAGTGAATGTTCAGACTGGTGCAATTCATGTATTTCACCACAAGAGGGGACTCCTTGTATGTATTCATGTCTTTGTGATTCGTTAACTATAATCGGTGATTGTGCAGAGAACATCTTGTCTCACGGAAATTTGGTGAAATCAGGAAAATATTGTAACTAAATATCACTTTTAAATAACTGAAATTAAATACATTAAATACATAAAGAAAAGGGGAAATTTCCTAACTTTAATGTCTGAGCCTCCTGCAGTTTAATTTCTTTCCCTTCCATTTATTTTGGAAACACACTAAAAATATATTTCCAGTCCCCCCCGCCCACCATCTCGCGTCGGCGACCTTTCGTCCCATTTCTTGGTTCTTTATTCGCTGTTTCGCTGTAATTTGACACGCCCCGCCCACTGACGCGTCACCGAACCATTATATAAAGTCGCGAGCTACCGTTACGCGACGAGAAGCATCGCCGACATCCGTTCGGACCTTGGAGGGTTACGCTTACCCAAAACTTATTTTCAAATGGGCCCCGTCGCCTAGCGTTTACCCCCCCAGCCTCGGCGACTGAGTTGAATTGGGTGCTGCGGAAGATCGAGCACGTTTGGTCCCGTAAAAAGGTGAGGTTTTCCCCCGCTTTTTGAAACTGTGGTACCGCAGTATTTTGTTGGCGGTGTGGGCGGACAAGAGGTGAGGGACATTTCCAGCGTTTGCTACCGACGTCTCTTTTTGGTTTCGGTAACAAACTTGCTTTTTTAGGAATAGTCTTTTCTGGGGTTGACACATATCCCTCCTGGGAGCTGTGGTCGAGCGAACGTTAGCTTGATAACGGAAGCACTTAACGTTAGGGTCTTTGCTATGGGTGTGGAGGGGTAAAACGTAAACGTTAGAATAAACGTTGTGTGTAGTTATTTGTGTCGTATTTGTGTGTTTTCCTCACATAACACTAACGGCCGTGTTACCAGGCGTGATGACACCACGTCAACCGTTGATTTTGTTTTGGTCTTTGTTGGAGACAAAATGTCCCCGCTACGGCGGCCAGAAAGGCCACGATTTGGGTTTTTATTTCCTTTTAAAAACCGCTAAGATTTTTAGCACATAACTTTTTGAATGTAGGCTTTCAATTAAGTGTCAATCTTTTAAATGAACCTTATTTATTTTTCATGTCACAGAATATCGTCAAAATGTCGGTTTGGTGCAGTGGCCATCTCATGTAAACAAGACTCCCTGCAAAACGTGACTGACGTCATCACATTAAGGACGTTAACGTGCGATTACAGCAAAACGAAGCGTTTGGTTTTAGTCATTAAGTATTGGTCTTTGAGACCTGATCGAATCATCCACGTTTGTTTCTCTGCCGTGCATGAGACTGTCATATTTTCTCGTTTAGATTATCAAGCAAAGGCTAATGCTTGTTATGGTTTTTAGTAAAGTATTTCAAGCCCCTGTTGTGAAATCTCTTTTGGTTTGGATCGCTTTGTGGGCTTTTGCCTTGTAAAGAGGGTAGATAAAAATAAGTAAAGCATACCTGCAAGTTTTAATTATAAATAACTCATAACTTTCTCCTCCTCCCAGGTTTCCATCAAGTACAGTAACCAACTACAGTATAATGGCATCCATTCCAGCAGGTGGTTCCCTCGTGGCGACCAACGACTACTACCGAAGTGAGTCTCCCTTCCTCCCATTCCCTAATCACACCAGTCCAACGGGTCGAGCTGACTTCTCGCTCATTGCCTTTGGCTTAACGCTGGATGAGTCATCATTCTACCGGCTTTACGTTTTACCTGTTTAGTTTGGTTGACTATGCATTACTATTACTCTCACCTTTTTAAAAGAAAAATATTTTATTTTTATTGCTGATTTTCTCCTCCTGCAGGGCGCATTGGTTCTACATCCAGTAGCAGCTCTTGTGGCAGTTCGGAGTACACAGGAGAGGTCATCCCTCATCATCCCGGTGTGTGTTTGTATCCATAAAACTGAACATTTAAGAACATTAAGTTTCCTTGAGATTGTGGGATTTACTTAAACTCCTATAATCCAGACTTCATTAAAGATCAAAAAAAATTGTGTTCAAATACATGCCAAGCTGTACGCACTTTAAGAATCTGCCTGACCTAGAAGTTAATTATGGCCCACAGTGCTTGTACTGGTCATTCCGCTACCTGAGCGTAAATTTAGCTGTTACTGGAGATGTCACAGTGAGGATGAGTCCCGATGGGTGAAACCTGAGTCATGTCCCCCCGTGGAATGCAGCTGATGAAACACCCACTCAACTCAAACGTGTATACTCTCCACACTCATCGGGTCTGCTGTCTTGCTTCAACAAAGCAATGTCGTCCACTCTGTCCTTTGGTGTCAATATGTTAAATTACTACAGAGAACGACAGAGCATTTGAGTGAAATGGACAGTGGGTGCTGTGTTACCGCTATGAACCTGTCTTCATTAACTACCTCCTCAGGACTTCCCAAGCAGGACTCTGGACATTGGTGGTCCAGTTTCTTCTTTGGGAAGCAGCCAGGGATGACCCCTCTGACCGAGGAGGCACAACAGAAGTAAGTACACTCATTTAAATGCCCTTTAGTGTCACAAATGAATCCAGGTCTGCTTGGTTCAATAAAGCTGCCATTGAGACGACCTGTCATTGGTTGGTGTTAGTTTCTCGGTCGATAGTGTGTGTTGTGCTTTAGCCACAAGGTGGTCCGTTCTACTGCTTGCTCCTACTAGACGCGCAGACGTTCCCTTGAACTTGATCCGATCCAGTTGATAGTTTGACTATTGCGGTATGTAACTGTGAATCGGATAAGGAACTGGACTTTGGGTCTTTGCATATGCTTGAGATCCCGACGGCGTCTTCTCAGTTATCAAATCAGCAAATAGCGCCATTCGCATTCGCTCTACTCATATTAACATGCAAAAATAGTAGAGGGATGTAGCTTCACCTTGCTCTCCATTCGCCATCTTTCTCGTAGTGTTGTTGTTGGTAGTGGTCAAGCGGAAATAGCTGTATCACAACTAGTTGTAATGAAAACAGCGCCACCTATCTTATTAGATATGACATGCTTTCGGCCAATGATTCGATTTATTCACTGCCATGTATATTGGAATAATGGCACTAGCAAGATAGCATAGTCCGACTAAGCAAAGATTTGAATTATACCATCATGTAAACTCACTGACTCTTTTCAGGTTGAACTTTTTAACCTGGTACCAGGCTCAAAGATGGCTATCAAAAGATTGCCTTTGCAGTTTGTCTGAAAGTCTGTAAACATGTCCTGCAAACTGGTTCAACTGGCTTGTCATTAACGGTCGTAAACACTATCGGCAAACAACAGAGCAGGACATAGTCATTCTTGTATTCCAGTAGTAATCGCTTAACTTCCTAGAAGTAAAATCCGAAGCGGCCCTATAAAAAGGATTTTTGAGGTGGGGAAAGTTCGCAGAAAACTTTTTATTAATCAATCGCAACACTCTGCTTGTAATCCATTTTCTGGGTAGGGTTATTTGTGGTTGCGTCATGCGCTATGACCTGTCCCTGTGTAAACTAATGACTGGTTTAACAGTCACACCCTTTCTATTTGTTAAGAACCGGTTTTTACGATCTCTGTCTCTGTCAGGGCGGGGGTCCAAGGAACAGTGACAAATGGTCAGATCACCTGCGTTGCCCAGGAGATGGTGATGCAACGCCAGGTGAATGAGAGCAGTGACTCAGGAAGCCCCACCTCTTCCTGATCCTGCAGTCTCGCCCTGATCCAAGCCGTACCTCAGAGGGGGGGAGGGTGGAACCAACGACCAACGCTAGGTGACGGGGCAATGTCCCGTTCACAACCTTAGTTGTTTTTTTTTTTTTTAATTATATGTTGTAGTTCTAGGGCTGCCTTACATGGATTAGTTTATGTAACGTGTTTTTTTTACTATTTTTTTTTTTATTGACAACCAAGAAAAAAATGCAATTTTCAAATAAAGTACAAAAAACATGCTTGTGATGCAACTGATACACTTGTTTTTGAATATTTGTACCGTGTTTGTATACTGTATTGCATAGACACCCCGTGGTGCATTCACATCAACATGCCTTTGTTAAACACTTTTGTCACCCTGTGATTGCGAATGCAATAAAGACTCTTGCAGCCGAATGTTCCGTTTCGGGTCAGTCTTTCTTCCCCTCACAAACACTAAAAGCAGAAATGTGCCTTCAAAAACTAATTAAAAAGAAATGCTAGGAGTATAGTTTGCACACGACTGGTTTTTAATGTTGAACATTACAATAACTCAGGTTATACTTTATTAAAGACTTTGCCATAGTGGTTGGTTAAAATGGCCCTGTAAGGATCCGGGTGTGCACTTGTCAATGTTTGCCAGCAGCGGTTCACTTGTTTTGTACAGGGTTGTTCCAGGAGCAGAGTAAACACCCAGAGCGCAGCACTTCACGTCCTCAACTGCTGCCGCTGAACCCGGACTGTGGAGTTGTGTAACTGTTTGCTCATTGTCTAAACACCCACATCTGTAGGCCAGCCAGTTCTAAGGATGATCAAACTGGTTAAACCCCGCCAGATGGTTTCAGCAAAACTGTGTAGAAACAGTTTAACATTTAGAACTTCCCTTGAAGCAGAATATACTACACGTATTAAAATAAAGGTACTTGAGCAGAATAGCCACTTTACATTGTGTCAGCATAATTTTACGGTGATCATTTAGAATCTATTCATGAGGTAAACATTATTTGAGTAAATTAAACTATTAGCAACATAGTGACTTTCTCAGCCGAGCATTTTCTGAGTATTTTTTTGGGAATGTAATGATTACGGGTAAAATAATTATAAAAGAATTCTCCAGTACTTGAGTCACAAGGTGTGCAGAATACGAAAACGAGCCTGTGACGCTGGATCACGTGACCCGCTCTTCATAACCTCATATAACCAGCCGACCAGACGCACATGGCCCAAGGAGGGTTATTTAAACGCCTCAAAATGCCTGCTGTACACTTACTTCCGGTGCGTATTGAGGTCAGCTTCACGTTTTTGCGTCAACTACGTCAATTTGCTGCCGCTGTAGTGTGTACGTGTTGCTTCATGACATATTTATCTTCTGGATTCAAGTTTCTATTTTATTGCTGCTTCTGACGTTTAGCAAAGAAGCCAACCCAAATAACCATAGATTAAATTCTGCAACGCCGGAAGTCGAAGTGTTCAGTCCTGCATGTCTGAGACCACCATGAATAATCTTCCTAGATGTCCCTCAGGGCGGGTGGAGCTACGGTTGGGGTCATTGCATAATGTAACAATCATTTTATCTGGATCAGTGTGTTGATTCGGTGAGCAACAATTCACTATGAGTGCAAAGGAAGCGACCTTGATTTATATCAGGTTTTAAAAATGCTTTTATTTTGAAATCCCCATGGCAATACCTATTTATCATTTCCGTCCAAGCGCAACTCTCTCTTCCAGAAGTGAAATGGTCAAATGACACTGTTTTTTGCGAGTTCAACGTAAATGTATTTTTTGTGTTAAATGGGAATATGATATTGTCTCATATCATCACAGTTGTAGTTATTACTGTATTGTTTTGTGATATCAGCATATATTTGATCGTTGCCCGAACAATTATATGACATTGTTTCACATGCAGATTTTTAAAGGTTTTGTGATTAAATTATCATTTGATTCACAGGCATAATTAAAGCTTAACTTTTTTCTGTACGCATCTGTTCCATAAATACCACATCACATTTTAAACATTGACTGAGTTCACTGCAATAAAACAGCAAGTCGTTTGGTCAGCAAGTTATATGTTCAAAAACTGCTAGTGGTCACTAAGTAGACACACTTGCACACTGTAAAGGGTTCGACGACACATAAGCGGAAAACCTCGACTGTCCCCGCTGACTGTGCTGCAGCACAAATCCTCATGCATGGATCTTTCCATTTGACTGTGAGATGGATTTGTGTAAGCGCCGCTGTCCTCTATTCAGCCCTCTGCCGTCTGTTTGGCAGCATGAAGCGGAGCAAAGACAAACAATACTGCAAAGTGGGGCCTCTGTATCATAGTGCTGAAAAGGTCGAGGGTTTGTTCTGTGGCTCATCTGAAGAGCGGAGCGGCCTCTCGTCCTCCCACGCTGCAGTTTTTCCGGGTGACCGGCTGCATAGTCGGTCGTTGGAGAGTTGGAAGGAAGGAGGCAATTTTATCTCCTCGCCTGGAATTTGTTCCCTTGTTTTCAGGCTCTGAACCTTGTTCTTCTGTTCCACAACATCTGTTCTTCCTTTGACTTGATGGTTTCACTGCTGGGCGACATGATAGTTTTAAGAATAGCGACTAGTTACCTCCACCCACAGGGAAGATAGATCCGTGACTGATCCGTCAGAACCGTAAGATTTATGATCTGTTTTAGCACATTACGACACAAACAGAGGTAGAGTTACTTTCAAATGAATTTGAATAGATCAGCTGACTACATCCGCATTCCAAGGTTTGGAATTTCTAATAAGTACCGGAGTTATATTTTCAAAATATTTGGCGGTGTAAGTTTCTTTTAATTAATTATTCATTTAGTTGACTAACCCTTGCAGTTCTAAATTCAGATTAGTCGTGTGTGCATACTTATGATCAGTTATGATGGAAACGCTGCAGCTGTTCATGATGACATATTCCCAGTCACCTTCATTGCTGAGAACAGCTGCTAAGTAGCCGGCTTCCTTTTTCCATATTACAAAAAAGGACACAAATTAAGGCCAAATTGAAATACACTTCTGTGAATTTGGGTTGGTAGTCATAGTATATATTTCGTTATCCTCAATTCATTTGTGTAGGGATTGGGATTAAAATGACCTGCATACCATCTCTCATTACACAAATTTACTGGTCCACTGAAATGATCGCTTTACATTTACATCGATCACCACTTTAACAACGCAGCTCCAATGAGGAGATGCAAGTAGTATTTACTCAAATCCGACTTGTGACGGTACAAACTTTTAACTCCACTTAAGGACTACAATTTCATAAATGTAGATTGGAACTGTATGCAATCAACGTGTTTTACTGAACTCACAGGCTTTGATAGTAAATGTTACATTCATGTGCCTTTTTACTTTGGAATCTTCCGCTGTGTCTGAGCTTGTGTGTTTGACTCAGGCTGTCAAACCCGAGCAGCGAAGAGGCCTCAAGAATGGGGACGTTATGGGAAACTGCTTTATAACTTTCCTTATCATTCTGTGAACAATGAGGTGCGCTTGTTTTCTTCTACTTGACGCTCCGGTCAGCAGGGCTGGTTGGTTTGGAGGGGGAGAAGTGAACAGGAGAAGTGGTCAGAACAACATTGACCCATACTCCTTTGTTGCCAATGCCACTTGGGAATCCTGGAACAAAAAAAACACAAAGAGTTTAATCATGTTTCTTTTTAGAAATACTCTAATGCGCTTTGAAAAGTATCATGCAGGATTCTACAGTTGTATTTGGCAGTAGTTGAGGTTCCTGCTGGGCAGCTCCTGTCACTGCATTTTGTACCGGTCACTGGGTGCACGCACTGCATGGTCATTGTAATCACATTGTAGAGTACTACATGTTACCTAGTCTGTGTGTAGTGTTTTACCTGGAGGCGTTACCATGGTGACCCAGAGGGTGAACCGTCTCGGATTGTGTGTGATGGAGTGGTTCTGACAGCTGAACACTTCAACAACAGGATTTATCTTCTCGTGGCCGGGGGACGAGTCTGAGAAAGAAAAATACAGAAAAATGTATTAAATTAGAAATCATATAAAGCAGAGAATCTTGTTTGAGATGCCGGAACTTAGTTAAAGAAATTTCCAGGTCTAAGTCTTCAAATTGCTTGGTTTGCAATTATGGTTGAAACCAAAAATAATTAGATCAGGTAACCAATTATTCTTGGTATTTTGCTCATCAAAAGCAAAATTGTATATAAAGAAATTGGGCTTACTTTTGTAAAAGTGGTTACGGGCGAGCAGACAGGCTGGAGAGTTGACGCTGGTCATGCTGCCAGATGTTTGCAGTCGCTCACCTACAGGGAGAGAGAGACAGAGATGTTAAAAACCTAATTGTATTGTATTTTATGTGCTTGTGCAGGAAGCTGCAGCTACGTTTCATTGTGCAGTCCTGAATTGTATAATAACATCAAAGCATGAGTTTGCAGGCTGTAGCAGTGTTGTGTATTAACCAGAATCATTTTAATGTTGAATTGGACTTAAATTGGGTGCCTGGAGATTCTTCAGTAGAAATATCCTATGAAGCAAACAAGGGAAACAGTTTCCCCAATGAACCAAAGGACAGTGTGTTTAAACTGTGACCTGATGCTGCTATTATTAGATACTGTGTGTCTGTGTCTGTGTGTGTGTGTGTGTGTGTGTGTGTGTGTCCATCACTTTACTGTTTTTGCTGCTTATCTTATCACAAGGTTACAGCAAGGGGAAGTAAATCTCCCTGTTTAAATTCTTTTTTTGATTTTTTGGTAACAGATGATTTCATTGAGTGGCTTATCCCTCATAGGCTTCCATCAAGTTCACTTTAAATGTACTATCTCCTTAATAAAGTTAAGTAATCAGTCACAGTTTAAATAAACAATGCTTTTTTAAACTGTATAACTAAAGATAAGAGACGGAATTAATGCACATTTCTGTGAATATGTGCAATTTATTGAAGGAAACATTTTTCCCAAATGGATCCTACATGAAGTGGCATCAATGGCTAAATATACTAAATATGTTTCATAACAGAAAGATTTGTGCACATAGAACACAAAGTTCTATGTGCTTGAGTAGAGCCACAAACACCCAAAAACAACTATTAAATGTGGATCTCAATTTGTTAAACAGGATCGTTCAGTCAAAAGTGATAAAAAGTTGTGACTCTGACTTGCTGAACTTTAACCTGGTGGGATATTGGCAGCAGTATAAATGCCACAATCCAGGAAAAGAAAGGACATCTCTTATATGGCCACTTTTCTTTTTCTGCGTTGTGTGAAGGGAACCTAAAGGCAGCTTGTAGGCTGGACGGTGGGTAAGATGTAGGGGAAAGGTCCGGACCGCCTACTGTTGATTTATAAGTCCTATAGCGCCTGCCCCTCCTTTTCTTCCCTCAAACCTAAACCCCTCCAACCTCCAGGTTTTTCACCGTTGCATCGCTCTCAGATAACAAAATGCATAGGTCTTTGATTTTCTGTGGTTTTCTTTCTATTTTTTTCTGTTTTAATCACATCAACTGAATGAAGGCATTAGCTGAATAGGAAACAAAAGACAGAGAGAAAGAAAAAACAATACAAGTAAAAGAAAGACAGGAGGAAAACTTTATATTTAAATGAAATGACAAAGTAAATAAAAAGAAGAAGAAATATGGAGGGCACAAGAAGTAAAAAAGGAGGTAACAAGGGAGGGAATATCGAATTAGAAGTAAATAGATGAATAAATGAAAGGATGAAAATGAAAGGAAGAAGGAAAAAATACATGGATCTAGGAAAGAAACAAAGAGAAAAGGAGGAAACGAAATAAACATAAAATGGAGATGGAAAGAGAGAATGATGGATAGGATGAAAGAGGATCTAGGATATAAATGAAGAGCGAAGAGAAAGACAAAAGGAAGCAAACAAGGAGACAAAAATTGAATCTGGGAAAGAAACACAGAGCGAAGAAGGGAGTAAGCCAGCAAAGAAGAAAAGGAAACAATAAGGAAACAACAAAAGGAAGAGAAGAGGAAAGGATTGGAAGCGAGGGAATCAAAAGAAGGAAACGCCAAATAATGTAATCGCATATACTTGTACCTTAACCTCATTGAATCCCACTGAAGGTTCCCCGGTGATAAACACACACTTTTCTTCTTCATGCAGACACTCACCGTCAGATTAGTAAATCCGCTACAAAACACAAGCTGCCGCTCTGCAGACTCCTCAGTGTCGGATTGATCTTGTGCAGGATATGAACCCAACATCTGCAGCCTCCCTTCTGCGGGCAGCGACCACTCAGCGGTGGTCTTGAAGAAGGAGTGGCTTGTGTTCTTGCCAAAGCGTCAAGTAGCATCCAAGTCAAAAGGTCAGCAGCTGTTTACCTCGCAGACATGCAGCTACTTCTTTTAGCTTCGCTGCGACCTACATTCTGAGGTGGATGTAGATCAAAGGTCACGTGGATGGAAGTGGAGGTTCCCCTTCCGTCGGCGTGACAGCGCACACTTTTTCGACTGTCCCTGGATTTTCACTGATGTGTAATTCACAGCCTCCGCCCAGTCAAAGTTCATGAGGAGCCCCCTCTTAAAAGTGTTGTATTTTACCTGAAAGACCTAAATGTCATCATTGACCCGTGATGGGAAAAATATGGTCATTCAAATATATTCTTTCTTATATTTATTGAAATCGTACTTTACTGCAGTAAAGGAGTTCTCTGTTCCTGAGAGACAGTTTTTATAAGTTTATGGCTTCCATTGATCTAACCCTGGGCTGAACATTTATACAACTCAGGAAAAGGAAAATGCCACAAATTGGTGTAATTTAGTGGGCAGCCCTATATCATGCAAACGTATCTATTTTTGGAGGGAATGTTCTATTTATTACAAATAGGTATTAAAAAGTAATGGCAAACCCAAAACGCAGCAGCAGAGTGTTTCTCCCTGAATAAGTGGGACCAGCTCATGTGCACAGATCGTTTATAGTCCTTTCACTGTGCAAATGTCAAGCCCAAATATTCGGATAAGGGAGCTGCTATCTTAAGAGTGGACGTGATTTCGAGCAGTCCGTACATTAGGCATCTGGAGCTGCGTTCCAGAGTCCCACTCATACTCTCAAACTCAAAGGTTATATCGCACAGCTTTTTTTCAACAAATCCAAATGCTGAACTGTTTGCTTTTAATGTGAATTTCATTGACGTGTCAGCGACTGAACTGTTGATAACAACAGTTGTTATCACTAGTTGTTTTGTGCAAGGACCACAAATAACAGGGATTGAAAGCAACCTAAAATCTATAGCTAACGTGACAACACTCGATAAGGGTTTTAGCTGTTAAAAATACAAGCTCCTTTATCTTGTCAGGTTGAGCTCAACTCCAGTCTGTAATCCACTTCCACGTCTTCTCAGTTCAACCGGTGTGCAGAAAGCTGCAGGATTCACACAGAAGCGCTCACCATTTTAAACATAATCCCACCAAATTATTTGAATGAGATTTTTAGGGCTGTTTTTTGCTGGAGAATGGCAAGTAGCCACCGTATGAAACTTCGAGCAGGTGTGAACGTTTGTTTCCCTCGCTTGTTATACAAGAGCAGACTTCGCCCTGCTTCCTGTGGAACAACAAGTCTATTAATCCTCACTTGCGAGTAAGGACACAAAAGCCAAGCAGATTTGCCTTGTCAGCAGGCGGCAGGGCAATAAGGTCTCGGATGGGAGGCAGTTTACAAGAGCAAGCTTTTAATCTGACCTGACCTGAGAGGGCAGTTTACTTCCTCCTGGATCGCATCGAACAGCGTATCTGTACACAGAATCATAGAGGCTTTCATGTGAAAATCTGGCAAGTGTACATGTCCTACTTGTTGCCAGGTTCCTATATTACTGATGTTGGTCAATAACTGTTTTTTTTTAACCACCACGCTTATCTAGCTTAACATTTGATGCCGTTTTTATAGTCTCAAAAATGAAATTTAAGAAGTCTTTTGAAGAAGAAAAAATAATTAGCATGTTTTCTTCTCCTAAATTTGTATTTATTATTGAATTACCCTACTAGATGTTAGTTAATATTCTGGAGATGTATAATTCTATACATTATACGATTTTGAATTGATTTAAAGTCACAGAAACATTGTGATTTGGTAAAATGTGTGAGAGATTAGATGGCAGGGACACTAAGTCAAATAAACATTAAACATTAAACACAAAACGTATTTTAGTGGTCGATTACTTCAAAGCTATAATTGGACCTTTAAAGCTCTAAAAGATGCCCTGATCATCGTCACAGATCCATATCAGTGAAATCAGATGGTGTATATTTACCTTGGGCGGCTGGTATTAAAGGCTTTGTTACATGCCAGACAGGGACGGTCTGCGTGTGTTCTTGTCGTTCTCCCTCCTGCTCATTTGTTTCTCTCTCCAGGTGATTACGCTGATTTGCCAACTCCAAACACAGGTGGAAAGCCATCAGCAGTCCCGGTGGCAGTCCATAAGGGAAGACTCCTGAGAAGTGAAAGGGGCTGGTGGCCAGTCTTCCTGTCCGTGAGTTTGTGCTGCCTAGTAGCAAAGCTGGAGTTTTGTAAGGTGGAGGTTGAGGACCTTAGTAAGTTGGGGTACCCTGTACATTTTTGCACGTAGGTATACCTTTGTATAGATACACCAGGTGTAGGGGTTGTTGCCTCCTGTGTAACGTTTTCCTTTAGTCCTTTTTTAGAGAAGCAGGTAAGGTATTTTGTTTGACTTGTTTTGGATGAAGAGCTAGTGGTGAGCTAGGCCTCGTTTTGTTATATTCATTTCATTTGTTTGGCACAACCTGTAGGTCCCATCTTTCACCATCTCCCTCCCTCCTGTTGGGAGCCATCTTTGTGTGTAATAATAAAAAAGCAGAAAGACCCCTTTTACCCTGACTGTCGCCTGTCGTTGATTGTCGTGTTACTGTCCTGGAATCTACAAAAGGGCCGTAACAGGCTTGATAATCATTACAACAGCTCGTAAGTCAGTGTCAGATATGAGCGATGTCCTTTTATTATGCTATAACCTACGTTTTGTAGGTTAAAGTTAGGCCGTCTTTCGGCAATGTACCAAACTGTCGATTTGGCCGGTCCTGATGGGTTCTTTCAGCCGTATCCCTTATCTGCTTAATATGTGATGGAATAATGAGGGAACAGGCTGCACCTGATCATGAAACCGCCTGGCAAACAAATGTCCAATTACTTGTGATAATGGGGATGAATGCGCCTGTCAAATGGCTGTAATTCCTTACACTGTTACTGTGGTGATTTGGTTCAATCCATTGAATTAAAACAGAAGTCTACTCTTCAACCGATCATTGAGTGCCTCAGTTCACATATGGAATTGCGTAGGCAACAGAGGCAACATTTTGAATAATTGTGTCACAGTCAACGCTTAAGGCATGGAAACACCCAAACTATTAGGAAATGAAATATTCTGTTTTGATACTAATTTTTTGGTTTTGCATCATAAATTGCTATTAACGTTCGCTCGCTAATAGATATTGTATATTGCTGTGGTGGTGCGCAGAAACGTCTAAAATTCAGATGAAACTTGATCTCGATGGAGCCCATAGAGCTTTATCTCCTCCTCCCGGGCTTCTGTTCTGACTCGTCTGTGGACTCATTCACGCGAACGTAAGAAGGAAAAGAATCAAACATGTAATGATGGCTTACAGTTTTAAACCAAGGAAACATCCCAGGACCTTGGAGCTTATTGGAGTGGACAAGTTCGTAAAACTGTCTTTTTCTACTTTTTCTCAAAAGTCATTTTAATCCACATATCAAACTTTTATATTTTCTAAACACATCTTACTTGTTCAGTATTAATCTGTACCTGGGATTTGGTCATCGATATTGAGTTCTGATTGAATAGTAGTGTTTAATTAATAACCTGTATGTGGAAGTGACTCTGATTTTTCTTTAATGTATAAGGAAACTTCAAGCAGGACTTGAACATCGCTTTTGTAACTTTGTTTTAATCAAACAATAGTATCCAATACCAAATCAGCCTGTTGTCACTGATGATATCACGTTATATCAAGTATATTGTTACTGTTATTGGAGCTTTTACAGTTTCAAAAAGAATGGAAAAATATATTTTGATTACAAGTTTGAATTTGCTGCCCCTCACTGGCCGTCAGTGACCATCAACGGCTTAACATTGCAGCCTGTTAGTATCCGCTTTATTAGTATCAACATGTGAGACATTTGTAAAAAGAGTGTTTTAAAGCTTATTTTTTCAAGGTACTTTTGATTACATGACCGTCATCAGCAGATGTTGCGGCGCATCCCGGTTGTTGTGTTGTCACATTTCCAATGCTTGTCTTTTGCCTCCATCGCACTCGCTCTGATGGTGAAGATCACGATCATGGAAAAAAACACCACAGCAACTACTAAATTGATCGCTGGGTGAGATTGTCTTGCCAAGTGGTGTTTTGCATTTGTGTGTTACTTTGTAAACTGATGTTTGGTGATAGTTTCGCTATTTTCTTTCTCACTCAGAGCGAATAGATAAAATTCACCAGTAGATATTTCGATACCTGCTCAATCTTTTGAGGAAGACTAAACACATCTTCTGACATTGTTCCAGCCAGAGGCAGATAAATATCTGCAATCTCTACAAAAGTCACCAGTTGCATCAATGACGAAAACAATCAATTTGTCTAGTCGACTGAATAAAGTACATCGGGATTTGCTCTTTTGCGCCTCGCAAACACACAATCAAAGACGTTCTACAAAAGAGTCTTTAAAATCAGTTTCAATTTGAGAGTCGTCGACAAAATCCTGGCCGAGCGCGTGACTCTCCGTGGAGCTGAGGTTGCACTGCGGCTCGTGGACGCTGGCGGTCACTCCATCTCGTAGGAGCTGCTGTCCAGTTTGACTTTGAGGTCGTGAAAGCTGGGCCTGTCGGAGGGGTCGGCGCTCCAACAGCTGAGCATAACTTTGTAGAGAGATTCAGAACAATTGTTCGGAGCTGGCATCCTGAAACCGTCGGTGACCTGCTGGTAGGTTTCCTGGTTGGTGAAGGCTGCGCGGGAGCAGAAGTTAAATTCTGTAAATGCACATGGAGGCTTTCTCTCAACCCATATACTTATACCCACACACTAATATTACGAGGGGAACTCATGTGATTTATAAAGTTAACACCCTGCGGCTGTGTTTACTGTGGCGCATTCAAATGCATAAGCAAGCCTGTTTATTCTTGAATTAAGGCCTACGGACATTATTGTAACCGTAGTTAAGGATTTCAGCTCGATATTTCATTTCACTATCACCATGTATAACTGATTGAATCTGCTATAAATTACATATTTTTATTCAATGAATTCCACCGACCTGGGTAAGGAACGCCTCCATAGGTCAAAATCTCATAAAGCAAGACACCAAAAGACCAGACGTCTGACTTGTTGGAGAACTTCCCGTGGCTGATGGCCTCAGGAGCGCTCCACTTGTAGGGGATCTTTTTATCTTCTGTGATGTAGAACGGCTCCTGCATGAGAGATCTCTTGTCTTAAAACCTGCAGCCTTGATCTGACTCGGAAAATACATTTCATTTAACTCCCTTCCGTACCTTGATCACTCTGGCCAATCCAAAGTCCGCCACCTTACACATGTAGTCCTCCCCCACCAGGACATTTCGAGCTGCCAAATCTCTGTGGATGCTGTTCTTCTCCTCCAGGTATGACATCCCATCAGCCACCTGGGCCCCCATGTCAATGAGGGATCCAATGTCTTGACTCCGACCCTCTGAACCTATAAAAGGAAAGGAAATGAAAAACAGAGATTTGGCCAACAGTGGCATTTTATCCCTTTTTTGCAATTTTGTCCAAGTGGCGAAGAATGAATGTGCTTGAGACCAATGTGTTGGTTGTGAGGGGGTCACGCCTCTAGAGTGCCATTGACCTCCTAAAGGCAGTAAAGAGCGAGGAACGGGAAAAATGTGAGCTGAGGATTTAGGAAAGGAAGGAGAGGAGGATTTCTACCTCTGAGGAAAGTAAGCAGGCTGCCTTTCTCCATCAGTTCGGTCTTTTGTAGTTGGCTGCTGAGACTGTACATGTAGCAAACAGAGAGATGAGGTGAGGATGGCGCAGACTCTTCAGCATCTGAACTTCCCTCTGAAATTCCAGGTGGTTCAACTCCGATTCTGCAAGGACACAGACAATGCGTGGAGGGTAGTGGAGGGGAGGGGGGGGAGAAAGTGAGATGAAAAAGAAGAGAAAAATGCACAACACAGAAGATGGAAACCAAGGAATCTTGACCATTTGACAAATAGGAAAAACAAGTGCTGTATTGTATTGTTCATCAAGTCTAGACAATTCAAATGAATATTAGCTGCTAAAATACAGGACTTGGCTCCTGAGCACGCTGTATAAACTAATAGAGAATCCTGTGTTTCATTGTTTATTGGCTCTTCACCTGGGATACAAACTATCATAACTCAAATTATCACTAATCATAAATAACACTAAATTGCCCTTAGATTCAGTCTTGAGTTACATTGTGGACAAAAATAGCTGGAAATAACCGGATATGATCTTTTTACTTCCTGTTGAGAGAAGGATGACTCATTGTACGGTGTTACATGATTAACGTACTAATGTAATGAGTTCTCCGGTTAGTCAGAGCTACTTGACCGACTCCACTGCTTCAAGCTTCCACAATAGCTCACATCACTATTTCACCTGTCAAAGGTGAATGTTAACTCAACCAGAAAGTAATTGTACGGATAATTGCTCCACGTGGCATCGGTATTCACTGAGCACTACAGCTGTGTTACTTGTGCCCCAGGTAACACCGCTGACAGCCAATGAGAGGGACAGCAAAGAAATGTATTACGGCAATTACAATAATTAATGTCTCCGCATTCTGGTTCTTTCTCTCATCGGTTTCGATCAATGTGGTCTGACATGTTTTTGAAAATGGACACTTGTATTCTCAGACAACACAGGAGCTCTGCACCACCGCCTACTAGTTTACAGACAACGCATCATTGGAACCCAATATTCTGACTCGATCACTGGATGAAAATGGCAAATAACTACATACTCTATTTCCTTTTTTGTTTATTAAATATTTTACGCCCATCTCTTGTTTTTGTTCAAGGTTTTTCCAAGCCACTCCTTGTGATGAAAAATCCATTTATTGATTCCAGCTTATTTAGATCAACAAAGATGGGGAAATACCACTTTTGATGATCTTGATGGCGACGTTAATGTGATTTTTCCAGCGTCCCCGGTAGACTTCAGCGAAGTACCCAGTGCCCAGCTGCTCCTCCAGGGTGAACTCTTCTTTCGGGAGCTCCCACTCATCCACAGTGAAATGATTCAAATCTGTGGTGGTGGGCTTTTTCTGAAGGAGGAAACACACAATGACATATTTGTGTCTAACAAAGGGACACAGTTACAGCGCATACATCCTAACCACATTAATAGCTTAAAGTAGTTTGTAATGAATAAGCTATTTTTTTTTTACATCACTGCAACATTTGGAAATTTGATACATCTGTACAGTTTGATGCCGTAACTAAAGTACCTAAAAATTATTTTCCGGATTGACTGAATTGAAAATGCTGAGACATTTCAGACGGCTGAAGCTTGTAAAACCACCTACATGGTGGATTGTCACATTGTTGCGGATTCTTTTTTTGGTTGATAGAATAATAGTTTCAATTATAGTTGAAACATTGTTGTTATAACAATAACATATCTGGGATTTTACTTTTCATCATTCATCATCATCATAATCATTTCATGTTTATATTTTTCCTTCGGCAAATTTCATATTGCCGCTTTCTTGTAGGCAAACAATGTAAGACATCTACAAACACAGTGTCACACTCGCTAGCAGCAACTATATTTTAGTGAATAATTTGTCCTCAGGTTGTGTTTATATGACAAGAATCAGAGCTTCTCCTACCCTCTTGCATGGTTTTCCCAGCGTGCCGATGTTGAGCATGTTGTTGCCGCAGTAGTGCTCCACCAAGTCGATTAGAGAACTGAATTTCTTGTTGTACTCCACGAAAAACAAACTTCCCTCTGCTCTGAGGACCTTAAAATGCTTCACCCGACTGCCTGATCTCACTGCAGAGAGATAAATACATGAACACAGTCAGAATCAGGCCTGATAGAGCATTTCATTTGTTGTAGTTTGAGCTTCTAAAAGGAAAAGCCCAGATTATTTCAAAAGAAATGTTAAATAACAAGGAACATTCAATAATCCTACAGGAATGTAAAGTTCTTACTGTAATGCAGATTTTCCTAATTGTGTGTCTCCCAACACTGCTCCTCCAAATGTTTCTTTGGTTAAAGTTTTACTTCGGTTTATTACAACTTGGATAATATAATTTATTCCGTATTATATTTTGCACTTTGGACTCCCCTGTTGTAGCCTGTGTTGAGAGGAGCTGATTACTACACTAAACACTGACATTATTTGGTTGTGCTGATGGGTTTTGAAAGGGGAACAGCTAGATGCCGTGTGACTGTAATAACAGAAGTAAAGGACCATTTTTACCACTTTTTACTTCTTTGATTTATCACACTTAATACTCGCGTTTGGGTTTTAAAACACCAAACTTTTATACTCCCTCCTTCGTTAATGAGGGAGCTTCAGGGATGAAGGTCCAGACCAGCTGTTTTCAGCATTTGTTCCAGGCAAAGCTCTCTTCTGCTGGCTGTAACTTCATATTTATTGTACTGATAAGAAAGTGGTAAATCTATTTTACAATCTTGATTAAAGTGCATATCAATGCCATCCATTCCTTTCTTCCAACAAACTACATCGGGCCGAGCGTTTCCCTTTTCTAAACGCAATACTTCCCCCACATCTCATTCTCATAACACGGGCTGCACTTCTTTATTAAAGCTGGACTCTACCCTGCCTCAATCTACGCAGCGGCTCTATCTCCACCACGCAGCTACTGTTCTCGTTTTTGGGCTTCCTCACTCCGACCTCCCCGCCTCCTCTTACCTGAAAGAACGTATCCAATGTTTTCTTTCTCACTTCGTCTGATGAGGAAAGCTCCGTCGTCGTTTTCTGAGCCCAGCAGGTGGCCTTGGGACTCAAAGCGGTTCATTTGACCAAAATACCACCTAGGCCAAGACAGAAAGCCACAGATTAAGGGTCGTCATGGTTTCAGACGTTAACTACACAATAACAAGTCGGTTTATATGGGCTGGCAAATGTTTTTGGCAACCAAACAGTGTTTGATAAGAAGACAACATGTCCCTGTTGTCATCTGGGTATCTTGAAAAAAGTTTTTAAAGGTATAACTTTAAGTTGTTAGAGTATCTAAACATGTCAAAAGTGTTTAGAGAAGCAGGTGTGTCAATAGTACGCAGCACAGTACACAAAAGCAAAAACACATTTAACACTGAGCTTTCTGCCTGACTTCTCAGTGAAATGTTTTTATTCTGATAGTAGAACAGTTACACAGTAACTATATTTAATTTCAGCCTTCTCGCAGATGTTGACATCCGGGAATAACTTCATATTACACACTTCCCATTCTGTTGAAGCAATAAACAGAGAGAAAGAGATAGAATGAGAGAAAACAAGAAGTGGTGAGCCTGTGTTTACTTCACATTTTGCTCCACAACTCAGACACAGACACGGCCCGGCGTTATGAAAGCTTATTGACATTTCTCACACAAACTTGACTGAAAACAGAGGTTTGATAGGAATCTAGTCAGTACCAGCTGTAGGGGGAGGTACGGGGGTACATCCTGGACCGGCCCCCAGTCAATCACAGGGCTGACGCAGAGACCAACAATGATTCATAATAACAGTGCTGACGGCGTGCCAACCCCAGTTAATAGAAACGTCTACAGCACAATGGAAGGAAGACGGATGACTGACCTATTTATTTGAAGAATGTTCAAGATTTACTGGAAGCGTCTCTGCGTGTTTATTGGAATATCATTTGCATAGATATGTTAGGTATCATCTTAGCCATATGTCAAGTTCTTTGTGGATTGTCCTCTCATGTGAAGCCGCAAAGGCTGGGAGAGCCAACACCACACCAAGTGGACCCAAATGTATGACATCCAGTTTACCACTGATGCAATATTATATTTTTGTCGGCCTAATTTTGTTTACATCAGAGTAGTTGCCACTAACGGCATCAAAGGACTAAGAATTGGTCGCCAATTTCTCAAAATGTCTTTTCAGAAGCCCCTGACGGACAAACCAAACGCTGGCTCTAGAAACCGTGATGTTGCCCTCACATGGTCGGCCCGCGGGAGAAGTTACCCCGCATGATGCCTTCAAATCCTTCTTCACACGGCATCTTTAATGGGGAAGTGGAGCGAGCTGCGTTACAAGTTCCACAATTTAAACTTTAACCTCATTCAAGCTTCATTCAAAACACTATTGACAGTAAATCAGATCATCTTTTCATAGTTTGGTTGTCTCCCAAAAATTCCCGTACTTCTGTTTTATGTAATAGAAAACATATATTAGATTGATGTTTCAAAATTGGACTCTTCCTCGTGAATAGAGGTATTGACCTCATCTTAAAATATTGTAGGCTTCATTTAGATACAAGAAGACAGAGATCATGTTAAAAGGGAATCTATCTATCTTTCTATCAATCCATTACTAACGAGCTGCAGTAAACATGTGTCTGTACACTGCTAGTTTCTAAAGCTGAGGATATTTGTTCTTATTAACATTTGACCTCTGCTTTGTTGAGAACATTATCTTTCTGTCCTGCACAACAATTCCAGTGTTGTGTCTGGACAGTTTAAGTGACAAATGAAAACGCCTTGACCTTTGGACCTTCAATTCTTTTGACTCGAGGGCCATATACTCCACGGTGCTTCCTGGCGACAACAATGTCACCATGCAGGTCATTCTTAAAATTTTTTCCTGGGAAGCCTTTACATTTACTGCTCTTTAATGACGTCATTTCACTCAGTCGGAATGTAAAAAAAACGCCCGTATGTCAAACCAAATGATGTCATAAAATATTTGTCACGTCTTAAATATCCAGTAAGACAGTATCATGAATTAAGAATTCTGATGAACTATTGTTTCATTCATCAGAACTCCACCGCGCAGAAAGTTAAAGAGCACTTTAGGAAAAAAACGGAACCACCCACTGTTGCATCTGTAGGGACTCGGCCCGTTCCAGGTAGTTTTTGGGCACGATCCCGGTCTCCAGGACGCGTCCGTTCTTTTCGATCTTCCGCGCGGACCACCAGTCTCCGCTGCGGTTGACCACGGTGAACAGATCTCCCTCCTGGAACGACAGCTCGTCCTGGTGCCGGGACTCAAACGCCCAGAGCGCTCTGAACATGGAGCCTCCCTCGGGCACCGCGTCCGACGCGGTGATCGGAGTCCGGGGTTCGTCATCAGCGGAGGAGACCTCCACCTCGCCGTCTCCTCCTGCATCACCTTCCGCTGCGGGAGGAGGCTTTTTGTCGCTGAAGATCCTCTGCCACAGCGCGCCCAGGCACGGGCACGCTTTACGCACACACTCGGCCATAGGTTCCTCTAGAAGAGCTCTCTCTCTCGCGCTCACACAGCCGCCTTTCCAACGCGCGCCTCGGTTCCGCGTCAGCCAGCTGCACCTGTTGGACAGGTGGAGGAATCCTCGGAATGGCTGTAAGGTGCTGCTCCTCGGTCTGCTGACAGGGTGACGATCACTGCGCGCTCAGAAGAATGACTGCAACTTCCTTATTCAAGGCAATGCGCTCGGGAACCCCGCCTATACAAACTATTAATAACGCGTCATTAAGCGGAGTATCGATGCTCTCTCTCTTGGTTTGTTATGATGAAACATTTATTAAAAATCTTAAATAAGAATGTGTGTGAGGGGATGTGGTTCTGAAATTAACTCGTGTCATCATCTGCATTTGTAAAGGGCAGCAGACGTGATCATAAAACACTTCATAAACTACTTTATTGACTTGATAATGTTAATTAACAACATCACCTAAAGGAAAGGCTTAGTACATTTTCACGAGCTAGAAATTGATTAGGACCAAGAACAAAATGTACATTAGCATCAAAAGACACCAAAAATGTTTTTTTTCCCCAAGAAATTATAAATATTGGTGTATTGGATTAATTAATTGGATTAATTAATGAACTTAAAGTACTCTTACTCTTTCATTGAGATCCCGACAGTTTTAATTAATTCTGAGGCCAACAACTCTTTATCGTTGTTTTCGGCTCTAACTAATCCCAAACAGAACCCAAGGCTGTGCTGACTTAAAGCAACTTAAAGTCACGGCCGTCAACCAATCTGAAAAATGTAGTTTTCAGAAAAAGAATTTAAGTCAAATCAAAGTAAAAGCAAAAAAGTAAAAAACAGATACAGAGCTTTTAAAGACAATTGTAAGCACTTTTAGAAGTATGTATTGTTTCAACCATTTTTTTGAGTCTAGTCTTGTTTTGTTTTAGAAACTAGATTTTGAAACTGTTACTGAGCAACAGTAAAACTTCTCTAGTATCTTCACACACGTTACACAGGTGATTGACAGGTGCACATTTTAAGGGGTTTCATTTCCCCATACGCGTTTCAACATAAGTGTGAGGTATTCATTGTAAACCCATTTATTCATTCCAAGCCTCACTTTTATTTTTTTAATTTTTGTGTGTAAGTGTGTTTGCAGGCACACAACAAAGATAATAGATAAGAAAAACAGACACATTTCTCAACAATAGTTCAAATATTTTATTCTTTGCACCACTGGCGTTTGATGCACTCAGCCTAAAAAAATCCACTCAATCTTGTGATTTGATGATTATACCTAAAGTTTCCTGAACTCGGCTTTGTTGGCTATATTTGGTCATGCATAAGAAACAAAAGTTGCATTGTTGTAAAATTGCATTGCAGCAATGTTTGTGGTGGACAAACCCCTCATGCCCCAAAGAGGGCCTTTTTGTTCCTGGCTGACTGTGCATGCCTTTTTGCCTTGTTCCCTTGTTCTACAGTCTGTGGCGTAAACATAGTCACTCTAGTTGTAACCTCTAGACAAGTTTGAATAACTTAAATACTATACATGGCTCAATGACACGCTGGCTTTTCAAGGAATGAAAGCTGTGAAGGTGAAGACGAGCTCCATACGGTTTTGTATTCTGATTCAGACTTCCTTGTTAATGAAAATACTGACAGTGCATAGCCGTGCTAGAGGCCTGACGAGGCCGTAAAAAACTGGTGGATATGAAAAGTTGAGAAAAAAAAAAAAATAAGACTCTTCTGTTGTATGGTGCTTGAAGCAATAACTTTGTCCTTGTCCATTTGATCACATAAATCGAAAGCGCATTCCTGACATGCTTAACGTGCCATTGAATGGCCATGCTTTTGTGTAGTATGTTACGCGTTACTAAATCTACATTTATGTTAATTGTCGAGCTAACATGCGAACATGAGTTACTATGCATCTTTGAGTTACTTTGCATCTTTGCTTTCTCAGACTGCTGGAGGAAGGAAACATTTGATTTTAGGGTGAGCTGGAAGTTATAATCTGGGTAAATTTGTTCCATCAAAAAAAGGTCAATGGCATAATTGCATTAGATTTTTTAGCTCTGTGGCTAACAGTTTTAATACTCATTTTATCAGCAAGTTAACCTCCACAAATTGATACCACTTTTATGATTTTTGAAGTAAAGAAAAGATGCAATCCCCAGAATTGAAATTTACCACGCGGGGGGGGGGGGGGGGGGGGGGGGGGGGTTGTAGTCACCTTAACTTAAGACAGGAAGTGAAAAATTCAGGAGAGGCGCATATGAACGGAACATTAAAATGTTGATCACAAACCTTATTTCATGCTTCGAACCAAAACCCATAAAAAAAACGACGCTAGAAACACAGAAACAAAGTGCAAAAATGTTAACATTTTCAAGTTTCAACTCTTTCCTACAGGACTAAATATATCAAACCTTTGGAGTCCTTTAGGACTCAGATAAAAAGATCAAGACCACTGTATTTGGATTTTTACCCTCATGTCATATGCACAACGAGTCATTCGTTGCTGTAAATCATCCTTTAATCCCAGCTGGCGTTGGGTGAGAGACGGGGGACAGGGTCCACCCTGGACTGGTCACCTGTCAATCACAGACTCCCACTCACTCTCCCAGTGGGTTTGAACCCTGGACCTTCTGGCTGTGAGGAGACACTGCGGATTGGAGTTTAATAATTTGTTTAGAATAAGATAAAATGTTGAAATTGTGACTTGACTGGCGCTTAATAAAAAAGTGTAACGTGATCAACGACATTGTTCATTGTTTGGGACAAGTTTGAATCAAGTATCATTGCAAGAAGTGAGTTAGTCCAACACTTTTGTCTAAAATTACCTAACACAGCGACCCCCAGCATTCACGCCCGTTGCATAGCTAAAACCAAGCCAGCTGTTATTATTATTGCACATAACGCCCCATTTTTAGCACTGGTTTGCCGTTAAAATACCCTGATTTCATAGCATTTTAAAGTGTGTTTACACAGACATGGCACAGAGGTCATAAAATAGTATTTATAAAACACAAAAGGGTATAAATTTAAAAACAGTTAGTTCCATGAATGTGCTGAATTTCAGCGTTGATTTTTATTTTTAAGTAGGTGTGTATTTACACATTTCTAAGGCTATTTTAAATATTTAGTTTGTGCACCTTGATTTTTTTTTTTAGCCTAAAAAGTGTTCGGAATTTGTCTCTTGTGATCTGGCGAGCATCTTCTCTAGCTGGAGGAGTTGTTTGCCCGCTTTGGATGTTCTTCCCCGTGTCTGACCGTGTTCTTAAAGTATATATGTCCTGTTGTGGGCGGCATGGGGAAGGAGAACACCCCCCACTCCTCTCTTCCCACATTCGATGTACATCCTGCTGTCGATGATCAGTCGCAGATCCTTTGTTCTCACCGTCCTCTTCTCCGCCCAGGACTTGCTCCTTCTACACCTCTACAGTCTTGAAATATATCCTGGTATATATGGAATCCAGCTGGCTGTGCAGGGCGTGGAAGGACGGTCTCTTGGAGGGCTCAGCGGCCCAGCAGTCCATCATGATGCGATAAATATTCTGTGGACAGCGAGTTGGACAGGGCAGCCGAAACCCGGATGACAGCAAATCCAACACTTCCTTGTTGTTTTTTCCTAATAGGGAGTGACGTCAAAGCATTAGATTTGAAAGGTATTTACTCATTCCTCAATGTTTTCTTTAGTGGGCAAAGATATTCTACAGTGCTGACATCAGGTAAAGCTCAACTTTAAAATGTAAAGTGACCACAGCTCGACATACTGAAACATCAGTTATCTTGTAAGTTGTGATCGAATGGTTTTAGTACTTAAATAATAAGTGTTCCTCAAAACAAAAAAGAGAAAATACTTTCTGGCCGTAAATCCACCCGGTTACCGGGAGACAAGTTAAAATACTGAAATCAATTTGCTAAAAATCCCTGTGATTAATAAACGCTCTAATTCTCAATTAAAAAAGTAGAAAGAGGTCATCACGATACCTTCATAAGGCATCTTGCCACGTGACATCATCTCATACAGTAGGACCCCGAATGACCAGACATCTGATTTCACAGAGAACTTTTGGTGAATCGCTGCTTCTGGAGCCGTCCATCTCACTGGAATCTTTGTGTTTCGACTGGCTGTATACACACTGTCCTGCGGGGCAAAATGGCAAAGAGTTAACAAAATATTAATACACACACTTTAAGTTGGAACAGTATTCTCTCCCTCAGAGTTTTTTCTTTATATTCACAATAGTCTTATTTTTAAATGATCATCTCTACATCGAGACTGTAAGAAAAGCACCCGGTTGTCTGTCAATCAAGGCTGCTGCCTATTTTGGGTCAAATGCAGAATATTATTTATTTATTTGCAGTAAATGTAATCTCTCAAGTAATGTGGCAATGATGTATTACAGTTTAAATATCACACTCTTGAAGCGATAACTTTCTGAGCTGATATAAAATATTTCCATGTCCTGGAAGCTCTGTATGTATAAAACATCCTTATTACAACACACAAAGTAAATTATTACACTCGAGTGCAGACAGATGGTTGGAGGGAGGAGGTCCACATTAAGTCAACATGAGTTTACGATGGAACAAAGCACACTATACATACTTAAGAGAGAAAGAAGAAAATGGTTCTTGACTGACGCTCAGGAGACAACAAACCCTCGCAGCGCGGAGCTCGCGGCGCCGCTCTCTCTCGAACAGGGGACATGCAGCTCACCTTGATGATGCGAGCCAGTCCAAAGTCGGCCACTTTGCAGACCAGGTCGTCTCCCACCAGGATGTTTCTGGCAGCCAGGTCCCTGTGGACGATGTTTCTGTCCTCCAGGTAGGCCATGCCCTCTGCGATCTGACTGCCCATGTAGATCAGATGGGCTGATGTCAGCATCAGGCCTTCAGCAGCTGACCAGACACACACACAGACACACATACAGACGCGGTCAGCTAAACATGAATGTGTTTCCAATGACATAAAAAAATCTCTGAGTTCTGACAGAGGCACTAAAGTAGTATTTAAAGAAAGCTTTAATACAAAACCAAATTCAACAAGTAAAGTAAATTCTATGTCGTTTTTTTATTTTTATATCGGCAATGGATATATTTGTGTTGTTAATCCAAGGCAACGTTCCCAACAAAACTAAAAAAAAAATTTCATCCATGGGGCTTTTGTTGTTTATTAGATTAAATCCAAAGTAATAATGAAATAGTAATTCTGCCACGAATGATGACCCGGAATTTAGATTCTATTGACCAAGAAGTAGAGGTCAAATGATGACCCCTATTTTTTGTGGGGCCAGTTCTGACACAATGCACCTTTTAAGGTGCGACCCGCCTGGTGAGCAAAAATTTAAAAAGAATCGAGTGCGGCAAGAAAGATGCATTTGCATCATTTCACGATGTTACTAACTTGGAAGTACAGGAGCTAGGTGGAACAATCTTACATTAAATAATAAACCCTTCATTCAGCTCGCTAATACTTGCTGTGATTAAAGTCTTTTGTAAAACGTCATTTTGCTGCCGAGTAGAGAGCTGCCTGGATTTAAGTGGAAGAGATTTATCCGTGACTTGGCCTAATATGCTCCAGAAGAGAAAATGTCTGAGGGAATTTCTTCAGAAAAAAAAATTAAGTTCCTGTTTTGAAACTCATGGCATATTAAAGCAGTAGTGGAGTCTCCCGTCTGGGGAAGCAGCCGTGTTGCGTTTAGAAACAATAAGAATAAACCACTTTGTTGGGGAATCGACTCCCCATTATTTGATTTACCTGTGCCACCTGTGTGTGTGTGTGTGTCAGCACTCACAGGCCAGGTAGGACTTGAGGCTTCCTTTCCTCATGAGTTCGGTCACGATGTAGACCGGCTCTCCTCTGGAGCACATCGCCAGCAGCTGGATCAGCTTGGGATGATGGAGGCTCTTCAAGGCCTGAACCTCCTTCACAAACTCGTCCTGCTTGGTGTCCGCTGGAGGAGTAGAGACAGAATCATTGAGAAATGTTGACTTGTTTTGATTATCTTAGTGTTTGTTTCTCTCTTTCTCTGTGCTTTATGGATCACTTAATCCAGCCTTCATTTGACCTGTCACGGTTTTCTATCAATCAGGTTTTCGTCCATCCTTCATCTTTTATCTTTCATATTTTATCCTATTTAAACCAAAACCTTCTTTACCTTCCTCCACCAGGGTTGTTGGTACCTTTGCTGCGATGGCAAACCAAAAACAAGCAGGCAAATATTAAAGATTGAATACTTTCTATCCTGTCTGTTTTATATTGGGTTACATCTTCCACTGCAAGTGTCATGACAGATAAGTTCAATATTGCTGCCATGAAACCCTCATCATGTGCTGTGAAAACCTACTTCCTTAAAATAGAAACTACAGTGAAGTGGTTTAAATTGAACATACTGGTCCTTGCCCGAACTTTGTGTTTAAAAAAAAAATGTATATAGCCCTGGTATCAGTCTGCACCCTTCAGGCTGTCACTGCCCTCTCTGGTACATAAGGACACTTTATTTTGAAGAAATGACAGAATGGAAAGAAAAGTTCATCTCTTTCAGTATTTGATCTTTGTGGAAAGGTAGGTCTGATTAGAAGTACTTATAATTGGAGCCCAGCAGGAAAACATTTTGTTAAAGCTGCGATTTTACTGAACCACGTTTGTGTTTTTACTGTTTCCTTTGCACGTCGATGACATAAAACACATTCCTGCCAATGGTTTCATACCTTTACTACGATCTAGCAATTTAATTTAAAAGGATGAATGAACTTGTTTTTTTATCCCAGAGAATTACTCTCATCTTGTACCTTGTTTCAACGTCTTAATGGCCACTTTCTTGTTCTCTGTGGTCCACAGAGCCTCCCACACCTCTCCAAAGTGTCCCTCTCCCAGTTTCTTGTGCAGTCTGAACTCCTCTCGAGGCCTCTCCCACGGCTCCATGTCAAACAGCTCCCGCTGCACAGACACAACAGGGCGAGTGGAGACGACTTTCAAATCAAAACGGTTTCAAATGTGTGTGCAGATGAAGAAGCGGCAGGGGAACAATTAATGGCAAACAAAATGTGCAACTCTGTGGTTACACATTTTTCAAAACAGACAGATTATGCATTTTAAATGCCTATTCTGCACAATGCAAGGTGCTGACGCGCAGGACCATGCAGGACGTGCCTGTAAGATTGATCACACATTACTTGATTTATTCATCATCTTGTCATTACATTATTATTTGTATTATCCCAGATAAGTTATCTTTGAGTTTTAATGGAGTTGGAGACAGATTTCCCTTTTGATGATGTATTGGCCGATCTACAACATAGTGTAAGGGAAGTGAAATTAATCCAAGAATAAAAAATGGATGAACAACAGGCAAGTGATGAAGATTATATTGTTGGAATGATCCAGTGCTTTGATGAACATAAAATATAAAAATAAAAAAAATCAATGAAATAATTGGTTGAAAAATATGAAATAAAAAATAAGTCATTGTTCACATAAAAAACACTACAAGCCAACTTAATTTTATATTCAAATAAATTCAAGTTAAGATCAGGTGATACAGCTCGTCGCTTCAGCATTCTGGCTTTTATTTGCATATGTTGACACATTTAATTTAGTTGCCTTGTGCAAAAGAAAAAAAATGCCTGGTCTAGAGGGAAGCAAATGGAAATGAGGAAGAACAATTTACTTGAAATCATCATTTGGGTTCAGCCAGCTGTTACTTGTACTTTCCACAAGAATGGAAATTTTATCATATTAAATCGGTCATTTGTTTGAATGTCATAAATGATTATGCAAAAAAAAAAAAAATAGGTTAGACAGATCTTTTGAAAATGTCTCCCTTTTATTTCTAATTATGCATGACATTATCTCACTAATGGTTTTAAAATTGAATAATGTAACTGTGTAAACCATGCTTGAACAGTTTTTACTGATGTTCCTTAGCTACATAATTAAAAAAAATAAGATCAAGTGAATACAGTGATTAAAAGCACTGCGTGAGTTTTCTTACTGGTAAAACATTTAACTGATGGAGCATTCCATTTAAATCTGTTTTTTTTAAGCAGATTAATTTTAGTTTGATTGAGTTTACTGATTGTAATCATTGTTGACTAATTGAGTTTAAGTCCAGTGATGATGCCCGAGAGCAGCTGATTTCAAAAGGTCGATCATAAACACAATATTGTGAATGTTTCATTGCAAATAGCTGCCTTAATCTTCGCATTTCAGGGTGATGCAAAGAAATTCATCAAGTAGAACATTAAAAGGTTTAAACATCTTTCTTAAATCACATCGCCGGGTTTGAGAGTCAGGAAATGATGACAGCTCACCACTCAATAATTATGTCTCCTGCTATTACAATCTATGAAAGATAATCAAATACTGGAGTGAAAATGATCAATGAACATAATAAAGTGGTGTGTAAATCTTGTCTTATATTTACCGTCACTTCCTGTTTGGTTGATATGTAAAATATCAACATGCAGTCATGTTTTATGTAGCTTTTGTATGCTGTTGATGTAGAACACAAAAGCATTTGTGTTGATTATGTGTATTCGCATGCGTTCATTCATGCATATATGAGGTGTGTGTCCGTGGCCTCAGACTCACAGCCTCCTCTGGAAAGGAGGAGTCACTGAGCGGGTTCTCATCCTGTGGGCAAATTTATGTTCTAAAACACTATTTTTTGTCCATTTAGGAAAACTACACCATTTGTGTCTTTGATAAATATTATACAATATTGCTTTATTGCCCCCCAAAAACAACCTTTTTTATCTTTTCCTCTTTCTAAAATGTAAAGAGTGATGGTTTTAAATCGGTGGTTTCAAGCTGGACTCAAACGGATGAGTCATGAATAAAGAACGCGACTCGCTGGGATTTCATGCAATCTGCAGTGCAGAGATAGCTTGAGTAATTACACCAATGCCCCACAATCTTATTGTCTGGTTAATTACACTCCAAAATGTTTGCCTCTTATTAAGTTATGCATATCACGCCCAAGACAGCATTGGTTAAATTCCACCGGCAGAGCGACAGACAGTCAGGGTCTTTGTTATAGATTCTTGCTGCAGAGACAAAAGATACAAAAAAACTGTACCTACTTGTATTGGTGAGTTACAGAAATGAAAGGGTAGTAGTACTATGCTTTTGGTAATTCATTTCCATGTTATCCTATAAATAGATATTTAAAGCAGAAAAGCGGAAACAATTGTCTGATTACATCCGAGGCGCTAAGAATGGGGCAAGAATGGTGCCATTCATGAGAAGTTAATGTTGTGTTTTGTCATATTCAATTAATGACGAGTCTAAACTTCGACCCAAATATTGATGCTTCAGCTCAAATGACTTAGAGTTGAGTAAAGATTGTCAGTCCATGGAGTCAATGGTGGATGATACGGTTTAGGGAGCGCTGCACAAACATTGACGTATCGCCAACTTTAAAGTCAGTGATGGTTGACATGCTTGTTCAAACATGAAGCACAAAACAGGTTCAGTTATTATCCATAAAACAACAAGACACGGAGTCTTGGGATAATAGCCTAAGTAGTCGAATAGTCACGAGAATATGACTAATAAGTGTGTTTCTTTGTGTCCTACCTGCTGTGCGCAGGGCTCGTCCAGCAGCACGCCCAGGCTACGATGGTTTTTCTGGTAGTAGGAGATTAGTTCTCCCAGCGTAGAAAAGGAGATCTTATCGGAGACGAAGTAGGCCCCGATAGTTGACCTTTGAACCCTGAAGTGGTAAACCTTTCCCTCACTTCGGGCTGTAAGAAGGAAAAAGGAAATACTGTGGTCACATGTTGCATAACACAAATAGTCTGATCCCAACTAAAGAGACTCGTTATCAAGTTCTTTAAAGTCAAAATCTGAATATTCCATAATTCCAGTGCTTAGTCATAAGTTATGTTTGCTTGAAAGATACAACTTAGTAAGTCGGAGGGGCTTTTAGAGTGTTTTCAGTTTGAGGCAATGATCATTACTCATCATCATCATTATTCAAATTCTCATAGGTAAACAAAATAAAAGGATTACATTGTGATTTAGTACCAAACCAATATGCTCTCATATGTAGAATATGACATAAGGAATAAATCTTCTACAAAACAATATTACATTTTTAGAATATATATATTTTTTTTTAACACATTTCAGTCCACAAATGCGACAAATCTTGCAATAAAAAAACACAGCAGTAGTGCGGTAAACGCACTGAAAGCAACACATCAATAGCTCCAATGAAAAAAAAAAAATCAAAACAACTTGACAGAAGCTGTAATCACAACAATTGTGCACATACCTCCTTTCAATATCAAAGGAATTTGACTAAATCTAAAAATGATAATGACTGACACTGCCAGATACGCCAACGTGTAGAAGCACTATTTTCAGAGATGGATACCATACGTTTACTCACAGAAAAACACAAACTATATTATTATACGCTTGACGTGATCGAGTTTACATGGAACCACCGTCGATCTGACATGAATGTGTGCAGTTGTGCAATAAAACCAGTAATTTAATGTGCCCTCTGTTCTGCTTTCGCTCTCCGGCACACAGAGTACTGATTAGAGTACTTCTTCATATTTCAAGAAGCGCAGTTGAAAATCCAACATCAACATTTTCCCCCTGGGAAATAAAGGACATTGAGGAGGGAAGGGGATCGAGAGAGGGAGTCTGTGCGGAGGGTGTGGAAACAGAATCTGGTGAAGCCGGTGGGCGAAAAGAAAAAAATTGGAGCAAAGCAAGAAAATGAGCTGGAGGTGATGGAGGAAGAACTGACGGAGGCTTTAATTAAAGTCACACACTTGAGGGGGGCGTTAGAGAATTGGTTGTGGGATCATTCATGAAAGTCTAGCATGATGACAACATAGAGAAGTGGGTTACTGTGACTAAAGGCAAGGCATTAAACCCGCTCGCCTCCACGAGCACTTTGGTCGGATTTATGGAGTCCTTCTGGTTTTGGGCTTTACTATAATTTGAATATCAAGAAACTTTTATAACAAGACACTGTCACGTTTTGGTAGTGACTTGGTCAATGTGACGTCCCTACAAAAACACCCCAAAACCTCAACCACGAAGTTAAATAAGTGAGAATTAAATGTTGCTTCTCCATCTTAATGAACAAAATCAATACAAAACATCACATTATATTTTTTCAATCAAGATGATATGAAGGAATAAAGTGCAACGCCAAAAGTCTAAAGCAGTGAACTCACAAGATACTGTTAATAACATAACTGGTCAGTCTGTCTCTCCAAATCGCAAATTTAAGAGCGATTAGTTATTCAACACCATGCAAAGTTGTGCCGGTTTAAAAAGTGGAATCAGACGGCAGCCTGAGGTCACGTTGTGTCACCTCCTGCCCTCTACAGCGGGAGGCAGAGAAAATCGAAGGCTGGGAGATTAAGGCTGACAGTGGATGGAGGGGGCGATGGATGGAGGACAGGATGGATGGAGATAAACAAAACTAGAGGGGAAATGCAATAACGTCACGCCAACATTATGTTGTAGAAGGATGTGTTTTTAATATAAAGAAGACAGGAATAGAAAAGACAAGAGAGAGGTAAACTGTTGTGAATCAGTGGGTAGATGAATGAATGTGTGGATGAATGGATGGGTGGATGAATGTGTGGATGAATGGATGAGTGGATAAATGTGTGGATGGTGCCACCTACCAGAGACTGTGTACTCATCACTGTGACTCTCACTGATGCGAACCAGAAAGGAGCCATCTTTATTTTGGGAAGCCAGCAGCAGCTTCTCAGCTTTCACACGGTTTATATTCCCATAGTACCATCTGCAGAGGGGTAATACACATGGACACGAAGAACCATTGTGAGATAAATGGATGTTCAGACATTTGACAGAAAGAACAAAACAATAATGACAAAAGAGAAAGAGGGAAGTAAATTAATTCATTATTTTAAAAAGGTGGTTAAAGTACAAAAGTATGGGGAAACTTCTTCCAATGCTGATATGCATCAACACATTCTCGAGCGAATACTGGTACTCAAAAGCTTTAAGAGCAGAAGTGTTGTTGAGGCCTGCCTGCTTGTTCAGATACAGAAAAGGGCCTTTGTTTACTTTAAGTTATCAGGGAGGGCGTGTCGGTCTTCCGGTTTTACTACATTAGCATCAGGCTGACACAGAAACAACTGAAATCTCTAATAACATAACCAAGAAATATTGTGCTGTAGTGACACATTAGAGATTCAATTAAAAAACACCAAATGATTTATTGACCAACTAAATCAGTAAACAGGTTTATTATGAAAATAAATAGTTATGTGCAGCACTAAAAAGCCTACTAAGTTACTCTGTATTCATTAAAGTAGGTCCTAATATATTGTGTATCACAGTAATATCGTAAAGGTTCAGCTGTCAGGTCTTTAAACAGGTACCTGAACCCCTCACTCACACACACACTTCTGAAACCATTAACTAATTGTGAGGCGCAACTTGACTCATACTGTAAACCCCGCCGATAAAAAATGATCACATTGAACCACTCCCTGGTTTGTGTGTACACACATGTATATGTACATATATACATCTGGGGGGTGATGCTTAAAGCACGGTGAGCTCAGCGGTGCTTTGATCGCTTTGGTTTCTTATTCCGAGGCTTAAAATAGTTTTGGGGATTGATGTTCGGAATTGGAGCAAAGGATAAATCTTTGACTTTATCAAAAAGGAATCTGTCATATTAGTATGTTTTAAATGTGCTTATCTTCAGTTTCAGCGGAGCGTTTGAGGACAGTGGGACATGAGGAATTGTCTTCCACAGAAGTCTACTGAAGAGGCAGAGCTCAGTGCTGAAACATGAGGACTCCTGCAGGCTGAATGAATAATGGAAGACCTGCAGCTTCTGGGATACTTTTAGCTTCAGTCTGGCTCAACAGAAGCAGAGGCTGTCGTTTCTGCCTCAAACATTTGTGTTTAACTTTGCTTTGGATGCCAGGACGATGCCATTAGACTTCGTTTTCAGTTTTTTAAAATGACTAAACAACAGACTTAATCACAGACAACATGGTAAATATTCCACTTGTTCAACCTTCTGCAATGTGAATATTCTTTGTTCTTACTCTCCTGTGATAGCAAATTGAATATCTGGGTTTTGGGGAAAAACACTTCCCATTGCGTTTTTTATTCCGTCAATTTGGGATTTGGAAATGTTTGATTGATTTGTATTTTTTTCATAATGAAAAAACTCAAAAAGCTTAATCGGATGTCTGTTTCAATGAGAATTAATTTGAGGTGACTGGCCTATGTTTATACACTATATACATACTGGAATTAATCTCTCTCTCCTGACTTTACAATGTTGCAAATAAATACATAGATATAATAATTATCAAAATTGTTAAAGATCATTTTGTTTAGTCAATATACTGTTTCAAACAAATATATATATAGGGATCAAGGTATGTTTTGGCATATTCTTACTGACTCACAACAAGTGAAACAGCAGAATGAAAACTATTCTACCAGTAGTATAGTATGAAGGAACAGAGAAGAATACCAGTAGTATTAGTATGAAGGAACAGAGAAGAAGAACAATACCAGTAATAAAGTATGAAGGAACAGAGAAGAAGAATAATACCAGTAATATAGTATGAAGGAACAGAAGAAGAAGAATACCAGTAATATAGTATGAAGGAACAGAAGAAGACCACCAGTAGTATAGTATGAAGGAACAGAAGAAGAATAATACCAGTAATATAGTATGAAGGAACAGAAGAAGAAGAATACCAGTAATATAGTATGAAGGAACAGAAGAAGAAGAATACCAGTAATATAGTATGAAGGAACAGAAGAAGAAGAATACCAGTAATATAGTATGAAGGAACAGAAGAAGAAGAATACCAGTAATATAGTATGAAGGAACAGAAGAAGAAGAATACCAGTAATATAGTATGAAGGAACAGAAGAAGAATACCAGTAATATAGTATGAAGGAACAGAGAAGAAGAATACCAGTAATATAGTATGAAGGAATAGAAGAAAAAGACCACCAGTAGTATAGTATGAAGGAACAGAAGAATAATAATACCAGTAATATAGTATGAAGGAACAGAAGAAGAAGACCACCAGTAGTATTGTATGAAGGAACAGAGAAGAAGAAGAAGACCAGCAGTAGTATTGTATGAAGGAACAGAGAAGAAGAAGAAGACCACCAGTAGTATAGTATGAAGGAACAGAAGAAGAATAATACCAGTAATATAGTATTAAGGAACAGAGAAGAAGAAGAAGACCAGCAGTAGTATTGTATGAAGGAACAGAGAAGAAGAAGAGAACCAGCAGTAGTATTGTATGAAGGAACAGAGAAGAAGAAGAAGACCAGCAGTAGTATTGTATGAAGGAACAGAGAAGAAGAAGAAGACCAGCAGTAGTATTGTATGAAGGAACAGAGAAGAAGAAGAAGAAGACCAGCAGTAGTATTGTATGAAGGAACAGAGAAGAAGAAGAAGACCAGCAGTAGTATTGTATGAAGAAGAAGAAGAAGAAGAAGAAGACCAGTAGTATAGTTTGAAGGAACAGAGAAGAAGAATACCAGTAGTATAGAATGAAGGAACAGAGGAGAAGAAGGTTTGCATCTTTGCACACTGACTTGTTGTTTGGAGGAACTCGACCTGCAGAAGAAGAAGACCAGCAGTAGTATTGTATGAAGGCCCGGGGAAGAAGAAGAAGACCGGCACTAGTATTGTATGCAGAAGAAGAAGAAGAAGAAGAAGACCAGTAGTATAGTTTGAAGGAACAGAGAAGAAGAATACCAGTAGTATAGAATGAAGGAACAGAGGAGAAGAAGGTTTGCATCTTTGCACACTGACTTGTGTTTGGCGAACTCGTCCTGCAGCAGAGCCACGTAGTTCGCCGGGATGAGTCCGGACTGCAGGGACCCGGTCAGCTTCTTGGCCAGCACATACTCCCCCCCGCTTCTCGATCACCGACAGTTTGGTCCCCCTCCCTCACCGTCAGCTCGTCGTCGCTGCGGGGCCTCGAAGTCGAAGAGCGCGGCGTAGAGCTGCACCGGCCGCTTCTTGGGCGAAGGGACGCGGATGTCGCGGGACACGGTGCGGATCTCCGACGCCTGGCGCGGCCCGGGTTGGCTATGACATGGTGGTGGTGGTGGTTGTTGTTGTTGACGACGTTCGGGTAGCTGAGGTCCGGCCATATGCAGTCCCAGAGCCGGCTCAGACACGGCATACAGGAGCGACAGCAACTCTCCATCGTGGGACACGAAGGAGCGCGGCCGCGCGGTTGTTCCAGGTTCGATCCGATCGATGCGACGCGGGTTCCCGGACTTGACTCAGTCCGCTGAAAACGGCCTGTTACAGCCCGCAGCCACCAGCCGTTCAGTTCTCCGGTTCCCCTCTATTCCCCTGGCTGGAAACATACTGCAACGACAGCAACTGCTGGGGTAGATTAGCCGGAGGAACCGGTTTCTTTTTGTTCCCTTCTGTTGAGATCATCTAAGCCGCGCGTCTGCAGCGTCCACCGCGGCGGCGGGAATGCGGAAACGGCAGCGGAGGGCGTCCGAGACGTATCGGTTCCCCGCGAGGACTCGGCGGTGCAACGCAAGACTAATCGGGAATGAGAGCGTGGGACCCGGGGACGTTTAGATCCATAGTGGTGCAAACGGGAATCCGCAGCAGGGGGGGAGGGGGGGGGGAGGAGGCTGAAGGTGAAGCGGCCGCACGGTGCGTAAAAAGTTTGGGTTTGGCGCTTTGCGCCGCTCCTGCTGACACACCTGCCTATTGACAAGAAGTGCGCGCGCGCGGGTGTGTGTGCGCGCGCGCGTGTGTGAGGGTGTGTGTGCGCGCGTGTGTGTGTGCTCGGCTCGTACGGTTCTCCCTGAAGGTCGTCGTGTTTGAATCAACGACGAAGTGTTTGCTAAACAGTAGTTTCCACCATCGAAGCACGTCACGTTCTCCTGTTGAATTGTGTATCTTTTTTACGTCGTGGCAACAAGCCACTCTGTATCTAAAGCTTCATAATGACCTGTAATAAAGAGTTATGCTTAAAAAGGTTTTTTTTAATCAAGGATTTGACCTTATCACGGGTGAAAAATAGCTCTGGCTAAATGTTCTCCAGCTGTCTTCATCGTTCTGAAGCGAGCAAAAAAGATCGCGGCCGACCCCTCTCACCCCGGACAAAACCTGTTTGTGCCCCTTCCATCTGGCAGGAGGCTGAGGTCCATCAGGACTAAGACCTCCCGCCACACCAACAGTTTCTTCCCGTCGGCAGTCGGGCTCATCAACAGAGCCGGTCCCCCACTGCCTGACTGTAACACTCCACCGGTCACTCTCCTTCACACTGCTCATGTCACGTTAACTGCAATTTTTCACTTTGTCGTCACTTTGTCACTTGTTCGCTAGTGCACTTTATGTTTAATATTTTTTTAATTTTTAATTTTATTTTTAACTTAAACTTTATTCTCTTGTTTTATACTAACCCATAGCCTTATTCTACTAACCCATTGCATTAGCATTTCATTTTATTTTATTAAATTACTTGTGCACTGCTGTCTTGTTGTCCTACACTGTCTACTGTCACGCACCAACCGCCAAGACAAATTCCTTGTATGTTTGACATATTTTGGCAATAAATGTTTCCTTATTCCTGATTTAAAACGGCACAATGCTGCTGCCTTAAATGAGCCCAAGTAATCTAAGTATGTTTTTCACAATGTGGTGTAGTTTAGTTAACAGCATTACCACCCACCTTAAAAAACTATTCTGTTTCAAACTTCTTGAAAGAGCAGTTTAGTTGCGTTTCTCTAAATCTTAAACATTGTTCAAATGTATTGTGTGTGTATTAAAGTCTAGATTATATTGTTCCTTTGGGTCAAGGAGCTCCATTAAAACATATCAGTGATGACTTGTTCCTTCATTGTCATGAACGAACACCGTCAAATGACAAAACAACAAATCCTACCATTTCATTGTTTGATACAAAAACTACTGTGCTGTTTCAATTCTTTAAGGGAAGTTATAAAGTAAAAGTACTTCCTTTTACATCTTCAGGTAGCTGAAAAGTTTAAAGACTAAAACTGGTTCTAATCCAACATGAAAGCTTTTCAGTTTGAGCTCTAATCTTAATCTTTCACTTGGAGCAGCTGCTTTGCATTCGTTTAAAGGTTCAGTTTCTCAGCGAACACAAGGATTCTAGAAGTTACATCAGAGAAGTTCACGAAGTCAGAAGCTCAAAGAATCAGGATTCCGGACAAATCTGTGGAATAATGTAGTTTAAAAGTAAAAAGGGCAGGAGGAAGGAGAAAAAAAAAACTTTGAACTCTTGTGTGAGCCTTCGGATGGTGACGTAAGCTGTGTAAGATTGTTTACCTTCATAAAAGTACTGATAGAACAGTGTTCCAATCCTCCATAACAAGTCCTGCATTCCAAACCGTGAAAGTAAAACAATTCTATCACCAAACTGTACTTAACATCAAAGGCAAACGTATTTGCTGATACGGCTCCATCAATATTGAGTAGCATGTTACTGTGGTTGCTGGTTTTAAACACTTTATACAACGTAAGATATAGTTGTATGTCAACACAAAATGTTGGATATGCATTTTCTTTTATCTTCTTTTTTCTGGAAATTCGAGATAGATTTACTTCTTTGGTCTACATTTTTATTTTAGCATGTATGTTTGTCTCATTGACTAATGATGCAATATATTTATTCTGGAATAAAGTAGAAAGTACAAATATTAAAGTAAATAAACATGTACGTGTTCTGCCTTTCTATTCATCAAGGACAAAGAGATCCATGCACCTCGAGTCTGTAACGCAAAAGAAAAGGCGTGAGATAGATAGCACACCGTTTTATTAGTATATTTAGCTTTGTGACATACAGCTCGGGAGGAAAAACAAAAACAAAAAATAAACGGTCACAATTTTTTTGAAGTCCAGAAACATTTCAGCCTTAGCAGGGACATCACACAAAAGAAAGCTCAGTTCTTGGATCATTGATTTCTTTGTCATGGACCAGAGTGATATGTTCTCGTTGTGCTAAACAAAAATGTCTGTACCGCTCAAACAGTCAACAAATAAAAATAAAAACCCCTTCTTTTTATCTATTTATTCTGCCATCGTTTAAGTTGCTTCACATATATTATCAACACTTTTCTAAAAAATCAAAATATTTAGCCACAGGTACTGGAAAAAAAGTATCCACCGTTATATATAATAATAAACACAATAAATATAAAAAAAGAACTTTTGATATAATTTATATGGTATCAAAGAGAGAGAGGGAAATGGGCCTTCAGTCAGACGAGTTTTTACAAAAGCAATGTCCTTTTTTAAAATTCTTCCTGAGGTTGAGTCTTGTCTTCTGCAGTTTAAAGTTTTGCTAAATACACTAATAGACTAAGAGACCCGACACACCGGGTCTGTAATGGCTTATCATTCACTGAGGAATCATCCCCTGCGGATCCTGGTCACACCAGTGGAGGCTCGACTTGCCCCCCTCGGCCCCTCGCCGCCCCAAACAATCAGTTTCTCACTGAAGCTTACGTTCCAATTTCAGTGGTGTGACATTTCTTCACCATAACACAGAAAAAATTCTCCACTGTTGTCACTCAGCGAACTGATCACACAAAAACTAGCGTTGCATTTGTAAATTAAACATATGTGCAACTTTAGCACAAATGCTAAGAGAATGCTGACAAGGCATTTCTAAAAGGATGCCAAAAAACAAAAGATGTAAGCAGGGGGCTGGTGAAGAAAGGTGATGACTGAAATCCAAAATGTCTACGTTTCCTCACATGAGATTGGCTTGTGTGTTAAATGGTGATAATTGAGTTTAGACGCAGTCCCATTTCCCTTCAGCGTGTAAGGAAGGAGTCAGATTAATAAATAGAGACATGAGAGGAAACAAAATTAGAAAGATTCACAAAAATCTGTACATGTAAACATCACACTTCCACTGAGTCAAATCATGAGGAAAGAGGAAAATACAGGTTTCACATTGGTATTATTGGAGGTACAAAGCCCCGGCAGAGGAAATCAAGACAATCAAGAGTCCAGTACAAAGTCAGGTAGAAGACAGAAAGACAAAAGAAAAGAATCAAATATCATTTCAAAATTAGAAAATTAAGAAGTCTAAAGCACCACTGAGAGGGAACTGAGAAAAAACAGTGAAACACACACAAACATGTTTTTTTAATTTGACAGGTGCTGTACTACCTGCCCTGATAGAAAAATAAAAATTAGGTCCATTAGTTTTCCTCCTTTCATCTGGAGGACTCTTTTAAACATGTGTGTGTTGAGCTATGTGACCTGACCGGCTCAGACCTGCGTGACCTTTAGGGACCTGACCGGCATCACAGCTCTTAGGATCCACGTTTGAATCGTGAACCTTGGCTGCAGCACTTTCAGTCTCGTAATGGCTTTAAAAAGTCTGCTGCATCAGAATTTGTCTGAAATTATGAGCCACAAATAGTTGATCGGAAACTTGATAAAATATGTTGCTACCCTAGAGAATACAGAGGGTATATTTGTTTTAAGAGAAACGCTTGACGTTCTCATTAAATGAGCTCATTTGCTTTCTTCGAAAAAGGAAATTAGACTCCAAAATTCAGCTACTGCTGAATCCGATCCGACCGGTGTGTACATACATAATCCTCCAGGGACAGTAAAGGTCAAAGGGTTGCTGATATGATTGTGGTGATGGCGATCAGGTCCTTTGTGGGTTGACATCCATGTTTGGAATGTGCAGTATAGGCAGAGGGGAAGTTGTTGGAATAGTGTACACCATCTCTTAATAGAAGACCACGTTACTTGCACTACAAATTATATGTTTAAAATAATATTGAGAAGAATCAGAACATAATATTAATAATAATAATAATATGAATAATTGTGTAATACTGAAAAATAGCAATGTGGGGGACATTAACAGCGAGTGGAGATCTGGAGGATGAATGCTCTGATTACGGTTAGCGGTGAATCCACCGGTCTGACCCGCTGGACTCAGCAGACTGACGGAGGGAATGGAAGTCACACAGTGAGCAAATTACACCATTCTAAAGATTGTCATTTGCCTTTTTGAACATTTTGTACAGTTTGTTTGTGGCGCCGTTCTGCAGCGGTCTGGCTTTGAAGTAAACTGGTAGAAGACCCTAAGAATGTAATTTCTGAAGCTGATGGAGAACTTTGAACTTTGACACTCAAGAGCCAACTAGGTAAACGTCCCAAGTGCACGATTATCACTCCAAATACGCAGTCAGTGAAGCAGCGCTCGCTGCAACCTGACCCAGATTTCAACTCGGACAATTTGCCTTTTTTTTTTTTTTTTGGGACAATCTCAGAGGTCCAGTTGTGTTTGGTAGAAATGTCTGGGTTGCTTTTGACTTCTTCGTTGATACACAGCATTCAGTACTCGTATTATTCACGAAAGAGAGACGACACAGAATCAAATGACCTTTCCTCCAACAATGAAGACCATCTAGTTGTTTGCAAGCAGAATCAATTGGCACATTTGTTTGCGATATTGACGGGTAAGTCAAACCGTTCACCCGCAGTCAAACAGCCTGCTTGGCTTTCGTCTCTAAAACAGATGCCTCCGTGCACGCGAGTTAACGTACTTAAGCACGTTCAGCGTTATATGCAACTAGTACAAATTTATTTTGGGGTGCACATTTAGCCGTTTGTCGCCCTTTTTTTGAGTATATGTGAAAAAGTAGTCATCACTGAAAGCAACTTTAGGAATCTGTGGCCTGTTCATACATTTGCAACCTATTGGTTATGGTAACTTATGGCTGTTGTTCTGACGGAAGGATTTGCCTTTTCTTCCAAAGAACACATTTTTTGAGCATCAAGGTTTTCAGAATCAAGAGGCTGTTGGCATTAAAACTTGCAGACAGAGCTTTGACAAAACAACTGATGATTATTCAACGTTTCCAAACCAAGAAGATTTATTCACTGGTTGAGAAACTCTAGGACACTTCACTTCAGATGAGAGCAAATTAAAACAGACCAAAAGATAAATAAGTATTGAATAAAATATATTTTGTGTAAGGGTTTAAGAATTGTTTTTGTGCAGCTGCTATCAGCCTCCATCTTAAAAGATGAACGATACTGGGCAATAACATGTGACGCAATCAGAATGATGCAATGACAGTTTACTGTATGCGATGTGGATCAACTTCTCTTTGCTAAGTTATTTCTGAGTCCAACTGCGCACGTCTGGAGAATCCAACTAACCCAAAGAATCACCACGATGAGAAACGAGACCCAAAACACTTTCGGTATCGGAGAGAAACAAAAGGATGAATCAGGATGAATCAGGAAGGACGGGACGCTGGCGTCAACAACACGGTGTCGTGTTGGGGGTTGACTCAAACTACATGCTCAACCTACTGCTTAACCTACCCTCCACTAATCATGTAAATAAAGACACAAAGAAATTGAGGAAAAAAATTGAACCAAATTGTACCACAGTGAATCCTCTATTTTGACTATATTTCCGACATTGTAAGCAAGCAGACATTAATCATTTAAAGTTTGGGTGGAGGTCTCGCGTGAGTGAAAGGCTTTCAGGGGTTTTACTCTCTGTAGCCAACGGCGCCCGTCATCCAGCGCACAGGATTCAGATTTGATCATCTGGCCGTCGCCGTGGGCAGAGCCAGTGAACGCTACGATTATCAACTGCATTGCAACATAACACGACACCACATCGCTGTCACGGCTCTCGTCTGACTCGGGGGGGTAGGAGGCAAACATGCACAGAGCACCGCCACCCGCTTCACATCACAACGACTTTACTCAGTGTGCAAAACACACGAGCAAATCTCGGGGACAAGACAGTTGAAGCGAGAAGAAACCGCAGTAGAAGCACAATTCACAAGGTGATGCTTTCCAAGTCACGTTTGTATCTTTGTTAATTTTCTCATCTGGTTCTGTCCAATAAGGGAAACATACGAGATGCGTTTTGTTAGCGACTGTACCAAGACAAAACAAAACAAAATCTAAAGTTAGACGATTAGCATAGCTTAGCATACAGACAGGAAACATGGAGAAACCGCTTGGCTGGCCGTGTACCAATGCAACAAAATCATTAAACATGAACTTTAAAGTGAAAAATTACGGGAGGTCATGAGCTTTAACAACCTCCAAGTCAGAGCTAAAGAATTGTCCTGCAAAAAACTGTAAATTGTGTTCTTTGTTTGAATTATAGAGCTATGGAAATAAGGTGTTCATCATTAAGCTCAAGGGCGCCAGTAGTTGGAATTTCAAAATACTTGTGCAGAGACAGGGCAGCCGTTTCTCTCCCATTTCCACTTGTTATAATAAGCTAAATGAATCCACTCCTGCCTCAAGCTTAACAGGTTGCATTCACGTTGGACGGGTGGTATCATTGTCTCGTCTAACTCTCGGACAAGTCGGCTAATAAGAAGGTTTTTCCAAAAATGAAAACTATTTCTTTAACACAGGTCAAAAGGTTTACTGGAATATCATAGAATATAATGTTCAGCAATGTTCAACAAAAACAACCGTAATAAGGCTCTTCAACAGAGCTGAAAGCCATTAGATGAAGGATTTAATTTGTCTTTTAAAAGGTATATGAAGAAATTCAGTGTCATCTCTCTTTCCATCAGAATCAAATAATGATTCATCATAAAACAAGCCGGTTTTACCAACTGGACCAGTTTGTCTGTTGAGCGGTGTGTAATTGTTGGCCGAGTATAGAGTACCAGAGTGGAGGTGCAAGGCTCCACTAATAAATCCCTCCCTGTTTCCTCCACAGGGAGAAAATATGGGGAGGAAAAAAATAACTAAAACTTTTCACAGTTAGAAAGTCACAAAACAAGACAAATCAAGCCCTAGGAAGCAAAAGCAAAGAAACCAACCAGTCTGAGAGACACAGGACGATGAGCGGATGCCGGTGGGAGGGTTTTCACAAAGTCCACCTAAAGTCTTTGTATGGTTTTTGCTTTGTTGTGATGGAGTTGCAGTCAAGGTCGCCGGAGGTCGGTCGGGTTCCCGTGGGGCACTGCGGCTAGCTAACGCCCGGCTTTGTTGAGGTTTCAGGTCTATGGCAGAAGGTCCGGTTTTTGTATAGCAGCAGCAACATGAAAGTTCATCTTTATAATCATAATAACAATAATAATAATAATAACAATGGCCATTTCCAAGTTTAACAAACAAACACAGTAAGACAAAGCAATTCTCCTCTCCCTCTGAAGCCTGGAGCAGACCAGGGAGGGGAGTGATAGGTCCACAAAGGAGAGGTGAAGAGTAGGTCCAATGGAGAGAAGAAGAAGAGGGGGAGATGAGGGTTTTTAACAGAATGATGCTGAGGTTTCATTGGCGTTCTACATTTGTAAGAAGAAAAAAAAAGAAAAAAAAAGTAGAAGCTGGAGGTCAAACTGCCACCAGTGGTCAACATTTAACCCACTTTACATTTAAGAAAACCCCTCCCCTTTAAGGACAAAGTCACCTCCTGGAGTAACACACTCCTGTCCACTCTGACTCTTCTCAAGTCTTCAAGATGAACTGATTATTTACAGCAGCACACGAATGAACCTGCACGGATGAAAATAATAAGAGTTTAAAGATTTCAGTGTTTCTTTACATCAGTTCTCGAGTTCCATCGTTTTTTGATATTGCGGGTCTTTGAGCAATATAGTTTGATTCTCGCCCCAAAAGATAGAATCCTTGAAGACAGTAAAGTAGAAGTATACTGGCTTCTGGTGGGAATGTTCTTTCATTTGGAGTGTGTGTGTGTGTGAGGAACTGAAAATGGAATTGGCAGGTCTGATCTGAGGTATTTCCTGGTCCACGTGGCGTCTTGGATGCATAAGTAGCAAGTTGCTCCCTGGGTGAAAGGGGTGAGGAGGATGGGGGATTTAGGGTGAGGTTTCAGGTGAGGAAAAAGTGCTAAAGGACAAAGGGAGCTTATATACAAGCAAACACAAAAGGTTTCTCTCCTTTTTTTTTTTTTTTTTAAACAGAGAATCAACTTTTTTTTTTCAATTCCAGTTTCCATCCTGTCGCCCCGCTGCTCTTATTTTCTGTATTTAGTGCTATCTGTTAAGATAGGTTAAGTCAAACCACTTTGCTTTCTTTCAGCCACTGGGGAAAAGTAAAAAAACAACAAACTTAAAAATGCTCACTGGACTCCAAAAAAAGAGAAAGAAAACGTCAATAGAATCAAAAACACTTGTGATATAACAATAAGCGTCAGTAGTACTAATTCAGGGAGTCAATATTTATTATTCTTTAAATTGTTATGATCGACACGACAAAATGACATCTCTCCTTCCACGAGACAAACTTCTCAAACCACAGCAGCAGAATCAACAACCTGGCAGCTTTGTTAAAGCTGCACTCGTCTTTTCTCCTCCTCCTCTCTTGTTCTTCTCCACACTCTTTTGCTCACAGTGCTGATTGTGACGCGCTTTCAGAGAGGAGGGGGAAGAGATTCCTTCACAGACGATATGCTCCTTTTTATCCAAATAGTTTTCCTTCCTCAGGCAGAATGAATGGAACCAGCGGACTGAGGTTGTGGGAGATTGGTCTCCCTCCTTCGATTCCAGTTTCCCACTTTATTCCTCTAGAAAATAAAAAATTGTGGCCACAGTTTCCGAAGGAGGGAACAGCAAAAACTAGAGGTCTGGTGTTACGCTTCCTTAAGAAGAGACGAGGACGCAACACAAAACAAACCAAATGGGAAATGGGTGTGTGTGTTTGTTTGTGTGTGTCTGTGTTCCCCCACGTTTCCCCTGAATCAGTTCTGCTGCAGGATGAGGTTCTCCAACTCGTCTGCAGAGCGTAATAGGAAGGCGGCCGACTCCCTGTAGCCAGCAATCAGCTGACGCACAGCCGTGATCTCCGGTTGGCTCAGCTGGGTTGACGCCCCGCCCCCTCCACCGCCCCCGCTGCCCCGCCCGCCCAGGCTGTTGTTGGTGGAGGCTGAGGAGGTGGAGTTACTGATGTTGGCAGAGGGCACAGATTTCATGCTGAGGTCTGTTGGGCCTAAAGGTGGAGGCAGAGAGGAAGGGGGAAACGGTGAGGGAGGAGGATTGATGAATCGAGAAAAAGGACAGCGGAGAGGAAGGATATTTAAGTAAAAGTGAAATGAAGAGAAGGAGACGGGGAGAGGAGGTGGAAGAACAAAAGATCAGTCAGTTCAAAATGATAAAAGGCCACTGTCATATTAAGCCTTTTATCACTTGTGGTACCATTAAACCTTTAAGCTCAGAGGTGTTGAGAGGAAATGGAAACACTCTATTTAGCTCTAATCAGTTAACACACATGGAGCAAAGCTACGCCACCGCTAACCCAATCAGCGCTCTTTCCAACTTTGCCCACAGGGCAGCAAGTGCGTAGCAGTAACCTCAGCATCACTGCTGGGTGTTGTACAGGTGTAATAAAACACCCAGCAGTGATACTGGGTGTAGTCTTCAAACTAAAAAATGTATTTCACCAAGAGCTACAACTCATTAAGTAGCAGGAACAAACCGATATTTAATGAGACACCAGTTGTTTTTTTATTATATTAATGCATATTGGCTGCTTTTGTTATTGATCTTGATCTCGTTGACCAAAGATGTGTTGTCCCACGTGATTAAATTACAATTTGCTCAAAGGTTATTATGTAATTGTTGCCCAATTTGACAAAAATAAATGCCCTACCTCAGCGCTTGCAAGGCTGTCATACATTATTATCGCTCATGTGAGTTAGCTGCTGCACTGCTATCTGACTGCTCCTTTCCTCCTAATTCATCCCCCTAATTACCTGTTCATGATGTTTCTTTCATCACGTTCTGATCTCTTTTCCCTCATCACTGCCTGTTCCTGTTTTGATGCTTCTATCTATGACGTCTTGTCCATCTCCTCTCTCCCATCTCCTCATAAAGATGCTTTTCTTCTGAAACCTACTCCCATCCTCACCGTTGCTCTGACCAGCGGCGCCGGTTGTCAGGGAAACGGGATGTTGCATGGGAGCGCCCAGGCCTGGGAATCCACGGTAACCGTAGCTAAGGCCAGCTCCGTTGATGTAGAGCTGGGAGTCCTGGGAGGCGAAGGCAGATGCAGCCAAGGAGTATGCAGAGTGAGCCAAGGATGCCGGCTCCCTCAGGCCCCCTCCGCCACTGGACGGCTTGTCCAGAGAGATCTGCTCATCCTGAAAGACGCAATTAGAGGGTTTTCTTTTCAAAATGATGTACAGGAAGCTGTGTGGATTCAAACACAACGGGTATTTAGAACGTAGGACAAATATAATATGCACACATTTGCATATTTTAAGTTTTCAACCAGATTTTAACTACTTCTAACACATACTGTCAATAGAAACATTGTAATTTAGCTGCGTTGTCTCTTGTAAAACAAACCCTCTTTTCTCTTTGGTGCACAAATATAGTGTTTCTTCTGTGAATGATAACTTACTGGATCAGAAAATGTGTCGCTGTGGCTTGATTGTGTTTTGCATTTTTTTTGCAATAATTTACTATGCTCAGTGCACCAGATTAACTGCAATTGTTTGGTTGTGTCCATTGCTCATTAACTCTTTTGTTTAACTACAACGCAGGCCTGCAGGTAAGTAACAATTCAGCTATTTCTATCAGTATTTCAGTGATTCTCAATCAACAGGTAATTTGGGACCCGGACCGACAGAGGGCAGCCTGCTAGCTTCTTAGTTAGTCAACCACTAAACATCAAGTCATTGTATTTCCTTTCACGTATGAATTAGGCTATAAGCATGCAAGCACGCACACTCTTACATGATAGACATCAAGGCGCATCCTCTTTGCGGCGTTGCGTGATTCGCTCTCGCAGGCGGCGGCCAGGATGTTCTCAGCCATGGCTGAGGTTAAGTGAGGTGGAGTAGGACGGGTCTGTAGAGAACACAATGACATTAAGAAACTAAAGTATTGATTGAATTAGTGTGACAGCGTTATGCCGCCGCACCTAGAAAGGGAATTTACATACAGTAAGAGACTGACTGTGCTATTTACATTGTAGTTAAATAATGATTTCACTAGACTGAAAGACATGTAATTTACTTAACAGTGTTGGGAATGGCAGGATAACTACATAAAGAACATAACTGTTGAAAGAATTTTACTTCTCAACTCTACTTTCATCCATGCAATGAATTCTGGCTTCTGAAATGATAATGAAGGTATGAGAGACTGTTTTGTGCTCGTATGCATGAAAACTGTGATTATAGCAGATAATGCAAAATCATATCTAAAGGCACATTTTGTCTTTACAGTTTACAGTGAAGGACCCTCACTGATGGCTGTGTATAAATACATGTGTGGTATGACGCTTCACCACTGGGGGGCAGCAGAGACATTTTGATAACTGGCTAATATTTACAGTTGGTGGGAAGCAGCCTGTCGGCCTGTCACACACAAAAACAATTTCAGTAAAGGTGGGAGGAAGAAGAGGTTTGTTGACTAGATAGCTGCATCCGCTCCAGAAATGTCCCCCACAGGCCGTCTCCGCCATACGGTAATGACTCACTGCCAAAAGTTCCACACACCAGCTTTACAAAGTGTATAGCTCCGAGCTGAAGAAGAAGCAGTGATGACCTTTGACCTCTACATGAGCTATATTGGATGAATCAGATATTCAGCATTTAACGGAAGGGTCAAGCTTTTCTACAGACAGTCAAACAACTTAATTTTCTTCACCAAGCGAATTTGTACGGCCTTTCATTTATTTTTATAATTCAAAACTGAAATTTATTCTGACATTTCATGGAAAACGGTTGTGAAAATATTCTGACGCTACCCAGCTATTGGTTATTAACAGAAAATATTTCTGTTAAAACACTCTGCTAACAAACTAACAGGCATATTACCTCCATGCCGCTCTTTTTCATGCGTCGGCAGGATTTGAGGTAGGTGCGGATGCGCTTGCGGGCGCGTTCCTGGAATTCTGGGAACTGTCTGCTGCAGGACTCGATGATGGCCTGGATCTTTTCCTTGGGCTGTTTGGATATGGGAACCATCCGATCCAAGTTCTCATCCACAAACAGACGCACAAACATCTGCAGGGAGACAGTGCGGATGTTAAAGAAAACGCAGCCACGGATTTATGCAATGGTAGATTTACTCAAGTGCGACTTTGAAGTACCTCTATTCTATCTGAATATTTCAATTTTATATTAGTGTCTAGAACACTTATTTTGACATTATGGTGTAGTATTATTATGCCTTATTAAGGGAAAAAAAAGTTAAAAGGGGAATTTACATTGCAGCAGTATATAAAGTAATCAAAATCAGCTCAGACTGTGTCAGCTGCAAGATTAGAGTGATACATGTATTAAATAAATACAGTTATATAATATATATTATTCAGATTAAATCCTTGTAAAGTTCGTATATGGTTATTAGCGTGATATCTGACAGCAGATGTGTGGATGCCATCATGCCTGCTGCTGGAAACCTACTTCATGAGCGTAGAGAGACTGAACCAAAGAGTGGAAAACAATTAGCTGAAATGCACTAAAGGGCTTTTTAACTGGAGAGTTGGTAGGAAATGGGGAGCTATCCTGCCCCATCACATCAAGTCATTCGATTAATGATAATAAAAAAGCCTTTTTGAGCCCTTTGAGAGTCTTTTGTCTCTATGTGCTTGATGACACTGTTATTAGAAATAGACAGGTCAGGTCTCGAATTGTTGCTCGTTCTGCATATAATGAGACAACTAATGGATCCCAGTGGGACATCATGCACCAACACATTGTATCTGACTCACGTTAAAGGCCTTTAGTCTCTCTGGGTCGACTCCCTCTGTGTCGTTGATCTTGTCGTTGTCGTCGTGGTCATCGTGGTCATCGTCATCATCATCAGGGGCCCCTTGGCGCCCTGTGGTCAGGTCCTCGGCACCCAAGTCCATCTTTACGCTGTCATAACTGCCGCCCGAACTATATTGGGGGGACTAAACACACACATCAGCCAGACTGGTCAGGTAAGTCTTTGCAACCCTTTATATATTTTGAGGTTTATGAAACAGCTTCAGTGCAAACTGCTTTTTACCACAGTACAAGTTTTTCAGAACGCCGACTGATTGACGCAGAATGTTTTTGTTTTGTAATAATTATGGGAAATGATAACATCTGCAATGCCGTTTTTCCATAACAGTGTATTTAACAAATATGCCTTCATATATATATCTATATATATATATATAGATATATATATATATATATATATATATATTCCTTCATATATGTCCATTGTGTGGTCTCACCTTGCCCCCGTAGTCCCTGGCCTCTCTGTCCAATCGCAGCTCGACAGCGTGCGTGTGGGACTGGGAGTGTGTGATGGGAGTGTGTGCGTTGTGTGTGTGCGGCAGGGGCAGGGGCAGGGCAGGGTGCGGAGCCAGGGGAGGTTTGGCGGCCAGCGGGTACTTCCTGCGGAGCTCCTCGGGCGCGCTGGGATGCAGAGCTCCGAGCAGCGCCGCGGCCGCGGCCGACACAGTGACAGGCAGATGTGATGTGGACAGGGGTAGGCGCTGAGGGGGAGGCTCGCTAAGGTTCATTGGCTGCTGGTCCTCGGAAGAGGAGGAGGAGGATGTGGGCGTGCTGAAGTCCAGCGGGGCTGGGCCGCCGTTCCCGTTGATGACCTCTGCTTCCCCTGCCATGGGGCCATCCGTTACAGCGGAAGAGGGAGGAGTCAGGGTGGGCAGGCCATTTCCACTGCCGCTCTCCGACGAGGAATCCTCTGGAAGGAAAAGGACAGGTTCAATTTCGCAGGTTAAAAAACACTGTGCTGCTGCTGAGCTGTTGGTGCTTATTTCCGGCAGCTGATGAGCACACAGCTGGAGCGATGTGCTTAGAGGGATGTGAGAATGATGGAGGTGTTCTCACATTGACAACAAGCGGGGACAAATATGCAGCGCATATTTATAACATCGGTGTGCTATAGGTCACAGAGAAATCTACACATGGAAGTCATTCTGTCAACATGGAAATTCAGGGCCTGAGGTTCAGTCTGCGAATATCACATATTTCCCCCAATAACCCCAGGTGGTGTTTAGCCAAGCAGACGGGTGAGATGCTACTCTGCCCATGTTTACACATATCCTGCTCCATCATGTGTGACATCAAACCTCAAATGTCTTTGTTTGTGGTGCACTTTGTATTAGCAAGAATTCAATTCGAATAACTGTTTACTCGGACTGGACCAAGTATTCCACATCTTCACAGCTTTACTTACAACAATTCAAAATCAACATGGGAATACTGTGAAGCTTTTGTTGCAGATAAAGACAAGGCCACTCTAATGTAGTTTGTATTATATAGATCGCAGTGGACTCCAACGTCTGTGAACTGCAAAGATCACAAATCAATCTGTAACCGTTTCCAAAGTTCACAACATGTTTTATCTATTGAAATGATCTGCTTCAATCCATAACTGTTCAATGCAATCAATTTCTCTGCGATCAAAAACCAATGAGCACATGAGGCCAAATCAATCTGCATGGCTTCAAATGGGTACTATTTTTTAGGGGGAATTAAAATCCATTCTTATGTTCTCTATGATTTTGTTGCGTCTTCCATTTTTCTCCTTCACTACTTATTGCTAATTTTTATTTTGCCATATGAACAAAGCCAATAATAAGCAAATCCATAGCTTCATCTTTTCCATTGGCCTATAGACACTAATTCCAAAGACCTAAAATGATTCGACATTGTAGATGTAAGATGACGCTTGTGCCTTCAATAGACACATTCCTTTTATAATTGCATGGCTAAAACGGAGTACCCAGCAGATGGCAGGCTTCCTTCATGAGAAAAGCCACATTGGCTTATGGCATTCTTAAAAACTCTGCCTCTGTGTGATGTTTATGAGAGAATTATTTAACCATGCTTTACTGTTAGATTCCATTATGCTGCATTTGTATGGAGCAGAGACACAAAACATAATTAACTAGGAGTCCAATGCAATCCAAGTTGACAGCATCACAAAAGACAGGCTCAGAAATCCTCATGCACCGCCACTGACTACACAGTGATATTACCTGTACAAAACCCTCTATTCAACATTGCTTAAGTGGTCATGTCATTGTGAACATCTCTGTAAGGGAATAATGCAAAGAATAATTCATCAGTACGACAGGAAATGTTTTCATAACAGACAACTCTCACAGCTGGAATGAAATTGGGTGACCGTTATTGTCTTCCTGTAACCAGCAGGACTGTGACAGCGACGACACTGATATGAAATTATTAATAATAATTTCAAAACTGTCTGCTGGTAGGTGAAAAATAATGTGTCCTCAAGTATTCTGAAACCAAGGACTGCTTTCGGCTTCATGGCTACCAGCAACTGTAATGAGGGTGTCCAAGGTAACGATATTGGAGCCTCCAACGCACCGGAGATATATGATTTGTATTATGAGGGAAACGCAGTGAGAGAGAGACGGCATTCGTCAACTATGGAGGCAATAGTTACGGGTTGCGAGGGGCAGTGTCTGTTTATTTGATTTAACTCATCCAGTCTGCAGCCCGACCAGACAATAACACAGTCGACACCCTGCAATATGACAGACGCCCATCCCCCATCACAATATACCATATATATATATCGCCTCATCATCATCAGTACCAAGCCAGTCTTCCTCCCACTTTATCTGAAAGACAGCAACATTCTGATCATTTGTTTAACCAGGGACGATGGGAGAGCATGAATTTTGTTTATAAGCCACAACCAGCAGAACCAAAACTTTCTGCCGTTCTCCTGCATATTTTGTTAGTAGAGTTACTCCTCCAATATGTTTATTCTAGACCAGTTGTTCCCTATCTGGCGAGTTGGCAAGAAAGTGCCAGTTGAGGGGAAAGAAGTATTCAATTATATAGAACATTGGTCATTGACTATATCATGAATTATCACATCAATAAATTGTTGATACTGCTTACACAAAAGTCAGTAGTAAGGTTGTATATTTGCTAGAATATGGGAAACTGCATTTACAACATGTAACATCCAATACCACATGCATTGTGATCCACTGTCTGCCAAAAACCTTTGCATGGAAACCAAGAATTGCTTGAGTATCTTTGAGAATCGATGATGCATCGAACACATGAAGCCAGGGGTTCACTAGCAAAATGTGTCCGTATTTATTGCTGGAGCAGGTTCATTATCCCTTTGCTCTCTGTCTCTCTCTGTATCTCTATTAAGACAGACAGGCTACTAAATGAGTAATCATGGAATAATGGTCTGTGCCAAGCTAGCTGGAAGGCAGGATTGATGCCTGTCCAAATGAATGTTAGGCTTTGTGATCTGAATAGACTTCAGGTCCCAAATCCTAGAAAGCTTGACATTTTCCTTTCTTCACAAAGCAACAGAGAGGAAGGATGGGGACTGCGTGTGACTTTTTTACTTTTTTACCAATTTTACTCGATTTGTGGTCCACAACATTTGTATGCACTACAATATTTCCTGCATCACAAACACACCAACATATGGGACAGGGTGAGTGGGGAGCTTTTTGACGGATGAAAATAGAGAGAAGCTAAATGACACAGAAACATCAAACACAAAAGAGTGAAGGAGAAAGAAGAGATACCTCCAGTTGAGGATGATTGAAGGATAGAGAAGGGAAATAAAAGGCCAAAGAGGAAGACGAGGTCATTTGAATGAGTCAACAGCACAAGAAACATGCAGAAGAGATGGAGAAAGGGAGTGGGGGCTGTGGATGGTATCGACTGTGTCATTCGTTCGGCGGGGGAGGGAGGGGGTGGAGGGAGGGTGGAGCCCAAATTGCTGCATGGAGAGAGAGGGAGAGATGGGTAGAGAGGCACCAGGGTGGGGAAAGGAAGAGAGGGCAATACACTATTGAGGGAGGCACAGCCAGCCAGAAGGAAAGAGGTCAGGAGGGGGGTGGTGGGAGGATGTGGAGGAGAGGCGAGGGAGAGGGTCATGGCTAGGGGGTGGGGGCGGAGGAGAGAGGGGAAAGGATGAGGGAGGATTGAGATGGGGGATGGGACGGTGAAGGGTGAAGAGAGATTAAGTCAAAGGGATGGGCACATGGGAGAGATATTTAGATGTGCATTATATATTTTATCTTTTCGGCTCTCAGTGATATTGTTAGAATATATCCGAATTTATCATACATCTATTTGTATTAGTATATGGTACTATGTTAGTAAAGACTACTTCCATGTTGTACTGTGCAGACCATTTGCGGTCATATATTCTTTATTATTACACTTTTGGCTTAGTCATGGTTGTGCCAATAAAGCATGATTTTGAAATAGAGCGATACGGAGTGGAGCATGAGTAAAAAGGGCAATAAGAGGAAGTGAGCCATAGGACCTGGGGCTAAAAAAGCATGGCTTGTATTTATGGGTGTGTAAGAGCTATTCATGCGTAGTGGTGAAGGCCAATCTAATTCCTGCGCCTTGACACAAATCCCCCCCCTCAGCAGAGAGACTGCAGCCCCCGCTTCTGCACCCCTGCATGACAGAACCGTGAGGGAACCCGCCTCCCCTCCTCATATCGCCGTCTCGTCACTCTACCACTAAATCTTTGTTTGTCGACGTATCTTCGGTTTATGTCCACTGAAGCCCTGAAAGACAACTGAAAGAAAACATTATGGAAATAAAATCTCAAAGCTGGCCTAATTTTGGTTCCTATCTCAAGTGACTCTTTGCCAGGGATATTCTTTCTAAGTTGTTATACTAATATAATTGACTAGTCACACACGTTATGAAGTCAAGAAAGAAGATTTCTTCGGGGGGTTTCGTAATTTATGAAAGCAAGATTGAACTATTGATTTAACATGTTTATCTTAGTTGAGGTTTTCGATTGAATAAAACACCAACATTGCTGCCATGTTGATGACGAATGGGACAGAGGACCTGGATTAGTATTTCGGTTATTGCAGGATCTTGACCTATGAACAAAATATCTGTCCGATCAGCATTTTCGCTGAGCATTAGTGAATTTCTAAAGGTCGGTTAATTGGTTGGTTGCAGGTCCATGGTAGTTTTTGTTAAAATGGAAACTGATACTGCGTAGAAAGAGGTCAAGACGAAGCATGTAAATGAAAAGAAGAACTGGCCCCAGCACCGGTCCTTGGGGGACCTCACAGTGAACACCTGTTGGAGCAAACCTGGCATCAGCAATACGGACGCAGAAGCGACTGTCTTTCTGGGAGGAGCTAAAACGTCACATAGCAGTGCCCCTGGTACTCAGCAAGACACCTAACCCCTAATTGCTTCCCGGGCAAAAATGTAAACGCCATGGGTTAAAAATGTAATGTAAGTCGCTTTGAATAAAAGCATCAGCTAAATGACCTGTAATGTAATGTAAAGACTATATTTTGATACTTCAACTTGTTTCTCCGCAAGACACCAGAGATTAAGAGACAAGAAATAAACAATGACAAGCGCTGCACAATGCACCAATTCAAGCATATGACTACAGTATCTACTGTGTTACACATAACTACATACTCACATTTAGAGTTCGACTAAAGTGATTACATGCTAATTAGTACTGGGAGCAATTAGCTTTGGGATATACTTTAAACAGGTCTCCATAAACATATCCTGCATTTGAATGAAACAATGTTTTGTCAGAGTGATATTGACCAATCCCGTTGGGTGGGCTTTGGTTGCATACAAGTAAACAGTCAGTGCAGAGAGCCGAAGCCCCAGAACACATTGACTAACTGCCAAAACATCTGACAGCCCATCGGCTTCTTCAGAACA